AGGAAAAGATGAGATCCGTAAGTGTGGCAAATAATTGTTATTCTTTCGAGACATGCCAGTCTCAGGTTCATTTCAACTCTGATTGCCAGGAATGTCCCCTAAATTCTCTTTGTAAACTACTGTACTGTCGCTTAGATAAATGGTACTTTATGCAAATAAGCTGTAATATTATTGACATCTTTATTTGCTGAATGTTGGTGGATAGGATACATTACTATCGATGACTAAACTCGATGAAAATTTTAATCAGTGCAGTACCAGGAACATTTTTTAACGTCACCCTGAAGCTTCGATTTATTCATAGTATGAATTTCTATAATATTGAATAATTTATCACCGCGTTAGCTTCCAACTTGAAGAAATCAAAACCTACTTGGTATGCAAATTACACGGTGACACCTGAATATTTATTATTTTTCTGTACCGGTAAACAAACAGGTCCAAATATAGGTTGATCCACGGGTTCACCTGCCTACGAAACAGCTTTGACAGTTTAAACGTTTTTTCATAGAGAAGAAAGATTTGGAAAAGGTGGCTGCAATGATGTAAGCGATGTCGGAGTAAAATATGAAGAATATGGCTTTGCGTGATTCCAGTAACATAGCTTAAGTGATGTATAGGGCTTGTTTTATTAATAAACATAATATCCATGTATATATTCATAAATTATTTGAATTTCTTTTCACAACCACTCTGTTTCCATTACAATTTTTGTCATCCTTTTATTCTTCTTTGTATTCTACGCTGCAGATGATTCAGTGTCTGCTCTGAATTTTCTAGAACTCGCTACCTCTACGGTAGAAACAATTATCAAACTAAACCGTTGTAATGTGAAACACATAGCACGTTTTGATAGATAAGGGAACATTTCAGAGGCTCTGCAACGCGCGTTATCAAAATTGACACAACAGATATGTGGGGCGAATGTTTTTCTGTAAATCCTTTCGTTTTCCAGTTTACTTCATTTTTTGGTGTGTTTATGTTGTGTTTTTTATTTTCAGATACTACTTCAAGTAGATCGCAGAAGGTGTCATATAGAAAATAATTCTAAATTTTCCCTACATCTTAACCGAATGTTCTTGATATGTCGATCGTACTTTTGACGCCGTACCCGTAAGAGCAGCAACACAAGGGATACTATGACTCAATTTAATCTGATACTTATCAAGAGCTGTATTATTAGAGAAGATAGCTAGTAATTGTCCGTAATTGATTAGTACTGCGACTTGAAAGGATTGAATGTAATGTAATGTGTGTAACGACATAACTGCGCGAGTGAAACATTCCTTAATTATCAATGCAGCGATACAAAAAATATAACCTAAATTAATTAGTCCAATCAACTTCAGTTGTCATATGTATTTTTCTACGCTTTAATTTTCTACTTTCAAAGTTGTTCAATCAATTTATCTTAACTGTTCATCAATGTTATTACACAGCTCCCGGAGGTGAGACTGAGGAGGAGAAAGAAGGCGGGAGTCCGACCCCTCCTGGCCCAACTACAGCAGGCCCAGAGCCCTGGTGGAGAATTCGGCTTCCTGATAATGTGATACCATTTCATTATGATCTCACCTTACACATCGACATGAATAAGCCGAACTTCAAAGGCAAAGTGAAAATTTGGTTCAATGTCACGAGTCCCACGCCTTACGTACTAGTTCATGCTCTCGACATGAACTTTACTGCAAATGAAGTCAGGAAACTTTCCGGCGGTAAGCTAAATTTAAATGCATCGCTTCAAGATGTTTGAATGAATAGAAACGGAGCTTGAAAACCCATTTATTCATGATAGCTTTTAATAGTTTTTCAAATTATTTTACAATTTCCTAGAGATTTTGTTTTTAAGTTTAAACGGCAGAGATCTCCATGATATATAGGATTGTATAACGCTTAGAGGCTTGCAATAAGCGCCATAAAAATTGTATATATTACTACAATATCTTATCATTATTATTATTATTATAAATAAGATGGTGACGACTGCGCACAGCCTTTCCTCTCCTAATAATGTACATGAAAATTTTACGCGCTTCTTATTGGCTGAAAACAAGTGCATTCTCATGTAACACGAGTGCCAAGTCGTAACACGAGTGCAAATTACAAATAGTGCGTGCACACTTTCAAAATTTCGTCTGTCTTGCCTTTCTGTGATTTTTTTTTCATGTAAATTACTAACAAGTAATAAAGTTATTTCTCTTGCAAATTGTTGTAATGGGTACTTGTAAATTTTTCAACGACTACAAATAACACACGCACGACGGGCTCGTGTAATTTTGTTGCCTTTGCAAAATTTACTCGTGCTTATTAACACCAAATTGCACTCTAAATAATGTTACTACTTTGACAAATGTCAAATATCAACAAGAAACAAGAGAGAATCATATCATGGTGTCAAAAGGCCTTGCGGTGCCAAGTTTGACGCCGTTCATCTTACCTATAAAAATAACAATTTTTTTTTCTGAAGCTTTCAGTGGGTGGAATTTAAAATTCTCGAATCTGATTGGCTAATCGCGCGCGTAACTGGTCTTCGTTTTACAATTTAGACGAGGTTCCAAAATTTTGTCCGCGCCATTCCAGGCAAAGTTAAATAAAAGGCAAAGAGGCACAAAAAGTAAATAAGGTGGGTGCGTATAGGAAACAATTCTTCCCTCGGTAACAGTTTTCTCCCATATGGACCTCTCGCCCTGTAAATAACACATATTTACTTGATTAAAGCACAAGAGTTAATGTCGAATATATCACGCCTTGCTTTATTTCCTGTTTTCTTTAAGGGCCCATTCCGATCAAGCGATATTTCAAGTTTGAAAAGAATCAATTCCTCGTCACAGAGCTAGAGACGTCATTGGATAGAGATCAATATACTATGACATTGGAATACTCTGGAGAATATGGAAAAGACCTGAGGGGAATGTACAAATCCTCCTTCATAGACGAGAATGGAAAGGAATCGTAAGTACCTGCCCTGTCAGTATATATAGAAAATTAGATTGTTTGATAACATGCCTTAATGTTTCTTTATTTTCCTTTCAAACCCGTAACTCTTGAAGTAAAGTTCAGTAGCGGCGTTGAAAACTTAATTAGCTGTTGTTTTTCTTTTAGATTTTTCACCGCCACTCAATTTGAACCCTTGAGAGCGCGCCGAGCGTTTCCATGCTTCGACGAGCCCGCGATGAAGGCGACTTTTAACGTGACTCTGGTTCATGATCCAAATCTAATCGCTTTGTCCAACATGCCAATCTATCGAAGCCAAATTGATGATGGATGGAAATATGATCACTTCAGAAAGACGGTCAAGATGTCTACTTATCTGGCCGCCTTTGCCGTGGGTGACTTTAAGTACAAGGAGACCAAAACAGGCAGTGGCATACAGGTACACATCCTAGTAGTATTTTTTTCTAATGGTAGGGGAGGGGATCACTTAACGATTAGCTGATGTACCCTCGTACCCAGGCCCAAGTGGTGGTCACTGAATTCTTCTCTTGCATGGGCAAGACAGTGCGTCTCTCCGGCTGATGTATGAATGGGAGGCGTCAAATTGTTAAGATGTTAAGAACTGAACCTCTTTGATGGACCAGAATCCCCTCAAGCGAGAGTATCAATAATCGTAGCCTGGTAAACCGCGATGAGCTCCAGTGATGTGGGCGAATAGGCTTGTGAAAAGACACCGACTACTTTGTTTATTATTCATCCTATATCAACGCACATTTCAAATCGTACATTTTTGCTGTGTATTTATCGAGTGCTAATTCACAATTGAAATGAAATTGACTGTTCAAAACGCTTAGTTCCTGACACGGTTTCAACCTCTTCTCTAATAACCATAGGAAATTAAGAAATCAGTTCATTCATACTCTGTTATCAGCATGCTATGATGTTTGTTCGTAGATAAGAGTGTACGCAAGACCAGACGTTCTTGATCAAGTGGACTACGCTTTAAAAGTGTCAAACGAGACATTTATATACTTTGAAGAGTTCTTTGGTGTTCCATATTCGTTACCAAAGTCAGGTAAACACTAACTGAGTTTACAAACTATTCATGAAGACTTTTACGGATAATACGTGTCCCTTATTAACATTGGGGATTCCCTACTGCTAGATGTAATTGACACAGTAATGAAGTCATTACTATTATTATCACGGATGCCTATTGGCTTCTTATTTGAGGTTTTTTTCTTTTTTCACAGAGACTGAATTACCGAGAATTTAGAATAATACGGTCGATGCTAGTAATACTAATTTCAGATCACAAGCATAGTAATGTTTTGAGTTAATCGGCTTGCAGATGGAATCGCACTTCCGGTATTTGGTCCTTCCGGAATGGAAAACTGGGGCCTTATTAAATACCGTGAGACAAATTTGCTGTTAATGGAAGGTGAGACTTCATCTTCGTCAAAAGAGAGCATCGCAAAACTAGTGGCTCATGAAGTAGGACATCAGGTAAAATTTCTGTACTTGAGCAAAATTCTACTAGAGAAGCAGGGCAAGTTCTGTGGTCTTCCTGTTCCAAACTCTTAGCTGGGGGGCTATTGTTCTGAGAAAAGGTTATCAAATAACATGAATGGTTCATGTAACCCTTAATGTAGCAGTATATTTATTGTAATTTGATAATCAGGCCCTCCGTATTTTCCAACTACGTAAGTAGCCTAAATTTCAATAAGCTTAGAGACCAAGCACGCAATGGGTGTTTACAACTTTGTTACCACTCTTCCCGTAACTTTATCTCTACCCGAAGGGGCATTACCCCGAGTGTCGCCTGGTGACGTAAGAAACCCCTTTTAGAGAGAATTTTTGAAGACGGTCATTATACTTTTTGGGGGAAGTAGACATGTAATGACAGTTTGAAATTCTGCCCTATGTGTATTTCTGACTTTCACAAGAGGTAGGTTACGGTCGTTACGTTCTATATATATTTACTAACATAGTTCTACCACTTCTCCATCTTTGTCTCCAGTGGTTTGGTAATATTGTTACCATGGAATGGTGGACAGATCTGTGGTTAAACGAAGGATTTGCTACTTACGTCAGTTCGATTGGAATCGATCACGTTCATCCCGAATGGAATATCGTAAGTTCTTTGCTTAAAAATGTATTCTGCATATCGTCGCTATTTTGAAAGATCACTAGTTCAGCCGTAAAGTAAGATATCAATGACCACAAATTCCCTTTCTGTTTCAGATCGACCAGTTTATCGTCAGAGCAGTTCAAGATACTTTGCAGCTGGACGGATTAGCAAGTTCTCACCCAGTTAGGATTCCTGTTGAAGATCCCCAGAAAATTGGAGAAATCTTTGATGCCATCTCGTACAAAAAGGTATCACTATGAGTTTGGCATTGTGACTTGTTAAGTCTCGAAATTGTAGCTTCTCCAAATTGCTAGTCCAACTTCAGCCACATGCTACTAAGGTAGTACCTTGTGTTGCCGGGATACATTGATTGATATTCATCAGAATACAAGCTCTCGGTTTCTTGAAATTCACTAATATTCGATTCAAAGCTAACATCTCTTCCCAAAACAACCTGATATTTCGAGCCCTACGATATTTACCTAGCTACAATTTCATTTTTATTGGAGGTTCAGAAAAATGGATTCTGTCTGAGCCGCATTAGTTGTTTGAGATGTATGTTTTCGAGCCTTTTGCGTGATGTGTTGTAAAACTTCTTATATCTCATTGGTATTGCTTTGTTTTCATTTTTCTTGTCTGTTTGCCTGTTTTTTGCTTGTTCCCTTTTTTTTTCTGAAATGCGATAGAAAATTCATCCAGAGATTCAACTCTCGTCAATGACTGTTCTGTTAAACTCAAAACCAGTTATTCAACTTAGATGTTGATTATAACTGATGAAAAGGAGGTACGTTTTCTTAATAACAAGTGTAACCCTTGCACAACTACAATCTATTTTGAGCTTTTCCTCTTTTTGTCCACAGGGTGCTTCCATTTTATTGATGCTTCATTATTATCTAGGAAACGAAGTATTCCGCGATGGATTAAAGGTGCGTTTTCAATGCGTTCTTTTTATCTTCCATTCACTCTCTCCATTCCCAGTTTGAATTTTAAAAACCATTATTTAAAAACACGCTGCGACTGTTTTTCAATTTCTTTCATATGATTATCATGGTTGATTATATTTTGATATGCGTTGTATATTCTATTATTTTACTTGCTCAAATATAGAGATATCTTACCAAGCATGCTTATGCAAACGCTGAAACAGACGACTTATGGAATGCAATGACAGAGGTGAGCTTTGAACGTTGTTTCTAAGAGTGAGCACAAAACTGAAATTATGAATAAATCGCCAATTTATTTAATATTTCGATTGGTATTTATTACCCAATACTTGTTTTATAATTTTCTTGACCAGTCTGATTGTTGGCAAACCAAGTTTAGGATTTCAAACGTGGCTAATAACCTGGGCAACGAAGGTCCAATCCGGAAGTCCCGAGTCCGTCTTCAATTATTCCATCTATTTGTCCATCTCTCAGGAGTTCCGAGTCTGATTACACGTTTGCGCGTGTAACTTGTCACCTGGTTTGTTTCACTTGTTCGTCATCTTTTGCAGAGTGCAAGACGACCAAATGAATTTGTAGTAAAGAAAGCACAGTTTTAACCTTAAAATTTCATGAAGTATTTGTGCTCTGTGGTACTCCAGCGTAATGAGTCTTAATTACTCGTTGCACATCGTAAATACGTTGGCAAAAGATAATTATAATTTGCCGATAGGAAATAATTCAATTGGCTCTCTCTTTTTCAAAGGCAAATAAGGCTGCTGGAAAGACGATGGACGTAGGCAAGATAATGAACACCTTCACGCTGCAAATGGGGTACCCTGTGGTAACCATAACAGCCACAGAAACACCAAACACATATCAAGCAACCCAAGACCGTTTTCTTTACTACAAAGATCCAAAAGCAAACTACTCGTCTTCCCAGTACAAGTAAGCGACATTATCCAGAATTTTTTTCACCTCATTGAAGTTTAACGATAGGGGAGGATTGGAAAATACTCCATAAATGACCGCCTGCATTATCTGACTGCATAAAGACAAGATGAGCGCAAGGAAAAGAACTAAAAAATTTGAACCTTGAGGACAAATTCTTTTAAAAGTCCTTAAAATATAACAGGATCAACACAGAGCACAGTAACGACCTCAGCTAATGTTTATTCTTTAATCAATTGGCGCAAAATAATTATATTAGTCGACATAACGCCGAAGTTTTTCCTCCCTGCAACTTGGGACAAGTGTACCCCTGTCCAATTAATCAATCAATATATCTATATATGTCTATTTAACAAATAGATTCCAAGTTGCCGTGCGTCTATTCAGTAGTAAATCACAGATGACGTCAAAATGTGGTAAGAACAAAAAAGTGGCACACGAGGCGCAGCCGAAGGTGTCACTGATGTTCTTACCACATTTTGACGTCCTCTGTGAGCTATTACTTAACAGACGCACGGCAACTTGGAATCTACTTGTTTTATATAATAAAGAATGAAAAAAAGGTTTTAATGATGACGTCATCTATACGTCTGTCCTTCAATAGATCATAAGTGAGAACCAATCAGAATGCGAGCATAACTGAGCTTATTATATAAATATATATATATATATATATATATATATATACACACATATTATAAAGCTCTCTATTTAAATATATATGTATATTATAAAGCTCTGCTCTACAATCTACTGATCTAATCTAACGTTGCTTTGTTTTAGTTACAAGTGGGTCATTCCATTTACCTACTACACTGGATCAAGAAAATCTAATAATCCTCCAACAGATACGATGTCAAAAATAATAGACAAAGAATCAGGTAAATGTCGAAGGGCGCCGTTGTTTTAATCTCTCACACGGTGAATTTTTTTGTAGAGCATCACGTTCTGAAAGTGGGGGATGGGTTTCAGGCGGCATGCAGGGTCTGATTTAATTCGTTTCGTATTTGTTTGACTTGGTTATTCCCTGTTAGCTCTTGATCTTTAATTTGTAAGCAGATTTTCTGTTTAGCTTCATGAGGAAGATGGCCACTAACGGTATACAGGTGAGGAGTGTTATGAAATAATCGATATACAGGTAAAGAGTGTTATGAAACCCACGATATACAGGTAAAGAGTGTTATGTAACAGACGATATACAAGTAAAGAATGTTATGATATCAGCGTCAGTGGAATAAGGGTTCTAATCCAAGGGCTTACGGCCAGATAAGTAATGGAAATATGTAGTATTCGATATACATGTATTTGTTAACATTATAAATGTATTGCAGTTAGTTTGAATTGGGATGGAAATGGATGGATAAAAGGAAATATTGGGCAGACTGGTTTCTACCGCGTCAATTATGAAGAAAAAAACTGGGATATGCTGGCTGAGCAGCTTAAAAATAATTACAAGGTAATATATAGAGAATAATAGATAGGCGTGCGTAGATATGGAATTCCTCTTCAAGTGGTTAACTCGATAGCTCACAAGTGAGCGCAGCAAACGAATGAGATGTCGAGTTGAACACGAGAAGGGAAATTTCATATCTGCAAGTGACCATGTATTTTTTTTGTTTATCATATAACCACAATAGCCCTTCACTGAAAAGAAAAGTCAACTTTATAAATGAATAAAAATAAAAGGGTCGACAATCCGCGAATAAAATCGTAAAGTGCGTTGGCGCTAAGGCATAAGATGAAAAAATGCATTGATACAATACAAAAATAGACTATGGGCGTAATTTTCAATATACAAAATTGTCAGTTAATGAATTGGTCCCTACCGACAGAAGAAATCTTTCAGGTATACGGTCAAAATCGGCTCGTGGAAAATCTTTCAGTTGTCGGTTTTCGTTCTCAGCCGCGAGAAATGCCATTACCAAAGCCACTGAATTCGAATAGTTTTCGGTTTTTCTTTCCGTATTTTGGCTTTCTTCCCCTTCTTGAGAAGCTTGATTGTCACTGTCTGTAAGTGATACGGATTTTTCAGTGTTTTAGCTGCCGTAATCCCAAAAAATTCCGACAAACGACCTTGGATTGAGGATGGTGAAGGCTTCGCCGTTCATTCATCAACGAAACCGAGTGGCGCGAAATGCGAGTGACGTGTCAGCAGCTGATTGGCGATATCAAACATACCTGAAAATATACGATATTATATCTCGTGTGTTGCACGGCTTTTTTCAGGGCTCGGAATCCTTGTATAACGCCGTACTTTATATGATAAAATGCAATAATATAAAGAAGGCTTTCAATCAGTATGTCATTTAGTCAAATATGTAGTCATTGACCGTCAATTTAGGTAGAGTTCATCCCCCGACAATAGACTGGCGTGGACTTTTCAATCAAGCACAATTTGTCGATTTTTTAAGCGAGTGTATGATCTATACATCAAGTTGGACGGTAGCTAGCTTTAGTTCTTAAGTAATTTTTCAACACCTGAACTGCATAAATGGACCATTCAATCACTTACAGGTCTTTAACGCCACCGATCGCGCAGGGCTTATAGATGATTCATTCAACTTGGCCAGGTGATAAAATTATAATCCTCAAACTTACATTGGTTGGTAGATTGTTAACTAAAGTTTGACCGGTTTTTTAGCTTGTCTCTGTCTGATTGCTTCCATGTTTCTTATATGTGATTGGCTGTTTTCCCATTAGAAACTGTGTGTAAATGCAAGTTTTGAGAATTTTTTTCGAAAGGTAGATCGTGATCAGATAAAATAATAAATGATTCAAAACCTTTTTATTCCTAGGAGTGACCCAAAAAAACTTTCTCCTCGCAACATCGATAAATTTTCATGCAGAAAGCTCCTGTTAGACGATATCATGAAATGTAATTAAATTAAATAAAAAGGCAGACAATGGATATAATTTATCTTAAGGATTCGGATGTCAAAGAGTTCATAACATTCTTAGTTGTGACGCGTGTTGAGCGCTATGGTTTGAAAAAAAAACATGTTCTGTTCTTGATTTTAGAGCCAACTTATTAAATCACACAAAGCCTCTTAGTATATCAAGTTATCTGGACAAGGAAGAGGACTACGTTCCAATGCTATCCGCGTTGAGAAAATTTTCACATATATTAGAGATCGTTCCCTCCACGAGACCAGCCCACAAATATTTACAGGTAGGGATGTAAGCTCGATTTAATCTTTTCTTTTCTAGCTCTGGATTTTCAAGCTGGCGATTCAAGTCAGAAATTTTCAGCGGTATTAAAATGAGTTTAGAGGGTATGATAAGATAAAGCTCAAGTTTTACTCAGCATGAGCAGCCTTTAAAAAAAATTTAATGCTCCTAGCTTACCATTTTTTTTACCAAAGAAAGGAAGTCTTTCGGTGGCATTATTTCATCTGTTTTTAAGACGATGGACAAGAACCACCAGTTCTTGATAAACCCTCTTCAGTACTATTAATTAGAGGGCTGTCTTTTTTTCCTTTAGATGTATGTGGAATATTTAACAAAGACTCAGTACGACAAGCTTGGAATCAAAGATCAAGGAACGCATCTTGACAAGTATGAGAATTGTCATTCATCCATTCATTTACTTATCATTTATGAATCCATACATACATCATCTTATTTACACATTCATTCATTTATCCATCCATATCAGATCATGATTTGTTGCAAGTCAATTTTTCAATCCTTATACACTTCGTTCTAATCTATTTCTTGGTAGCTGAGTTTAAAAATGTATGAAGCAAAGAGCTCACTTTAGGGGAAAATGCATGGTTATCCTCGTTGTTAGACTAAACTGCCTGTAGAAGACACACACCCAAGATGCAGAGTATTTTGTTCGTTTTTTTTTCAAGATTTCTGAGAACTATTCTCCTCGATGCTAATTGTGAGGCTGGGGTCAGGTCATGTCTGGGAAATATGACGAAAATGTTTCAAGAATGGATGAATGACCCGGTCAAGAACGCGTGAGTACTCTCCATTACATTCACCAATTCTAGAACTGCTACAGTTTCTCGTTGAAGCTGCTGACTGACGAGATTTTCTCGGCTGTGGGTTTTGCTTTCCGATAGTTTTCATATCCTCCAGCTGTTCTTTTCATCGATTGTACCGAAAGGTCGGTAACTCCTCCAGTTTCTTCGATAGGTCAACAGCTTTAAAAAAAAAAAACGCTCAAGCATTGTGATAGGTTACACGTTGTGGAGAAACATTTATTTATTATGAAGGCGACTTTCAAATTGTTGAACCCTTAAGGCACAGACATGGCGGAAGTTGTGCCGTTCATATAATGCTACTCTTAAATGTCAAATTCGCTTCATTTTCAATCTACATCTCCATACATCAGAGTTGTGACTTTCACCCAGCTGACTTTAGATCAATTCTTTTTCCTCTCTTGTGAAATCAAGGTCAGCGATGATTTGAACAATGATTTAGATGTCTGTGATTGACCTGCCACTTTCATTAGAGCCTTACTTACATATTATTGGACGGCTTCACTTTGTAGTGTACCAGCGGATCTCAAAGCCTTAGTTTACCATTTTGGAATAGTGACTGGTGGAGAGAAGGAATGGAACTTCGCTTACAATCAGTTTAAAACTACGACTGTAATCTCAGATAAAAATACACTGCTTTACGCCATGGCAGGATCACAACAGCCTTGGATTATCCAGAGGTAAACGCTAATCAAATTGAAGCAATACCAAGGATCCTTATTTTGAACGAATATTATTCATTTTTTTCCTCAGTTTTTTCATGAGTTTTGGTATGATTAAAAAAGGGAACACCTACGATAAAAACTTTGTATTCCTAAAGTTCCACGGCTAAGAAAAATTTGGTCGATTCTTGGAGAAAAGTATTCAGTCCAGGAGGTGTTAGCCGCAGTTCCAACCAAACCCTTCATTTTTTGGAGATATCTACACTGCTTTGAGTGACAAGGTTGGCCAGATCCTTGTAAAGTAACGTAACCAGCAAGCACGTTACTTTGTAAAGTGACGTAACTAGTGAACACCTAACCTTAAAAAGTGAAGTAACTGCTAAACGCGTGAAACGGCCCAATTCACGGAAACATTTTAAATTAGAAGTAGGTCAATAGATATGGCCTCGAGGCTAATTCGATGATGATTTTTTAAATTGGGCCATTTGGAAACAGCGTGAACAACTAGAAATCTGTGTTTCGTTTTCCTTCTAAAGGGTATCAGATCTTTGTTTAAAAATGTCAAACAATTCCAAAAATGAAATTGGTTCTAGTGGAAAATTCTCTGAGTTTGTGCATGCTTGAATGTTAATGTATTTTAGTATATTACTGAAAAACAAACAGTTCTAAACAAACATTGAATATATTCAAAAGATTTGTATGAAGTTTTCAGCGGTATTTTGGTAAAAATTTCCGACTGCCGGACGTTTAGTCCGTTTGAGAACGTACCGGCAATCTGATCCGAAGTGTACAATTTCTAAGGTCGACAATCAAGCTCGGAAAAATTGTCCACTTAAACCCAAATTAGTTTTTGGAATCGCGTGACATTTCTATACCAAAATCTGATACTCTTAAGAAGTTTCAGAGAAGCTTTCAATAGAACTTTGGTGAAAATGTCAAACTGGCGGGCATCTAATCCATTCGAGACCGTGCCAGATAGTCTGATCAGAAGCGTAGAATTCCTAAGTGTCGACAACCCAGCGATAATAAAATATACCTCTTTACATTTTCAGGTACTTAGAGTATACTTTGGATCCCTCGAAAATCTCTCCCCGCAATCTAGTTTATGTGATGTACTACATTGCTAAAAGTAATGAAATGGGTGCCAACGTAGCGTGGAATTTCTTCCAGTTGAAATGGAATGTAATATCCAAAATGTGAGTATGAGAAAAGTGATTGCTGTAAAAATCACTTGCAAGATACTTAAAATAGATTTGACACTTAATTTCCATTAAGGATAAGCTGGTGATATCTCTCTATTTAAATTCCAAGGAACAAAGATTTTTGTTCTTGTTCACTCGAGAAAATGAAATTGCGCACATTGAAAATAACCAAAAAAATTGATAAAAAAATGTATGTGTGTATCTAATTAATTTCCAATTATTATTGCAGGTATGGAGGTTCGTATATGACTTTAAGGCGTTTTATTCCTTTCGTGTCCAGGCGATTCTCTACAGATTTCGAGTTACAGCAGGTAAACTTAACGATATTATTTTGCTAAAGGTTAATATCTTATGAAGCTATATCATTTTATTTGACATGCGAAAAAACCTTGCGTGTTTTATGAGCCACAATTCGGCCAGATTTCACTGGACATTTCATTTTCAGATTCTGTATTAAGGCTACGAAATTTCGGCAATGTGTTAGATTAGACTTGCCGAACTATTTTAGTTTGTGAACTACTGCAGATTGTGAACTTTGATGGTTTGCGAACTTTTGAACTCTTGTTTAACTCGTTCAACCAATCGGATTATTTAAACCTCTCTAACAAGGATTCTGATTGGCTTATTGTGGCGTGCTTTATGAGAATAGAGAGCTTGCTGACGACACTGTTGTTCGCTCTGGAAATAAAATTTTGTATGGAAAATTGAAGTAATGCTTGGGGAATTTCACAGACTCTTTATTATAAAACAAGTAGAGAAGCCTAAACTGTGCTCTGCTTTGTTGTAAAGCACTTAGGAAGCGGCTAGAGCACCCCAGAGGTGGAGAGACACTCGACTACGTATTTCTCCTTACACTTCCTGCGTGCTTTATAACTTGAAACATAACAGAGCGCAGCACAGGCTTCCCTATTTGTTAAATTGTGTCGTTAAGTTGTGTTTACCAGTAATTTACTTCCAGAATTACAGCTTGATGGGTTTTTGGGAATATGTTGCGCCATGGTTTTTCCGTCAGATTTGAACAAACTTTACCTGAAAAGTTTAAAAGGAGTTTCGTAATTACTGCACTGTTTCCCCTTTTTTCTCTTTCAGCTGCTTGATTTCATCCAGACGGTAAATAAGGGTGGACCCTTATCATGGACGGTGCAACAGTCGATAGAAAAAGTAAAAGAAAATATACAATGGCGAAAAACCAATGAGAATGACGTTGAGTCCTGGTTAAAGGATTTCTTTGCTAAAAAGTCCAAGAAAGATACTGATGACGGTTTTACTGATCCGGCAAAATAGGCGACGAATTCCTCTGAATAATCATGATTACACTACCATAAATTTAGACGCAAAAATATTGCTTCGCGTGCAAGAAGTTCAAGAACTTTATCACTGTGACCCACTTGTTTATTTAAGGCTTTATGTGCGAGTTTACCACTTCAATTATTTCTTGTATCCTTTGATATTTTCATATGAATAGTAGCTAAACTTTTCAATTGTATCAAGTTTCCTTTTGTGATAGTTATTAAATCATTGTTCTTCAGTACATCACTTTGGCTTGTTGAAAATAATTTGCTATCCGTCACAAGAATCACTGTTTTGGTTGATGCAGTAATCAAAAAGGAGATAGCAAGGCAGAAGGTTGTGTTGACACGTTTATTCCGGTCTGTTCCTTCCAAGTCGATCATGCGCACTTGCAAACTGATCACTGGCTATTGCTGACAACGCAGATATTTCCATCGCTAGCGCAAATGACGCGATTATTTCTGCAAAGCGATAAATGCGACCCTGAAAGATGGAAAAATACATTGACATAATATTTGGTAATGCAAATATAGATACATCAAGTTTACTTGTACTTTATGGGGAAATGTTCTGAAAAAGTGCTCAGAAATTTACAGCGCGATTGTGATGGCGAAAGAACCGTGTACATTGGAAAATACTCTCAAAATCACATGGCGCCTACGAAATATCTCAGTAGTTTACGCCGAAAATCTGTGCAGGTTTTAGGGTTAATGCCTAATCGTTTTACTATTAAAATGCATGAGATAAAAAAGTCAACAGCCTCCTTATCACCTTTCCTAAGCATCCTAGCATATTCAGCGATTCTTTGGCGGTCGGTGTGTATGTTCCACCTCCCACTGTTCCAATTAACAGGGTGGGGAGAACGAGACACGCATAGATACCAGCTTCACTTTTCATTCCAGCATTCCCTAAAATAACAAAGGTTGGTCTCCATCTCAATCAAATTAAAAAGGTACATCACTTAGTTATAGGGTCCACTGTCCAGTGTTGATCAAAAAATTGCGTGTTACCAATAAATGTGTTTACGGGTTGTTTGTGATCAAAACTATACAAAGACAATCCTCTTCTCTTACGGTGCTCAGTTGCCTGAATCCTTATTTCTTCTTCCGCTGATATCTCAAACACAGACCAAGAACTCTCATGAACACAGGCAATATCCTGCCCAGTTGCAGTAAATATGGCCGCCAAAGTGTTGCTTACAACTTGATTAATACCACAGGACCCAGACCTCTGCGCACTCAATGCAAGAGCATTAAAGGCTTTAACCAACTTCTTGGAGTCAATCTGATGTGCGCAAAAAGGTATTAGAGAAAGTAACATAAATGGTGTCCTGTAAGTACGAACTATACTCAGACAGGTGTTCACATCATCAGCGAAAAGGTCTGTGAACGGTCATATCTTGAAATGAGTTAAAAACCTCATCATTCCTTAAGTAGCATCCTTCTGGTGTTCCAGACAGAATTTAGGGTATTAGGACACGAAACAAGCTGAAAGCTGAAGGATATTCCTTTATGCTTTGCTCGTGAAGCGTAACTGGGACCCTTTGACACGAGAAAAGGCTATGCATTTTCATGTGATTGAATCTTTCATATTCACGAGACATACAGAATCGTCAAACCATCACATTCACTTACTTTCAAAACACTTTTAAGGGTTGACTCGGTAATATAAGTTTCGGCCTGAACTTCAATTCCCCGCCCAGTGACATAGTTTTTGGGAATGTTATTTTTATCGCCACTGAACTTAGTTTCAATGTAATATTCCCTGATATTGATATCAGGGCACTCTTGGGCGATCCTCTCTTTGGCCCAGTCACAAGCGTACCAAGTGGTAACGGTGACAGCGTTTTGGCCAGCGGCATCAGCAGAATCGTAGACAAATTCCATCATGACGTTGCGACCTAAAATTTTCAGAATGTTTCACTTTTTGACAGCATTACGGTACTAACTTCATAAAAATATTAAAAACTATCCAAACAGTTCGTTTTTCACAAATGAAACTGACATGAGGCTTATCTCACAAACTTAGATCTTCATCATACCTCAGCTGATCCATGAGAGCATCAAACCGTTACATCGGAATCACGAGAGGTTCGAACCTAGGCAGTCGTAATTTTTCCTTGTCCATCGATAACGGTGCAAATTAAAATTCTTAAAGCTTAAAACTGTCCTTAGCAAAACAAAGACATATTTCGCAGAGACAAACTTTATTTCCCGAATTTCCCCCCCTTTAAGCTACTTCTTCATATGCCGGTGATGATTGGCTTGTAGATGAAATTACAAAATAAAAGGTATAATAAACATCAGATAATAAGCCATCATCATTTAGATTTTGTACAACTAAGAAATTAAAAAATGTCATAGTACTACCAACCAATAAACCAGGGCTGCAGAGACTGAAGCTTGCAGTGTTGGCTGACCTCCCCTGCTTTGGCTTTCAGTTCATCAAAATGAGACAGAAGCCAATGTGATAATTTCTGGGCTTGTTGCATGGAATCTGTCACAAAATATGGTACTCTTTGGATCCTGCGCTTTATGACACGTGTGGAGACCCCACCGCACCTGTAAGTAAACAGAATAGGTGTACGAAGACAGCCTTCAGTATAGGTAGGTAATGGATGGTTTACATCGGGAAGAATGTAAACGGAAATTTCCTCTGGTAAAATAGGCATTGTGGGCGATAATGTATGAGAATAATTTACATAGTTGCCTAGCAGAGCTCATCCCGATTTCTGTAGCAGGAAGTAATTACAAATGTTGCGTTTCCTCCACAAAGGATCTACGTCGCAAATTTTCTCCCCTCACCCTGCCTCGTTGCATTTGAAACTCCTTTTGCTGCTTGCTATTGCTTGCTTGTCAGACTTATAAACAATAGCGAGGCTGAGATCGACCTCATTAAGATAGACACGAGAAGATAGTTACTGTAATAACACCGAAAAATACAAATGAAAAGTAGCAAGGTTTGTATTATGATGTAACCTTCAGCCTTACTCCCGTTAAATGTCTGGGTAGCTGGTCACACAACTTACCTTGTGATGGCCTTGGCACCCCTTGACGTAGAGGCAACGATCGCCCCTTCGGTTGTGGCGATAGGACATAGAATCATTTCATTGTGCACATGATCTCCTTTGATGAGCAAGGGCCCAGCTACACCTTGGGGAATCTTAGCGAGTCCTATCGGATTTTCTATGTTCCCTTTGAGATTTTCAGTTGTATACCCCTGGGATAGTTTAGGATTCCACCACTGTCCAACGTTTGATAGAGAAGCGGAAGTAACTTGTTCAACCCATTCTCTTCTATTGTCGCAGTCTTCGAGACGATAACTTCCTTTGTGAGGAACCTGAAGTTTTTTTAACCGGGGAGGAAGGGTACTTGCTTAACAAATAAATGATAATTATCAACTTTATCGAATGTCGAAACGTAGGGAGACGTAACCCAGACTCCTGAGCCGGTGCTTATGGATAAGCGAGAAACGCTCGACGAACAAAATAGACATAAAGTATGTGAAAACAATTGAGACAAAAAAAATTATGCAGGATGAAAATTAACGGCAAGTATACCAATTAAGATATCAACACATATTAATTACCTCAGCAGTTATTAAAATATGTCCAAGGGCACTCCGAGAGCAGGACTTCGTTCAGAGTGGAAAAAAATAGTTTCAAATGAGTTGAGGATTTAATTAAAAGTGGTCACCGATTTCACCGAGGAAGTCATATGAAGGAGTTGAGAATAACAAGGCCATTGGAGGATGTCTGAATGGTTTGAAGCCAGAACAGCGAATATACTCGACCCAATCTTAACCGCATGCTTAGTGGCTACAGAACGCTTGTACATAATTCGTTTGGTCAATTTGCTAAGAGCTCACATAACGACTATTGCAACTATTGCAACCTGCCAAACGTAGAGCCTCTGTTCTCCAACTTCTTGGAAATTGCTCTCGAGTTTGATCAATTCTGTTCAATCCTGAGATTTTGTGACAACCGAAAACGGGTGAAACTATTTCACTGATGCGTCCAAGTCAACTTATGGTGCAAGCTGGAAAGGATGGAACGTTTTAGTAGCCATTTACATGCGATGGTTTTGCTTGAGTAGGGCAAGACGAGTCAGAAGACCAAATCTCTAAAAAAATACAGGAGGAAAGCCTCTTTCTTATAGATTACATGTACTAATTCAAGAATATGTTGGCGAGCGGTAGGAACATTCGAAGCCCTTTGCAACTTTTTTAGTCGATATGTAACCACGCAATATTGGCTTAGAGTTGCTGCAGATTCAGGTTTTTCAAATCTATCCTTTCTCCAGTTCATTGGGGAAGAAACTCACGTCACGATTTCACTCCCTGCATCTTACTTGTGGTCACAGCACACTAAAAAGAATATTGAAAAACTGGAAAGAGTACAGAGGAGAGCAACTAGAGCTAAGAAATTTCTATTAGAGTTATGAGTACTTTGATCTGATTATTTCTGTCTGTCCTGTTTTCTGGATGTTACATATGTTTGTCAGACAGAGATACTTCAAATATCTCTTTTATTGGATAATCTATAGATATTTTTACATCATAGATCTACATTCCATTTAAATTCTGACTCAGTTTTTCAGGAGTATTTCATCTATTCATCTAATTATTCATAGTCTTATTTTTTATATAGTTTTTATTTATATATATATATATTTTTATTATGGTGATCCGTCTTTGTATGGGGTCTATGAATTCTTCACGGATTATCCATTGGCTGTAATATCTATCATTTATAATTATTTTAGCTTAGTTTTATTTAGTTTTGCATTGTATATGCCAAGAATTGCAATAAATAAAAATAAATAAAATTACCTGAATTTCTTGTCCTGAATTATTACCGCTGACATGATCACTAAGACATCTCTTTGTCAAATTGAGCTGCTTCTCAAGAGGAAATTCATTATGGAATAATTTGATTCTCCGAAACGAAAGCCTCAGCATCATTCAATTTATCTGTAGAGTAGATCAGTTATAAAGTTAACTTTTTCTTTAAATCTTGTTCAACTGATCTCTACCTTGAATTACATATGATAAACAGAGTACAGTTATCTCAATGACTCCCGGTAGCCTGGCGTCACGCAACACCTCCTCAAGATTGCGAACCCGGTTCATTTCAATTGGCAGAGAAAAATTAGCGTTTCGAGCGCTCAGACGTTTCCAGCCTCACTGCTTAACTCTTCAACCCCTCGGTGTGATTGCCATCTAATTTCTCCGTACAGATCACCGACGGATCAAACATTATCGCTACCTAACGGAGCTCTTGATTGTTTGTAATATTCTCTATGTAAATAGAGACACACGAGAATAGAATAAAGACACAGATAGAATACCACACGAGAAGAGTGTGGATAATATTCATACTGATGTTAGGGTGCAAAAGGTGAACTTAATAATATGTCAACGCTTATCAGAAAGCTTAAAGCGGTCAGTGTTCGTTATTATATCACGAATTTTACGCATCCATTTCACAAAAAAACAATTTTATAATTCAAATTACCATAACATGCTTGAGAAACATCGTAGAAGAAATACTCCCCTTCGACGACCAAAACATTCGTCCTCAGTGGAATTCACTGAGACCGATAACAGAACGAATATAGAAAAAAATCACCAAACTCGACAGGACAGATTTATTCCGGAAAAAACGTTTAGCGATTGCTGTCGAGGCACTGAGCAAGCTGCCAGTTAATACAATAAAACAAAAGTAAACATTTTTCTACCGTAGAAAATCAAAACGCAAGAAACCACGTCGATCAATAATTTAGCACTCCTCTAACTTACCACCCAGATGCCTTCTGTCTGCTTTTAATTCCAATGATATGTGACAACAACACCCACTACATCAGCATTGCTGCAGGCAAGTTGCGCCCGCGGTACCTTAGGGGATGGGATTAATATAATATTAGATTTTGGTTCCACACCATGACATTTCGTTTCACGAAGTCTCAAACCAGTAAACCTCAGTGCACATTCACAATTACTGTTGTGAAGTAATTTGACTACAAGACGTTAATACCTAACATGTATGTCTGCTTTTCTCATCGAATGGTTTGATAACAATGATCTGCACTCAATCCGAACTGACGTGTGTGCGATGTTTTGTTTTACGTGACTGATTTGCGTGACGGCAGTCTCAACGCCAACACCAACTGAACTGTTGAAGACTTTTCGTGTCAGGTTTATGAATAAATAAGTAAAATTCGGCAGCAGTGTAACTCAATATCATCAAAACATTTGACGAAGTTGTAACCGAAAAAAACTCGAAACAAGCGAAGGCGCTTGTCTATAATTACGACGTCAAACTGACAGGCTCTTTCCGAGAATTTCATGCGGAAGTTAGAATTCTGAGAAACATTCCCTTCTAGGAATTGGTCCTAATTGGTTTGAGTCTGCGCATTAACACTCACATTGTTTTGACGGCCTTTAAATGTGCTTGGATGGCATGAAAACTTGAAGGCAGTTAAAATATCGTCGACGAGGACAAGTTTCAACGAGAAACTTCGTCGACAGAGGATTCACAATGATGAGTGTTTTGCGAAATCTCTAAATTTCTGTCAAACTGGGTACTTGTGTTAGCATGGCACATCGTCGAAATAAGCAATCGAAGCACAAACTTCCGCCTAAAACTAGAGATATCGAACTGAGCATAAATATATGGGGAGATCGTTTTCAATCAGAGGGAGAAAGAGGACGCCGTCATCAACTGAAAGATTTCAAAGGTTTACTGGAGGCTGCTGGGTTCCAAGTTGCGAAAGCGCAGGAGCCAGTGAATTCTCCGGCCGGGAATGCCAGAATTATCAACATCGTGTTGAAGACAACGGAATCTAGAAAATCGAAGTTTTTTGAGCGATTTCGACGAGAATGGTGTTCCTCTATTTGTCATCGTGGCGACTCGTTCTGGATGGAGTCAGAGACTCCCAAAGATACTTTCAAATACAAGACAGATGAGACACGGCAAATGATTAGAGTCGCTTCCTTCAGCTTTGGAACATTTACTACTCTTGGTACGTACGTACAGCACTGGTCAAGTGAACAAGATTCTGCATCTATTCAAGAAGGAAGCATTGAAAGCGAGTTCCAACATGATCTGGGGACTTTCACGATCTTCATTTTTAAGGAGGGCGCCATTGAAGGATCTAAAGAAATTAAATTTGAAATGGAACACAGGCAGTTTGAAAATTATGTCGTCGTTGATGAAAACGTTGTCAGTAGAAAAATAAGCTTCTATTTTCCCCTTCAGTGGCCACCAAAAATCTTCGAAGGTAAGTAAAAGAATATAACATTGCCTTTTCAAGAAAAAGGAATGTTATTTCCTTTTCATAAATCACGATAAGAAATGTCCAAAGCAAGTAGGTGAGATAATGAAGGCACTTCCTTTTTTCAAGTTCTCTGGGTCTTTTGAATTCAAGAAATTACAAAATGAGGTTAGAAAAATAGCCTGCGCTAAGTTTTCAGTCTTGAATTAAAAACTTACGTTGCCAACCATCTTAATCAAATGTTTTAGTATCGCATGAGAAGAATTACCGTGAAACGTCTGCCATCACTCATTTGTCTTGGTGATCTTTGTAAATGACGAAGGAGAATTAAAGATCCTTATAGTGTAATATTATCAGTCGTTCCGAAATTTAGATTTATCACCTTGAGGTTTAATCAAAATTCCATTTGGTAAGGAGTATCTCCATTCCTTTTATAAACAATATCCTGGTGTGAGATATGTTCATAATGTTTTAATTCTCTATCGACTGCAGAGGTGACAATCAATGACCACACAAACTACGATCGTTTGACGCATTTCCTCGGGTGCAGTCGAGAAATTCTAGGCTCCAGCTCGGTGTTATGTTTAAATTTTCCTCTGAAAGAAAGAATCCTCGAAAGAGATGAGGCAGATTCCCCTCTTGGATTAATGACTGGCCTTTCACGAAGAGGTAAGCACTAATCATGTTTATACTGATGACTCTGCTTAATCACATCGACCGTGACCAACTTCACCATTGGGTGTTTTTTTGTTTTTTTTTTTGGTTTTTGTTTCCGTTTTGTTTTTGTTGTTTTTTTCATTCTCCAGCTCGTGTTTATTTTTAAGATGATAACAGAAAAAACGAATCAATCTGAGCTTTTTAATTCTTAGTTTACTCTGTCGAAAAACTTGCAAGGAAATTATTCCAGTTTAAAGTAATATTTCGAGCCTGAAAACTCTTGGTAATTCTTTTACACTATTTCTTGGGATATTTCTGATAATGTAATTTTTTTATACAACTGTCATTAATTTACTTTCCCTTATTTTTAAGTTATATCGTTATTTTCACGTTATTTAGGGACCAGTCAATATTTATTGTCTTGGCAGGGGGGAGGCATGTTTATATCGTTATTTTTTACGTTATTTAGGGACTAGTCAATATTTATTGCCTTGGCAGGGGGGAGGATTTTATGGGGGATCACTTGGTTTTAGGGTTTGGGGGAAACGAAGTGGGGACCAGTCGTCGCTTATCATAGAAAATTGACAGTCAACGAGGGGTGATCATTGGAATAATACAGAGCTAAGGGGGAATCAGGTAAATTTTATTGGGAGACAAACAAATTCCTACGACCATTCACTTTTCCCACCCCCCTCCCCCCCAGGCAATAAATAATGAGCAGTCCTTTATTAAATAACTTTTTCTTCTGTGATTTCTCATGCAGTTTATTTATTTACTTTTCATACGATTATATGTTAAATATTTTGTTGCTTTATCTTTAAATTAATTACTTATCTGCTTATTTTCCCAGCTATCTGTTCATAAATATATTCACTCATTTCCAGGCTTTTCTCTTTGTTTTGCGAATATAAAGACAAACTTTCCCCGAGGAATCACGGAGGTTCCAAGGAAACCGACGCTCTCTGACCCTAAAATCATGTACGCTTTAGAATGTCTTCTGTCTCGAGGCTTCAAAGTTCGTGATCGTATTTCTCGAAAGTTTTACGACTTGTTAAGAAACGCCACAGACAGGTACGGCTCACTCCAAGAGAATAACCTTGTATCTCCTGAAAAAGTTTGCAAAGCTCTGTACAGATTGGTCAGTATTGTGGAGACGGATCGATTCTGCCCTTTAGTGCATTACCTTGAAAAGTTGCTCTATGGAGACATGATGCATCTGACGGCATTTGAATTTGAGATTCCGAAGCATTACGCATACGTACCTCGACTCATCGTTACTCCCACTCAAGATTACCTTCTGCCCGCAGAATTGGTGGCAGAGAACCGTGTCATCAGGGAGTATGGGCACGAGAGAGCGATGCGCATTGCATTCCGGGAGGAAGACTTTTCTAAGCTCTCATCAACTCACCCAGAAGGTCTAAAACACGTGTTAAAAGAACGCGTGGTAGAACTGCTCTCCAAAGACGTCCACATTGCTGGGAGAAAGTTCGAGTTCCTGGCTTGTTCCAATAGTCAGTTACGTGATCATGGTGCATGGCTGTACGACACGGAAGGAGAGCACAGAGCCGCTGACATAAGAGGATCGCTAGGACAGCTTAATGAAATCAGATGCGTTGCCACCTATGTATCTCGCATGGGTCAGTGTTTCTCGTCCACAAAAGAGGCTGTCACAGTCAGTATTGAAGTGGGTTGCAAGGTGGAAAAAATTCCAGATGTAGAAGTAGAATACAACAATGTTTATTTTGAATGTTGTCGCAACTTAAGATCTGGAAAATACACCTTTAGCGATGGAGTTGGGAAAATCAGCAGGGCTTTGGCTGAGAAGGTATGTAACAACAATATATCGATCAGATTTTTTCTGGCCTTTTTTTACACCTAAAATTTTACGATATAAGTCGTATTTTTTCAGTGTTAGGAAACAGTTCTTTTTTCACGTCACTTCATCAGATTCAAGAATCCAAAATGGAAAATTCGTGATAGGAGCGTTTTGACAAATATCTGAGTTTGGGATATATCACTGACCTGCCGATATCCTCTTTTCAATGTCAGGTAGCAGATAGCCTCAGTTTAGAACCTACTCCCTCAGCTTATCAGATTCGTTACGGTGGTTGTAAAGGAATGCTGGCAATAGATCCCAGGCTCCCAAACGGAGATAACCAGGAAATCCTGCAATATCGTAAGAGTATGGAGAAGTTCAACTCAAAGCATTCTGCTCTGGAGATATGTGAGGCAACGAAGCCGAGTAAGTTACCCTGTCATTGTTATTCGTTGGAGTGTCTTGGAATGTTGCAATTCGATCATTGAACTCTAAAATGGCATTTGAACCCTAAATTTCTTGAATAAATTCTCCATGTTCGGTACATAAACTAAACTTCTATTACTAGTAATAAATGCAAATGCTAAAGGATATAAATGGTTGCAATCCAAATCAAACCGTGCCTCTACATCTGCAGATTTCGAATGCAACCAGACATGACCTAGTAGTTAAAATTTTCCTTTTTTGCAACTGATAACGAGCACTTCTTGTAGAAATTCTTGTGTTTTTCGCAGATTTTAATAATCAATCCCCAGTTTAGTCATATTACAGAGCTGTTATCCGACTTAGATGAAACTGCTGATGAAATTATTATTGCCCTCTATTCATATCAAATTTTAGATCTTTTGTACCTTAACCGTCAGTGTATCATCCTGTTGAATGGCCTCGGAGTTCCGGACGAGTCGTTTATCAGTCTTCAAGACAAAATGCTCCGTAGCTTGGCCTTAATGTTGCTGTTTGAAACAGTAGCACTAGAAACTCTTCAACGAGCCAACATTCCAGGTGGTTTGAAGATTACAGCCTTATCACGCAGTGGTTTGAACGTTACCCGAGAACCGTTCTTCCGCTCTTTGTTGCTGGCCATATATAAAAGTCGGCTGGGGGAATTATTGCGAAGGGCCCGGATTGCTATCCCAGAAACCCATGGTCGTCTCTTGATGGGCGTCATAGACGAGACCGGTTCTTTAGAATATGGTCAGGTGTTTGTTCGATACTCGAAACTGGTTAGTCAACCAGGAAAGCAGCTGGAAATACTGAAAGGCAAAGTGGTAATAAGCAAGAATCCTTGTTTTCACCCAGGTCAGTATATGACTGGTTCTTAAAAGTATTTTATTCCATTTCTAGGGTTCTTTTGGTTACAACTCTCAAATCATTAATTAGGATTTCTGTTATTTACCTTTCCATCATACATAACACCTTACAAAGGATTTTGACACCCTACAAAGGATTTTGACACCCTACAAAGGATTTTAATACCTTACAAAGGATTTTGACTTCGTAAAGTGTAAAGTGAACCTCCACCTCACTTTTGCCACTTAATTTGTGTTTGTTTATAGGTGACATGCGCATATTTGAAGCAGTGGATATCCCAGCTCTTCACCACTTGGTCGACTGCCTTGTTTTTCCCGCCAAAGGCCACAGGCCTCACTCAGATGAAATGTCTGGTTCAGATCTCGATGGAGATAAGTATTTTGTCACGTGGTATGAAAAGCTTCTCCCACGAAAAGATAACGTTGCCCCAATGGACTTCACATCCCCGGAGAAGATGGAGCTACAAAGACCCATAGAAGTGTCTGACATGATTCAGTTTGTGGCGGAATACATTAAAAATGATCAACTTGGTATCATTGCAAATGCTCATCTTGTCCATGCAGACCACGATGAGGAAGGTAAGCTGTTTTAATTAACGTATTAAGATGAACTGAATGAACTTTCACCATACTAAGAATGCATGGATGACAATATCCAGAGAGAAAATTAAAACATTGAAGAGATGTAACCTTTTTAAACTAATATACAGTCAGAGTTCCAATTAAAAATTGTTAGTATCTTTTTTTCAGTTTATTTTACATCAAGCATCGACACCTCAAAATATTTCAAACCAGTAACCTCGTGTAACTGACCGTAGTAGTGTGCATGACGCGTGGACGCGTATCGTGTGTGAACCTAGGTAGCGATCTGTCAATTATGGGGGGGAACCGTTGGTGCGAATGGGGGAAGGGTCATGACATTTTATGCAACCAAAACAAGTAGGGTTACCATCAATTTGTGCAGTGCTCTTGGGGTTATGGTGTTGAGTTCAAAAGATAAGACAACTGTGGAGACAGTGATGCGAATCACCGATCATCTGAGATAATAATTGCATGTATTTTGTTCAAATTGTAACAGATCTTCCACAATCAGTTTGTATATAAGTGAGGCGCTCACTCGAAGCTTTCAATAATGTAACATTCCTTCATTTAAGGTGTGTTTTCGGACGCCTGTATCCGTTTGGCTCACATGCACTCGGATGCCGTAGATTTTCCAAAAACAGGAAAGTGTCCGTCTTTGCCCAAAGAGTTGAGGCCAGATCAGTACCCAGACTTCATGATGAAATCCGGGAAACCCCGCTACAAGTAAGTTTTGCCGATGACAACCAAAATTGGACGAAAGATATCTAACTCTTTTTTTTTAATTCGAATCATGGTTTGTATCTCATTTAGAATCCAGCTCCCAGTTGGCTTGTTAGCTCAGTTGTTAGGGCACTGCACTGGTATCGCAGAAGTCATGAGTTCAAATCCCGTACAGGCCTGAATTTTTTTCAGGCCTTATTTTCGCTACTGCTCAAGTAGTGTTAGGAACCCAATGGGCTTTTAGTAGTGTTTATTACCGCGAAGATCGCTTTCATATTTACGTCTTTATCTGCAGTCCACATGTATGATTTTCATATGTTCACTGTGACTGTAGCCAGCCCAGTCCGCGATTAGGGGATTTACACTCGTTTAGAGTGCTTTTTTCTTCCCTTTCGCGGTCCTAAGGCTGGACAAGATAAAGAAGTATATTTCTAATATACTACTAAGTTTAATTAGCTCTGTATTATTTCGAATTTTCTTTTTACGTTTTTTTTGTAGCGTCGTTCGATAAACATTCGCATCATGTCATAAGTAGACCTTTTCCATTTATTTAATTTTTACGGCTTCCGCTTGAGGTCAGTAAAGTCTACCATCCATAACTTCAGTCAGTTGTTTTTTTAATCTATGTAGTTACATTCACAGTCAGTAACACTTTACGATGATGCTATATAAAGTATACCCAAACGACCTCATGGCAGCATGTAGACGAATTATAGCGATCCACTTCCGAGAAATGGCTACACCATAAGACAAATAATAATTTCCTACGCGTCCATGAAGAAAATGGACTTTTTTATAACATTTCTGCTCCAGCCAGCAGATTGTTGTGTTGAATACGCTATTACATCGAAAATTAAATCTCTTGAAGGACTATGTTAAGTGTTCTACAAGGCGAAAAATTTAACGCTGTAGATGTGTTCTGCCACACTTCAACAAATAAAATATTCTTTTTTTTTATTTTCAGTTCTCAAAGGATCCTGGGAAAACTCTTTCGCAAGTGTAAATCCCTTGATCGTGCCCAGCAGTTCTCAGCTGAGGCCTCTCAGAGCCAGATCATTCCCGACCCCGACCTGATCGTTCAAGGGTATGAGCACTATCTTGAAGAGGCCGAAGCAGTGAGAATTCACTACAACACCAAGCTCGATGGGCTGATGTCTTTATATGGCTTAAGAAATGAGGGAGAAGTGATAACCGGCTGCCTTGTTAAGGTAAACACTCGCCTCGCTGGAAAAACCGATGAAAAATTTGAAGTGGCGCAGATGATTCAAGCAAGTCTATCCACGCTACGTGCAAAAACGCGGCACGATTTTTATGATGAATTTGGCGGGGAAGATGAAGTGATGGAGGAGTTTGAAGAAAATGGTCATTTTGCCGAAGAGATTTTGCAGAAAGCCTCGGCATGGTACATGACAACTTATGGAGACAGAGGTGAAGGTGAAGTCCAGAGAACAGCTTCGTCTACAGATCCAAATCAGCAACGGGAGAAAGGAGACCGGAAAAGATTGCTCAGCTTTCCTTGGGTGGTCGACCGTGTCCTGGCAAATATCAAAAAAGGTAAAAAACAAGAGCGGGAGAGGGATGGAACCCAAGCCCAACATGCCATGGGTGCAGTCGGTGACCTCATAACAGATCAAACAGCTTACTTTTTTGATAAGTTGAAATCAGAGCTTGTTGATACTCGGAAGGTTCAAATTGAAGAGCGAGATAAGCTGAAGGATACGCTTAACCTTCTACTTGGAGAGGCCCGGGCGCCGCGGCTGGCTTTGTTCGACTCGTCGTTGACCGGAATCTCCGTGGGCGACGAACAGACGTCTGTCGGGATTTATATCCATGTCAAGTGGAATGCATCTGAGAAGGAGCAATATGAGTACCTCCAATGGCTAGGCAGAGCACTCAGCCGGGAGGGTGAAGTCAAGATGCAACGACATCCTTTGGTTCTGCATTTTCAACGCGGCTCCTCTCAAGGTACATAAATTAAATTATATTCAAAGATTCACAACAAGATGATATTGTTTTTAACATTACCTCTAATTTCTATGGATTAAATGTCTCTGTTATACCACATTGGAATGGTCTCGAGAGCTTTGAAATACATCCTGATATTTTAATCTAACTCGCCAAGTAGTAGAAAAAAGAAAACATCCTTTCTTTGCATAACTATCTAGGTCTCAAGTTATTGAGGCAGGACTTCTACATCACAGCAGACTCTAACAGATTTCAAAAGAGTGCTTATGTCAGTATGCAGGTTCAGCGGTGTCCTCGACTCCTTCATCTGCTGCTGATTTTGATCCACTGGGGGCGTCGACGGCGTATTATTGGGAACTCGAGGAACAGCTTCCTGTCAGACGAAAATCTGGCCACCATTTTTCTCGTATTTTGTGAGGAATCTGACTTTATTAATAAGGTAAGTCTCATGTACTCGTGCATTAGTGATTTTCGGAAAGAAAAAATGAAAGTTGCTAGTTGCAGAGCGTAAGGGTGCGTTCCTTTGGGAGGATCCGGATTTGAATTTGTGATCCAAGATCACACAGATCACGGTGCATCAAAGGAACGGAGCTTTAGTTCATCGGATTAGTTACCATGACAGCAGGCGCGAAATTGTAGAGCGCGTCAGCGGAATCGCGCGATAAATTTAAAAACAAAAACAAGATGGCCGTCGCGTATAGAGCAGCTGTTGTTTCGTGAGTAGAGGAACTTTCCGATCATTCAATTCTACAAGAAGCGAGAAGCAGTGAAGATGAAGAATTTCTATTTTTTCTCTTGAAAAGGAAGATGCAAAGCCATGTCCGCTCTGAGAATTATTTCGAACGTATTAAACAATTCTCCTGTGTTGGGAACCCTGAATGCCGGCGATCAGTGGCCGATCGATTTAACATTACAAAATTGAGTGTATTTCGTGTTTATCACAGAATTTGTGGAGCGATCCCCAACAATCTTTCCGGTCAATATATGAGGTACCTACATGTTTGAAATTGGGCACCGCTGGGCAAAATGATTAATTTCTGATCCTTCTCCCAAAGGAACGCGTTGGATCAATGATCCAATGATCCAATGATCCGTCTTTAGATCGCGCAGACCGGTGATCCGATGAATCCTTGTCCAGAGTGGATTTGATAGATAACTGATCTTAAAATGAATTTGCTCGAAAGGAACGCCGCAGATCAGAAATCCTGATCCGGATTCTCCTAAAGGAACGCACCCTAACTTTCAATTATTATCTGGAAACGAAAGTAAGGGAAAATGATTTAGAGGGAGGACTTTATGCGTCCTGAGAAAGGGTATCACCGTCTTAAGAAAAATTTCGATAAAACATCTTCATGTCATTCTTTCATTCAGTCTAAAAATGAAAGTTTTTTTTTTCACTTTTACCGCCAGGACGTCAGTCACATTCCCCTTTTTATCATACTTTTTTTATTAGCTAAGCAGCGCTGATATGCAGAACTTCTCTTCACGCCATCTTGGTTTACCGTCCAGCGTCGAACAAACCGAGGCTGAGAGGGTGTGGAGCAATGAAGTGCTGGGAGAAGATTATCAGGAAAGACTAAAAGGTCTCAAAGGCGACAAAACTCCAGGTCATCTGTTGATCAAATTTTTTGAGCATTACAGTTTAGTAGCAGACGATGATCCCCTTCATATACGAATTATGACAAATCCAGTGAAAAGCCTGGAAACGCTTTGTCCAAACGTTTCTACAGAAGAAAGTAATCGCTTTTCCGATGCTGCTCTTCATGCGTTCCATGAACTTGCACAGTGTTGTGGTCTGGATAGTTTTACTGCATCAAGACATACAGAGAGCACGCGTGAGCTAAAAGAAACGCTGTCCATGCCCAACACGACTTGGGGCGCGCTCCGCTTTGCTGAAGAATTCGTGAGAGTCAAGTTATCGACTCTAACGTCAGCTCAGATCTCCTTAAGACCAGGTAATTTGTTTCGATTTCAAGAAGTTTTAGATCATTTAATCTGGTGTTTTGGTACGCGTAAAAAGAGAATCAATCGAGGGAAATAAAACGTGGAATCTTGCACATTTTTCAACATACCGGTATGGATGACGGTTTTGATGGAGAGGGCTGGTTGCTAGGTTAATAGTTGATTTGATCATCCAGGATGCCGGTTACCTAATTTAAATGGTTCATTTAGTTGCGCAGGATGCCAGCTAGCTAATTTGAATGGTTCATTTGGTCGCCCAGGATGCCGGTTAGTTAATTTAAATGCTTCATTTGGTTGCTCAGGATACCGGCTAGCTAATTTGAATGCTTCATTTGGTTGCTCAGGATACCGGCTAGCTAATTTGAATGCTTCATATGGTTGGTGAATGGCTGTTCAAATGATGGATTGGTTGGTTGCTTGGTTGATGTGGTCATTTCATTAATTGTTTTGTTTTAATGGGTGATTAAATTGAAGGGTTGATCCATATTTTGGGTTGGTTTGTTGGTTGGCTGGCTGCCTTGCATTTATTTTTTCGTAGATGTTCTGGCTGGTTGTATCATTTGTTGGTTTGGTTGCTTGGTTGTTTTTTAAGCTGTCAGCTTTTATTGCTTTATTCATTTGTTTCCTTTTTGTATTTCATAGATGGTTTGGTTAGTTGAATCATTTGCTTGTTTGGTTGGTTGTCTGGTTTTTCGGTTGGTTGCGTCCGATTGTTTCTTCATTTATTTATTTCGTAAATGGTTTGGTTGTTTGTTTCATTAATTATTTTGTTGCTTGATTGTTTGGTTGGAAATATTTGGATACTGCTAGATTGATCGGTAAATTAATTTAGTCGGTCAGTATGTTGATTCAGTTGATACAGTTGGTCCTGATTGGCTGATTAACTGATTCGGTCTGTTGATAAGAACCAAGTGACAAAGAAACTAGATACAACGTCTCCGAGTGTATACATAAGCTTTCCTTCATGCGCAAATCTTCTCACTTATTCACAATTTCAGAGTTTAGAGTGCTTATGATCATAATATTTTTTCCGCTGGATCGCGATTCGGTTGCTGAATTAGTCCGCTTGCACTAACGCCAAAATGATAACAAGATATCTGTTATCAATGGGTGTAACCTGACATTATGAAGCTGGTCAAAAGCCTCTCTTTTTTTATGTAACTCCCTCCATTTGGTACGCTCTATGTAAGACTTCAAAGAACTCCTGTTAGTTCAAGATGATGTATGCATTATTGATCTCCCCAAATGATATGTTATGGCCTTTTTTTCCTAGACACGACACCAGTAAACTTACCTCGTGAATGAGTTCTAATAGGACTGTTATTTTTTATTTTCAGCTCAGAATGGTTACATTCTTGAGGCCACAGGAAATTACCTTACGTTGCACACCGTTCAAAATGAATTGGAGAAGATTGAAACGACTTGCAGGTCCTACATTTATGACCATACCGTGAGTGGGGCTAGTCGGTTTCTGTTCTTGGACCAAAATGGGCCAAATGATATGGTCAATTTTAAGCAGCTGCAACGAGGGGACTATGCGGTGAATCTAGACCCGTTGAATGGATTACTACGGCATGGCCTCGGCCTTGACGATGGGCCCAACAGCGATTTGGTAGAACAGAAATTTCTAAGCTTGATTTCCTCTCAAATGGGGGTTTTTAAGCAGGAGTATCTACCCTACGTTCACGGTGCTGATAGACTAATGATCAGGGTGGAATTTGGTAGCATTTATGTCCAAAACGCACGATTTGATGCACCAAGGGTTGGAGCCGTTGAGGATATTCTGAGTCAGAACGCAGATTCCACAAACCGGCCCGGGTCTAGTCAGGCCCAAAAACGGAAGTTGATGACACATAAGTTCATACCAGTTTTAGATTGCGGTGAGAGCTGGACTGCGGCGTTCCCGACAATCTTACATGATAGCTTTGCAGAAACGTACACCCTGGGAATAAAGGAAGGTAGAAACCACACCAAAACCGTTCGCTATGACAGCGAGTTGCAGTTCTGTGACGTAGACATTCCACCTATTAACTGGGTGGTAGCAGACGTCAAAGCTCCGCGCCATGCACGTGCGAAGTCACGTGACATAGATTTCCGCGTCACCGTCTGCTCTCAAAGAAAACTTGAAGATGATAAAGACGAAGTCATGAGCTCACCCGGTTACGAAATGTTTAGCACAAAATCAATCCTCAGCAAACCAGGCAATATGAGTTTGGATTTGGAGCTGGCAAGCGGCTTCCAAACGAAAGTTTCTTATGTCAGACATGATAAGACCTCGATCTATAAAATCTCTGACGGAAATCTGTTCCTTCAAGTAAAGGAAGTAATGAAATATGAAGGAAAAGGTTCGAGGTTTCTTAAACCCTCCAAAAACTCCACAGAAGTTAAAATATTTGGATTTTTTGATGGTAAAGGTGACCCGGAAGAGGCAATGAAGGTGTCCAGGAACTTATGGTCAGCGGCTAAAAGGCTGAGACCACACATTAGATAAATTACTCACTTTTAAGCAATGCAAATATCGCACAATTTTCAGATTTTTGTAAAACTATTTTCATGGAAAACGAGAAATTTTCTATTTTTTGGCACAATTACAATCAAATTCATCGAAGTTTTTACATAATTTTACCATTCTGTGACTTTTTTCCCACGGTGATTGTAGAAAAAGATTCGTGGACTAACAGTTATTAATTATCAGTATTAGGTAAACTTAAGGCCTAAGGATTAATAACGAAAAACACGCCGACGTTAAGGTCGTGTTTTGTTGATTGACTTGACGTGGATGTGTGTTTTTTTTCCTACCTTTAAAACATGTTCTTCGTTTTTTCTTTCTTTTTTTTTTCATCACTCAGAGTTAAGCTGAATTTGCTCCGAAAGTCTTTGATTTCATATAGTTTGTAAACTTTTCAGACACAATTTATTTGACCGCCCGTGTCTGAAGAATTGGCGAGATTTCACTCTCCGTAGATTCTTTTTTGTAGGGTCTAAATTTGACAAAGTCATATCGATTCAAACCAACTTTTTGATATCACTTAAAATGAAAAAACGATACTAATCAAACAGAGTCTGATGTTTTTTTTTTCAAGCTGACATAATCTATAATTTTTGCTTTGTCCATTAAACTGTGCATTATATGTAACAGTCTCTTTTATCAGATTTGCACGTGTTGATTGAGCCAGTTGGTAACATCTTCCTCATGCCGACTGAGCCAATGTATATTTGCGTGGATTCGCTCTATTCCCATTTTCACCTGGCGATAGGCTGCGTCTGTGGGCTTATAATCCTTGAAGAATTTCTTAACCTGTAACGAATCAAGAAAAATTCACAAGCAAACTTAAAAAGTCGGTTGAAAAACGCACATCTGCCTACAAAGTTACTTTTAGTAGGCTTTACACGTTAACCCCCATGAGTGACCAAAACAGAATTTCTCCTTTCAAAGTTAATAAATTATCAAGTAGACAAGTGAAGAGAATAAAGAAAAAATATTAATTAGGGGATTGTTATCTGATCCAATCCATAATTCCCCGAACTACCATGATGAGAATTATAACGAGGCAGACAGTGCGGAGAATTACTATTGAGATCTTAGGAGTGAAAGGACTAAGGTAAGTAGCAATTATTCTTCCCGTCGTTCCCTGTGTGAAGCAGCCAAGGGGAAGCCTAAAAAGGATAGTTTTTTAATATTACTTCAAGTCAGCCAGAATGAAATGAGCCGGAATAATAACGAAATAATTTATTTTGTTTTAGTAACTTTGCGTTCAATTGAGAGGCACGTCTAAATACTGGGAAGAGCCCGTCAACACTGTCTAACTTTGGATTTCGCGAAAGTGGCAACAAGGCATGTGCTGAACATCAAGAGGAACACCGTGACATGCGTGGATGGATAACGCCATATAACCGTCGAAGACGGCTAGTTCAAGTTGTGTAATGCATCAAAAAAGCCAAAAGATTATTATTATAAAAAAAAAAACATCTTTCACAACCCTGGCATTTTATTTCTTATCGAATACGGAAAATAATCTACATCTATATCAAATATCCTACCTGGCTCAGTTGTGCGAGAGTGTTGCATTTAAACATCAAAGATTCAATCAACACTGGCCATTCATCAGATCCACGACTATACCTAAGGTAAAACATTTCAGTTAATTTTAAATTGACCGGTCAGTTTTCATCATTCAGAAAGATGCTACAATTTACTTTTCAAATAAGGCTTTAAATGGCGCTTCATACCGCTTTCAAACGCTATTGTCCTGTTTAAAAGGATACTTTTTTGATGTCGGACGCTGTTTTTTATCTCAGTCATTTTATCTCAGTCGGCTGCATGCGATTGTATGCATGTTCTCAGGGAATTTACTTTATCCGTTATTGTAATTTGTGTTTGATTTTCTTTCCAAGCTTCAAAATGCAACTTATTTTCTTTCCATATGAAACTCGTGCACATGAAAATAATAGTCGAAGAGAATCATATCCCATGTTCGCACAGAGCAAGGGTTTTTAGTCGAAGTTGCCTTGCAATTTAATCGAATTCTGTGATTCAAAGTGTTTCAGGCCAAAAAAAATGTCAAATTTGCTCTTCAAATTACTTCCTTTCAGGTGGCTTAGCCAGAACAAAATATGGTTTGTGATGACGCAAAAAAAAAAAAAGGAGAACAGGAAGATGAATTCCTTTTGAAATATTTGTCTGAAACGCTTTTCATTGGCAGAAAATAATGAAAGAAGACTGCTTTAGTTGGAGCGCCATTTAGGTCCTGCGAAGAGATGATTAGGAAGAGTTGTGAGATTTGAGATTGCAAGATAAGCGTCAAGGAGACAAAGGAACAACGTTTTGCAGTAGAGGTCATATCGCCTCCAAGTGCGATTTTATGAGTTGATATCCTTCATACCTTTCGTACAGAATGTGCCAGCGTTCACGAAAAAAATCCCAAGCCATTTTCCATGATTCGGGGTTAGACGCCACCCCGCTGATTACTGAAAGTGTGTCTTGAGGGGAAATTTTTGTCTTATCCAACGAATAATTTAAGCACCTGTTGACGAAAAATTGAGAGGAGTAAGAGAGACGAGGGAATCTATTTCAGTTGGGAAAAAGACTTTGAAAACCTCGCTTAGAGCTTGTTTTCGAGTTCCAAAACTTTTAGAATTATGAGTTTATTTGCATCCCCAAAACAAATTTTTCGCACCTGACTGCGTATCAATTCAGATTCAAATCAGAAACTGCGAGGGAGATGTGCTATTTCTAGTGTTGCCAGTGAAGTTTGATAAGTTAAAGTTAAGGGCTGCAAACGATTGTGATAATCTCAGTTGAGAGCAACAGAGAGACCTAGAATAATTGGTGCAAAAAATACAATTTGCCCTAAGGGTTTTTTGGAGGCCTGTTGGTTTATGGTGATATGAGGATCCGATCGATCGGGCAGATAATGCGGGCTCATTTCACAAGGAGCGCAAAGCTTGTCCCACTGTAGGATACACTCCAGTGTGGGATACTCGCCTGTACACTCACTTTTGTATCATTTGAGTATTTCTTGTGTAAGTGAGTGCATCCAAAAGAATATCTTTTTCGGAGGCGACGTGAGTAGTTGAGTACTTTTTGAAAGCCTGGTTCCATTCTTCGGCGCCACCTTCTTTGACACCAACTGAATACACTAAAGAACGAAGGTTTGATGGGATCCTGTGAAAATAAGTACTATCAGTGGCTTTGCCTTTTAGGATGTACATCGTATCGGGAAAAAGAAAAACGAAACAAAGAACTTATTTGATCATTTTCATAATAAGGCCTTTTGGGAGACATTCAACAATACGCGATTCAGAGTAATCTTGACTCCTTATCAACATAAAGTAGTTTTGAACCTAAACAGAGAAATTAATCAGTTTGCTTTTTGTAAAGCTCAGCAAATCACACACAAACGAGAAGAAAGCTGTCAGAAGAGAAACACTTACATTTTGTTCTCTTCCATTGCAAGTTTAAACATGTTCTTGATCTTCAAGATGGTGTCCTGATCTGAATAGTCACAAGCCTTAAAGAGAATCTTTGGACGCAGCATTCTGGAAAAACAACAATAGGCCATGATCAAGACGCATGAATTAGCAAGGGAATCAGAAAAAGAATGAATTAAAATCATTAACAATGAATTTTCTTTTTTTTCACATTTACAAAGTCTAGAGGGAAGAAATTTATTTTAAATTGATTTTTTTAATACAAAGTATTTGGGAAAAACAAAAGAAGTCAAGTGCTTACTTTTGTAAATGCGTTCCTTTGTCATTCCATCCCAGTCTACTTATTGATGGTCGAAGTTGTTGAAGCATGTATCTCTGTAGTGGACAAATGATTGTAGTTTATAACTTCTCTTCTATCACACTCGGCTCAGCTATTTCAAGTTTACCATAAAAAATAATCACAAAGTGTTTCCGCAACTTTTTGGTCATAAGTACTTTCAAAAGCGCTTCCTCACGATGCAAAACTTGTCCTTTCATTCATAACGTAGAGAAAATGTCCTCACAGTATCAACAAGAGCTTTTCATTCAACTAATTTATTCCTGTTTTCTCGTCATCATATTCCGACCAATAGTGTAGCTCCATTCTCTGCATATAAACACACACAACCCACAATTCCTGCATTCGTTCCGACGAAGGGCTAACGCTCGAAACTTCAGCTTTGAAACTCTTTTGGTGGCCAATTTACGTTATCAACTCAGTTGCTAATACTAAATTACCCCATTATACTCTCCCACCGACGCAGCCCCACAGTCTCTTAAGAAACTTACCCCCTTTATTATTAGTGTTTCCGTTAGTTCTACTGTAAATGAAGTCCAAATTCAAACTTAATTATGAACAAGAACTTGTATTTTATTTCTTCTAATCTCATACGCAACAATATCTCCTTAAAATAAGGCCTCCCAGAAAGCGCAAGTGATATAGGTAGGACACAAATTATATTACCTTAAAGACATCATAAGACTTGCGTAGAGTAAACTGGTCGCCAAGGTACTCCATGTTTCGTAAGAAAGTTATTAACGGTGAAAACTCTGCCTCATTCCTTATGTATTCAGTCATTTCTAAGGCTAGTTCATATCCGAGCTCGTCACTCCTAAGAAAATATTACATTTGGACTTATCACGAAAAGAGATTGGCGCAAAGTTACACGTTACAGCAACTTACAAGCGGATAAAGAGCGAAATAGGCTTAACACTATTGCAGAAAATGAGGATGGAGAGGAAAAAATTAATAGGTAAATGAAAAGAAATTTTAAAATATGAAAATAACCAACGGGAAGCTGGGCGAATAGAATCACAGTAGTAAATAGTAAATATACTGAGATGCGAAAAGAAGCAAGTGAAATGGAATAGTTTACCTCGCCAGATGAAATGCATCATCAATTAGTCCAGAGCGGTCGGCTGGACTCATTACCTGCAGTGTTGCATAATACAAAATCATTCTAACTTCGTCATAAGTGCTCAGGATTTTCTTCAAACGTAATCATTACGGCCACGAGTTTGGTAATTGTTCAGCCAATTAAAGTAAATAAAAATGTAAACTAATTGTAAACATCTACTGTTCCCTAGGACTTACGGTATGGTCTGTGTGAAGTTGGTTGTTAAGAGCTTTCCAGTTGTCGATGTCGTAATTAACTCTGTAATAACCAATCTGATCAACATTAGCTTTAATCCACCCAGATGTCTTTGACCAATCAAGCGAAGCTGGAAAAAAAGATTCACGTCACTACCATCTATCTTGAAGAATGGAAAACTAGAATAAACATTAGAATCAATTTAAAACGTTATCCCTTATATCGTATAGATAGTGTGTTGTTTGTTTTGCAGATATCCACGAAACTCTTTTGGGGGATAGATTATTTCCTATCTGGATTTATAGATTAAACTTGATCAGCCACTTGGAGAAATGTCTTGACCTCAGCTGAGAAAAAATTTTTAAGACAACATTTACATACCACTTCCCCTCTTCAGCCAAACTTGTTTGGTTGTGTTGTCCTTCTCAGTTTCATAAGTCAGCGGAATGTTCCATGTATAACTATGAAAAATAACAGAAGATTGACCAAGATGAAGTTCGAGGGAATATTTAGAAACGTAAGGATGATAGAGGACAGAGTTGGTAAGTTAGATGCAGTTTTAGTGATAAAAAAGAGCGACTTGGCTTGTAAAATGAGAGTTACACTTTTTCTGGTAGACGTATATGGCATCTTAGATTTACTGCTAAGCAGATGCTAAGTCGAAACCGAAAAAAATCGTGTTCTCTTTTTTTGCTTATCATACCTATGTGAGGTTAACCGCCATTCAATTGCCGTGAAAACCAAAATTATTAAACATCATTTCTTTATATAGGATTCCTTAGCAGTGACTCCTTATCACGAACAACTGACCATAAAGGTGCCATTGTTTTTCTGTATGATGGCACGCAAGTAACACGAGCGAGGAGGAATGCAAGTCTGTAGGGTATAACTTACTTAAATGGAGAACTCTTTTGTGGTCTGGCACCGGGATCGATAAGGAATACTTTTTGGTCAGCGGTCGCCTTGTGTTGGTTCAGGCGCCTGATAGTAACAACTGGTAAACCCATTTGAAGTGTCCAGGTGTCCATAACTTCTTTTACGTTAATGCCACTTTTCTGCGGAGATGAACCAATATAAAAGGGAAAAAAGTATAACAGAATGAAGCGTCAAAACCAATGTCAATTCGGCGTGGCCAATCAGAAACAAAGATTGTCGTCAAAAGGAGCTAATGGAAACTCTAACTTAACTCACCTAACCGGCCGGCCTCAAGCTCAGGAGAAAGCCGAGCAACAAAGACGCCATTGATTTAAATTAGTTAAAATTGGTGAACTGATTTGTTGATAGAGTGGTGTAATACATATACAAACCAAAAGCAATTCGGAAGTACTTTCGTCATCATTTTGAACAATTTCCGGCATGTTTATGATAAAGCTGTGGGGTACACTTGAAATTTGGTGCAAGAGTTAATTGGAGGGTGGAAAAACGAAACGTTATCGTTATGATCATCGAAAACTTACTTCTGACAAAGCTAACCAAAGTTCGTCTGTATCTGCGTTGCTAGAGGAATATCTTTGGAGGTATGACCGCAGACCAGCAGTGAAGTGATCATGGCCAATAGTATTCTTTAACATCCGTATTACAGATGCTCCCTACAAGGCAAATAACACTTGTTGTGATGTTGCTTAGGGCTGTTGTTGTCATGTGCTTGTCATATCTTAATTGTTTGCATCACTCGTCATATTCCTAGTTTAAGCGCTTTTTCGGAGGGGTTTATTCAAACCTTTTCGTAAGATATAGAGTCAAACATGCTGTCAATGTCCTTGGGATCTTTTACATCAACTGAGATTGGATGAGAGTAACTCGACTGATCTTCACTGAAAGCCACTTGAAGTTTCTTCACGACAAATTGGTCCATCATACTCCAGTTAGGTTCAACAAAGCTTGCTCCTATGTTTTCCATGAATGTAGCAAAACCTTCATTCAACCAAAGATCGTTCCACCATTTCATAGTTACGAGATTCCCAAACCACTGAAACGAAACTCGTTCAAGGTTAGATGATGACCAAAAACATTATAGTATTAGGGAAACCCTACGCTGGCGGGTTATCTTACATTGCAAAGTTCGGTTATATTAATCATAACCCAGCTTCTCGTCGCTTGCTTGTCTAGCGGTTGTCAACATTGAGAGCTGGATCAGGGTGGGTCAATGAGTGGCAATAAATACGATTTGGGCTTTCAACCCTCATAATCTGACTGGGCTTGCAAATACTTTATAGGGAAGGGTGTCAACTTGACTTTGGGCCTGGAGTTAAGTTTAGTGTCGAAGTAGGTCAAATAGGTGTATGTTGCCAATTCAATCACCAACATTTATTGATGATTTATCCACCACAAATCCTTTCTTTTTTTTACAATTATTTACATCCCAGGAATATAATTTTCTCTTTACCGACCTGATGAGCCAACTCATGTGTTACAGTCTCGCAAATACTTTGTCGTAATTCATCTGATGTCTTTTTAGGATCAAAGAGGAGCATTGAGCTGGTAAACCCGATTAGCCCCCAGTTTTCCTCAGCACCGGTCGAAAAGTCAGGAATAGCAACAAGATCTGCAGAGATGGTGATAAACAATGAGAAGGACCAAAGGAATTGCCAAGGAAGTCCATGGATGCTATAGGAAAACATCAGTACTGAAGCCTCGTAAATTTGATAGGCACGGAAGCACAATTGTGTATTGACACTCACAAGCATGCAACTGCCGGAAATTTTTTCAATTTTTCTTACCTTGCTTGGGAAGAGGAAATTTTATCTGGAAGAATTTTTCATAATTTGAGAGAGTATTTGAAGCAATATCCAGTGCATATGAAGCCTGAGCCAGTTGCGATGGCGGGGTCCAAATACGAACCTAAAAGGCGACAGAGAAAGTAATTAGAGACATTTTTACCTTTCCGTCCTTCATTCCCTCGTGAGTGAAGCAAACACTAAAACTTAAGGCTTCAAAAAAAAAAAAGGTGAAACTCTAGATTGTTCAGGACCTTAATACCACCGCTCGTTGTCGTCTCTATGTGGGCGAAGTCGCTCACAAGAAATGCCACCAGGTATGTGCTCATTTTAACTGATTCTTGGAAATGGTCTGCGAATAAATCATCTCCAACCTTCACCTGAAAGCAAAGGTCAAAACTTTTAGAAGAATCTGAGGGTATATACATTTTACTTGTAAGTATGTAAGTGAACCCAACCCCAGACCTTGCGTCTCATTAAAATAAAAACAAGTAACAAACAAAGGAAAACCAAAGAAACAAAAAAACTTATAATTGTGTGAGCAGGGATCAGGGATTAGGACGGATCCTTCAACAAATGTGCAAAGTGACACGAGATTTCCACATTTCACACTGTACTCTGTGTGCTTTTAAGGGTCTTGTGGACTTGCACATCATCAGCATTCAGTTTTCGCAAAATGCGATATTGAAATAATAAGCAATGACTGCCAATCCATTATCTTGCTGAAATTATCCAACTTTTTAACGGTGAGAGTTTTGTCCGCGAGGGGAGATTCCCCCCAAAAAGAATATCATCTCTGCATGTGCAGATTGAGCAACAGACGCTCATTCTGGAGGACATAGACCCTTTTCTCCTCACAATGTCAAAATAATCCTCCTCACAATATGAAAATAATCTTAGCCAGACAAGTTATGAGAATTCTTAGAAAACATCATAGAAATCGTATGAGAGACAGTAAGGATAATTACAATTAAGATATTGGGACTGAAAGGGTTAACACACCTTTTTATTCTTACCGTTTGCATGAGGGGCATATTTGAGAGAGAAGAATATTTTCCTTCCCTGATAATGGTAACAGAAAACTTTGCCTTCATTTCCGGTTCATCGAAGCATGGAAACGCCGCTCGAGCGAAAGTCGCCTCAAATAGTGTAGCTGCCAGATAACTAAGAAGAAAAAAATAACTGGGTACAAGTGATCCTCGATTCGTGTCTATATAAAGCATTGAGAGTTAAAATATAAAACATTAAAAACAACTGGATTGAGAACGTTATTTTTACAATTACTTCATGTGTCAGCTGTGCGTTCATCGTCACATGAAGCACCTGGGAAATTTGAGAGCACTCACCAAACTAGAGTTGCTATCGATAACGACTCTAGAAACTCTTAAGCATGTTTCGTGCTCTCCAATCTTACCACGTGTTTCATATCTCAATAAACGCACCCTGGCGCACGAACCAATTGTAAAATGCATACAGTTCAATTTATCATACACCTTAGGCCTTTGACTTTTCAAACATCGCATAAATGCTCTTGTGCATGATGAAATCATTAAGCCTCTTTGTGCTAGAATGTTCATAAGTCTTTGTCACTTTCTTTATGTTTTCATGAGGGTATTCTTTTGATTCCAGTGTTCTAGGAATACTCTCCGATCAAAATTCAACAGTCCGCTCCTTGAAAGCAAGGCCGACTCAGGGTGAAACTGCGTATTTTGACGTGAACCTACAAAAGGCCTATTACCGCTATTTACAGAGAAGAAATCTGAAAAGGCTCGAATTTAAAGGAGCTAATCATTCTTGATCGACGCCTTTTATAAGGCAACTAAATAAAGAAGAAAATTAAGACATTTAAGAGGCAATAAATTAGAGAATAAATCAAACAAGTTAGTCAACTAGCTAAGTACTTGTACCACTGTATGTGGTCACCAAGAATGAACAGGGCAACCATTCATAGCTGAAATTATCTTTGGAGCTTTACTCATTATGATGAGTCAACAAAAAAAAACTGCTCATGTTTTGCAAATAATGCTGAGTGACGCTCAACTGCAGAGACACTGTCATTAACTTGCCTGCTATAAATTAGGAAGAAATATTCAAATCTGGTTTGTCATGCAAATAACTTTAAACTTGCTGAATTGGTTTTGTTATGAACTGTCTTGATGATGTGAAATAGCCGCCGTAAAGAGATTAGAAAGCTGACTTTTCGAGCTTAAGCCCTTCGTCAGAGCGAGTGAATTCGCTCTGACTCGCAACTTTTCTAACAAAACAAGCCTGCGTTAGGCTGTGACTTCACGGTCGCTAATATTACAGACTTTGTCTAAAATAATCTCAATATAACGAATAATATCACTTATCACCAAAAGACTTTAATTTGTTTTACTGACCTTTTCTCACCACTTTTTGTCATGTAAGAACTTCTGTAAAATCCGAGAAGTTTGTCTGTCAGTGGATACTCAAATTCGATGTAAATCGCGTAGTTTTGATGTGGCGTGAGCTCTTCACTTACTTCAATGAGAAACATTTCAAGAGTTCTATTTTGCATTGTCTCCGTGACTCTTATATTGCGATCCTTGCCTCTTCTTCCGCTTTTTACCCTCGATTGCTCCAGTTCTTTAACACTTCCAGCTGATAAAAGGGGAAAGAATTCTCTCTCTTGTGTAGTTTCAAGCACGGTTGTCCCTGATACGTTCATGTCTTTTAAATGAAGAATAATATGTGTTGTTGGCTTTTCACAATTAACTCGTATTGTAACATTCCCTTTAACATTGAATGATTTCAAATCAGTTTGTAATGTGATTTTATAGCTGGTGGGCAAAAGAGTGCGTGGAAGTCGTATTGAATGCCATGGAAATTCCTGACCCTGTGGAGTCCTTTCATTAAGAGCGAGCCTTCGGTGTTCAAGGTACGACTCTGATAAGGTTAAACTCGCCCAATGAAGAAGAGGCCAGACCATCCAAATTAGCCGTATGTTCGACAGCAGCATTTCATCAGCTCGTATTATGTCCACATGGAAAACAAATAATGGGTTCAAAGCAGTTCATGAAATACAGTTGATAAAGTCGTTGGTGCTGGGTAATTTCATATGCTTTTAACTGCGACTAGTCTTTTGTTTTGTGCAGAACAGTTACGGAAAATTTGCATTGCAGATTATCAGGTGACGAGTAAACAGCACTTGAGTTGTCTAGCAATCAACACTGGCACCACGAACGTGCTAATACAAATAAGAAATCATCTTGAGTAAGAGTGTTCATCTGACCGGTTAAAAGTTATAACAAACAATAGCTTTGGGTTCCGGTCGAGCCCATTGACTATGATGTAAAGTGAGAGATGGAAAATATCCCGAGTTGGGGGCAGAGTAGGAAGATTACTATCCGTTTTAAACTATCTAGGAATATGCTCCCCCAGGAGAAATATTTTTATAACCGTTTCGGTCTTAAAGCATGTATGGATTTGATCTTTGGTTCTGGTATGGTTTAATAAGAAAATGAGATGTACCAAAGATACGTCTTTGGACCTGAAATTTAGAGCAAGTTTTACCAATTGTTGACTATGGCACTGCTGCGAAGTTTACATGCAACGACAGGCTATCTGAAACTGGATTTGCAAGTCAATGACAATGTTTAGAAGTGGGACTGAAAATGGGTATGGATCATGTTTATATCTGAAAACGGCTGAGAAAATTTCATTTTTTGATTTGGGACTGGATTTGAGGACCGATCATTAGAGTAAAGATTTCTATAGGTAATCACATGATTTCGAGAGCAATTTGGAATAAATGAGCACGAGTAAATTTTTTTAAAGACTAACAAAATTGTACGAGCCCGTAGGGCGAGTGCAATTTGTGGTCTTTGAAAAAATTAATAAGTGCTTATTTATTCCAGATTGCACGAGAAAAATCATGTGACTACGTGTTAATAATAAAAATGAAAAATTATGAGATAGCTTATCATAATAAAGCATAAGCAAAGCGCGCGCATCAAGTGCAAAAATAATTTATTCACACCGTGCGTTCGGTCAAAACAACCGCGTACGATCAAAACAATAATATGTAATGATATCTTCACATCTTTAAGGCGCAAAAAAGTTCAAAGTCCGGCTAAACAGTTCAAGGAATTGTTCAGTCTGTGTCAAATCGCTTTCGATGAAATGGAATCGTCGTTTCCGAGGTTTAACCATGTTTGTTTTTAATTTCGGCGTTGGATCGCTCGAGTGTGGATCGCTCGTCGATCGCAAAGTGTTAAGCTGGGTCGGCTCGTAATTTTCGATTTCCTTGGCAATTCCCTTCTCTAAACACCATTTTTTCCAAACCGACAACCAAAATGCAGTGCCTTTAACAGAGTTTTCGTTGTTTGAGCTGTTTTTCAGCCGCGGTGGCGAAAGAAAACCTTCCTAAAACGCCGGCTATTGTTTCGCTCGCAAATTTTCAAATTTTGTTGCGACATCCAAGGCTCGCATTTGATTGGCTGTCTGTGAGTTTCATTGATTATTGACCAATCGGAATGTATGATTTGTTTCTTTGTACTGAATTAACCCTCTTCTGCACTGGATTAACTCACTTCTACACTGAATTATCTGAAAACTGCATTTATCTTAACTAATCAGAACTGAGTGATTTTTTTCATGTACATTATTAGCAAATTAAAAGCGTTAAAACGATAAATAAGGAAGAACTGTGCTCTTTTAAAAAGAGAGGAGTTATTGTCTGCTTCATTGGTGTTAGCGGTGTGCCGTGACTTCAAAGCCTGAAGTGGCCTTATCTAAAATAAATGCAGGCATGGGCTAAACTTTTGAAGAAAAAACACCTTCTATTTCCACCAATAAACCTTTAATTGGCGCAAGGAATTCTACATATCATATTGCTCAGAAGAACAATGTGAATTGAAAGTAAATTGAAAAAAAGGGAATTCTTGTCCGGCAGGTTTAGTGAGTCTTTTTTTTTTCTTCAGCGAAGATGAGCTCTTCTGTGATTACGAATAGCAACATAACGAAAAAAACTGTGGCATTGGCCTTAATTTCAATTAAACTTAAGTACCCTGTAAAAATAGCTCAATTGCTCTCTGATTAGCATTTGAATGTTATCAGACCTCCGATTTACATATATTTTCTAGCTTGGCCTTTTACATTTTCCAGCCGAAAGCTTGCTTTTTCAACAAATTTTTGACCAGGAGGTTTTTATGTAACATGATAGACGATAGTCTTTTACCACGAGCTTTTTAAAATACCTTTTAAGAAAACATTTGAATCAAAAAGCGCGTGAGCGATAAGGTTTTTATGTCAAGTGAGTCAAAACTATATCAAGCTCTTAAAGTGCAGTAGTTCTGCCAAACGCACAGCTTAGTAGGTTTAAACGAGAATACGAACCAGAAAATTAGCAAATGCATATGATCCAACGCGCTATACTGTCCGAAAGGGCAAATTATTCGACATCAACCATTTGATCGGTCTGCTCAAAGGATATGTTTGGTGCTATCAGTTCATAACAATGCTCTTGATTTTACGCTTTCATGACAAACTGTACCGGCCCAGGAAAAACCAACACGGCTGTGAACAAACTGTGTTGTCGTGTGCAGAGTATAAGCAAAACAATTAACAACGCTGCATCGTCAACATGAATAGAGCGACGTAAAGAAGAGGAGAGAGTCATTTATTTCATAACATTGTGCAACAAGTTCAACTTGAACCACATGAATTAAAGACATTAAAAGCAAGGAAGAAGTGTTCCTAAAAGAACACTTCAATTCGTCAAAGAAGCCCGCAACCTTACTGTAAAGGATTACATCATCTAACATTATCAAGAAGAGAAGCTGACGAGGTCACCTTAGTCTTACCACCATAGGATGTCAAATACCATTCTATCCTTCAGGGTAAAGGTGGTTTTTAGTTCATCCCTAGCTGTGTATAAAAATTAGCTCTCTTCTTCTTTCTTTATTTTTTGATGGACACTGCTGTATTTTTCCTGGGACCCCAAAATAACAATTATCTGATTGTATACAATTTCCTTTTGCTCCAGCCATTACCCAAAACGGCTTTCCCTTCAATTTGCCATTACTAGGGAGTGGCCATATTATTCTTTGAAAGAGGAAACAATTTGTTTCTGTTCCTGTTCACCCAAATTATCCTTTTTCGGCCGCATCTTTCTTTTCATACTTTTTTTCATGACTTTTTGCTCTAAAGCATATATATTTGAGCTACTCCGCTGCTACGAACATTTTCTAGAGGAAATTAATCTCTGCTCCCTAAAGAATGGCGTCTCCCTGAAGAAATTTAACACTCAAAATATTAGGACAATGAAACTGCTGACAAATTGAGATCAAACTTACTATTACTTACGATTTAAACTCACCCCTTACCCACACGAGGGATTATAAACAAAATCAAGATCCAAAACTTAACGAATACAAGAGCAGTTCTTGATTATAATATATTTTTCACTCATTAAAATTTGCTTAGAAATGGGCGACTATGTTGACTTCCCTACGAAACCTTACTGTTATCACTATTTCACTTTTAAATCTCCACGAGCGATGAAAACAATCAAGTGTGGCTGACTCAAAGTTTTAAAGTCGCCGCCACAACCAAAACTAAACACCGAAAGGCATTTAAACCCAGCTGAAGCTAACCCTTATTGTCGTTATTCTAAACATTTTTTTTCAAATAATGAATTGAAAAATAAATTGTAATACATTTTGAATATTTCTCCGATCCCGTTACAATCTCTTTTATTCCACTCAACGAAATAAAAAAATAAAAAAGCGCCTCCGTTGTGGAAAAGAAAATGTACAACACCTTAAACCAAAACATATAAGCAATCCTGACTTAAAAAATAAAAGTTGAGCCACATAGGCTAGTATTATATAAATATTTTTAAATTCATATTTTCACAATCCAGTGAATGCACTTTCCAAGTAAGTTAATACATTTAAAACAAGACTATGACCCTAATGAAAGATTTCAATTGGGATAAATTAAATTCACTGTAGTAAATCCCGAGCAAACCATAGTCATTCTTATATTCATACTAGATCCCTTCCGGGTTGCCGTTAAACTGTAATCCTCCACCGGGATAATCTTAAATCAACTTACGATTTTAAAAATTTCACAATTTAACTGATTTAAAGGAAGTGATCATCAATTTCCATCTTTGGGTGAAAAATGGCCTTGTAAACGAAAACTGAAAAAAAAAAAAGAAAGAAAGAAAGAAAGAAAGAAAGAAAGGCAACCCGAGAGATGTGAGTCAGATTGTAAGAACTTCAGTGGTTCACTGCATGATTTACTATAGCCGAAGGGGTGAAAGTACAGTCCAGCTTATTTAGAAGGTATACCTCTGTTGAGTGCGAAGTGCAGAGGTTTTATTGTCGGTAGACGGTAGGTTTTGACTGGTTCAAGTTTTAAGTCACACAAGGCAATTATATTGATGCACTTCTAGCATACCCGGCACAAAGTTATACCTTCTAAATTTACCTTGACCGGGTGAATGAGAATTCGATATTCAAGGCCGTCCATATTTGTATCTTTCGTCTAAACTTGTTACATGTACAGGGTGATGTGGGTTATTGATAGGTAAGTGAACGTGAGAGCTGACGAAATCTTGAAGCCAGGCAACGACAGTGTGACGGTAGGCTTTCAACCATTTTATATTGGCTTTAATACTTTCCAAACTTTGAAGTACAGCCAGCTTGCCTGACCCTGTGTCTTTATTCTCAAAAAAAGACTTCACCTGGAAAAAAAAAAGATTAAAATTTTAGGGAAATCGCACTAAACGCGCTCTACATGGTGTAACAAGTTAACGGTTAACAAGTGTGTTTCAGCTCGATAAACATGGACAACTTACAGTGATTTTTATTTCATAAACTTCACTCACTTTTAAATAAACCACGTTGTAAGTGTTTAAATTATCCGTCGATGCAGTTTCTTAAAAGAAACAACTTACTTAAATTCAAACTTAGCTAAACTAGTTAGGTTATAATGTTGCCAGTAGTCGTTTTATTACTATGGTTGTTTGATGGACAATTTTGATTCGTGAATTTTTTTCTTTTCCATCGCCTCGTTTATTTTCACTCTGTATTTATTTCAACTTATAGACATTGTTCGCTAATTTTACCATTTTCCTTATACATTTTAACTGATAGAGGTAATTGTTTCTCTTGGGCCTTCACTGCCAACAGCACGTTTTTTAATTAATTAATCAATCAATAATTAATTGAAGGAGTTACCGGGAATCTATCTATCAAGCTACACATAATCTCTGCAGACAGCTAGATAACAAAGCTTAACAAACAAAGAAAAAGGTTAACCAAGTTCGATAGAAGAAACAGCGAGTTGAAACATTTCCTTACATCCTCTAATTTCTTCTCCGTGTTGAAGTGCGCTGTAGTAGCCTTGATGAGACGACTGAATTCAAAAGAACCTGTACCATATCTTGATAGAGGGAGCAAAAAAACACATTAGCATCATACAGTAGATGGCTGATGCCATTCACGGCCGAGAAATGCATTTTCATTCAATTTCCATGACGCTTTCCTCAACACTTTTTTCGACGATTTGGCTTTAAATTTCCGTACCTTTTGAACAGTAAGTCGTAGTTCTGCTGCACAAACTCCCACGCCATTATGCGACCTTCTGGATTGTGAGCTATCGAGTTGATAACAGCCACGGAGTCCTGGGAACGAATCTTTCCCGGGTCCAAAGAATAACGAAGAAGCCTGAAAGAAACCATAAGAGCGGGAGAGAAGGTCAATCAAAAGAACAAGGCAGCGATTAAATAAAAAAGGTCATAAGAATAATTTGATGCCGGCAATTTCGCATAAAACCTGCAAAGCCTTCAAACCTTTTCTCGAGAGAGGAATTCAAACAGAACTATTTGCATCAGAGAGTGAGCAATGGGTTACTATCACCGACAAAGATAACAACCTCTGACTGATGAACAGTCAACTCTGGAGTCCCCCAAAAGGTCTGTACTAGGACAGCCTCTATTTCTCATTTACACAAATTATATTATTGATGGTCTCGCCTCTCTTCCTTTGAATTATGTCCATGATACTACACTGTTTCGGGTTGTTGATAAGCCAGCCGTATCAGCTGGTCGCCTCAATTATGATTTAAATAAGACCTCTGAGTGAGCTGAAAAATGGTTAGTACCGGTAATTATAGATCCTGTTAAATCTCGAAATTTTATTATTTTCTCTTAAACGTTACAAGGAAAACCAGCCCCCTCTATTTTTTAAGTCCAAGGTCGTCAAAAACGTTAAGTCTCATACGCACTTAGGCTTAAGTTTACACAGTAAAATGTCGATGAGAAATCAAACAGTTAAGATTTACGAGAAGGCTTCTAAGCGATAAAAATACTCTGAAATTTGTTAATCACAAAGTTGATAGCTTCACGTCAACATGTTTGTACAAAAGTCTAATAAGACCACTCATGGAATATGGGATGTCATCTGGAACTGTCATGACTGTGATTCAGCTATATTGGATACAGCTCAATATAAAGTCGCAATGGTGGCATCAGGGAGTCATGCAGAGAACCAGCTTTACTTTACGCGAGGAGCTTGCTTGGGAGCTTCTTAGTATAAGGAGAGAATTACAGTAATCGAGCCAATTTTACAAATAAATAAGAATGCTGCTCCACGTTATTAAAATGAACTATTGACCAAACTCGCTCTGTCGAAAGGCTAACGCTCAAAACGTCAGCTTAGAAATTCTTTACGGTATATATGATAAAACCAAATTATCTTATATTATTTTTTTTCTTTTTTTTTTTCAAGGCATGCATCTATCGATGACACTCGTCTCAGACATGGGTTTTCTTGTCTTAGAGAACGTCTTTTCAAAATAAATAGTAGTGCGTCGCCTATTTGCGAGTGCGGTCTTGACTCTGACTCAGTGAAACACTTTTTGTATTACCTAAGGTATGGTACCCTTGGCAATGTCCTCCTTATTTCTGCTGGTAACATTCTCAGCGAAACGTGGTAATCGTGCAGCGATGTAACGAAAACACATTTTATATTGTTCCGTTTTAAGTCTGTAAATTACGATGTCAACTGTGCTTTTTTCACGAAGTATAAAGTTCTATAAAATCGCTTTTCGCTGGCTAATGTTTGATTGCTTAAATAATCTCAAACTATCTAAGTTTAAAGGGGGTAAGTTTCTAAGGAAACTGTGGTGCTGCGTCGGTGGGAGAGTATAACAGGTTAATTTAGTGTTATCAATTGAGTTGAAAACGTAAATTGGCCATCGTAAAGAGTCTAAAGCCTGACGTTTCGAGCGCTAGCCCTTCGTCAGAGCGATTGATGAAGGGCTAACGCGTTAGCCCTCTCTGGCGAAGAGCTAACGCTCGAAATGTCAGCCTTCAAACTCTTTACGGTGGCCAATTTACGTTTTCAACTCAGTTGAAAGAGTTTAAAGCCTGACGTTTCGAGCGCTAGCCCTTCGTCAGAGCGATTGATGAAGGGCTAACGCGTTAGCCCTCTCTGGCGAAGAGCTAACGCTCGAAATGTCAGCCTTCAAACTCTTTACGGTGGCCAATTTACGTTTTCAACTCAGTTGATATGTATCTGTTTGTGTGCGAGCCTGTATATATTGAATTAAAGTTTGTAAAAATTGTGATCCCCTTGATAGGTCTGAGTGCTTTTGGGAAAAAACAACGACAAATATGTTTAAATGAAAGGGAAAAAAACCGGTCTTTACCTCTTTAAAATTCCTGGGTTCCGACTGCTTGTGAGTGCGTACATCAACTTTCTCTTTTCAGTCGCGACTTTCTCAGCTTGGAAACGACGGAAAACCTCCGTCCACGTTTGTTCATCTGCATACTTCACACCCACGGAATAAACTACGTTTCTCAAGTTTGGTCGAATCCTAGGGACGACCACAACTTTGTTATTATCTATATAAATTAAAACTTGCATATACAGCTGAAGCACACGGCTAATGGAGCTTTACTAGCGTCTTCTTAATACAGGATGTACCCTCGGATCAAGTTACTAAGATAGTAACATAGTGTAGCGTTTCTGGAAGTATGTTAAATTTTTCCAAAAATATCAAGCTTCCTTTATCTTTCACAACAACAGTATAAAGTGAGCAATTCGACGAAAACACCATGTTCTGCGGCATTTTGTGATAACGACGCATTTTTTTAAATAACCTACGCATTTTGTGACACAACGCATTTTTTAATAACCTCCGCATTTTGTAATAACTAACGCATTTTCTAATAAGTGTTGCGACGTTTTGTAATAAAGGCTGCGGTATCTTGTAATAATCGTCGGTCTACGCGGTTTGGAATTACATTTTGCAGCAGTCAAACGAAACAAAAACACTGAAAATATCACATGGGTAGCTGCTTCAGCATAAATAAACAGAACAAATAAAAATACTAACGGTTTTCCGCCGTTCAACCAGCCATCAAACTGCCGTAACGCTTCTCTCGTATTTTCTAATAATTTCGGTCTATCCTCAGGAAACACATCTTCATAATCACTTGCGAGGTGCAATATTGTGGCACGAAGATATCTGTAAGGCAAAAATACATCAGTATTTGTCAGTACCTCGCGAATACCCACAATCGACGGCTTTGAGGTAGAAGATTAACAAACTCATCCGAAGGAAACATATGAAAAAAAAAAAAAAAGACATATCCGGGATGGCGGAAGGGGCGAGGGGAATTGTAAAGACCAACCAAAGTAAGTTCATGATTGTGGCCATAAGTTCGAGATTACAGCAACCGCAAATGCGCCAAAAAAAATAATAAAATGTTTCTCCAAGTCATGCAGACATTCCCTTTTGTTTCTATAATATTCACCTCTTCAAATGCGGATCCTGGTCAGTTTCTTCCCAACCTAACTCGGATGCTATCCTGTGAATCTGATGCAAGATATAAAGCTAAAAAAAAAAAAAAAAAAATGCAAAATGCATGAGGATGTCAGTAAAAAAAAAAAAAAAAGAGAAGGTCCCTTACCTATTAAAACCTGGTGAAACTCTTATTACATAACAATTTATTGCCTAGACACAAGTGTTTGTAAGGTTTTTACGAAACTACATTTGGGAACTCGTCAGCCTATTGAGCAAATCACGACCAGTGCGCAAACTGATGACGCTATTGCATGGTGGGTAATAGAAAATCGTAGTTAAGTTCTCTAATGCTCGCATAGAATCCTGCTCTGAGGAACTTAAAACTCTTTGAAGTGTTTCTTGCAAATGAAAGGAAAGAAGAAAAATTGAGGAAATTTTAGCTTCCGAGCTGCAGGTGTTTGCGACGAGGTTTGGGCTTTACTATTTTTGGCCTACGAAATAGAAAAGAAAATATAAATGGCTAAAAGATATGAAGTTTACTTTCTCGTTTTAAAAACAATGTTTTACTCACTCGCAACGCTCTTTCGTCAAATATCTTGTATCTTCTCTAAAAATGTTGTATTTGTCTTGACGCCGCCGTGCAAGACCCTCGCTCTTGGCGCATGAAAATGTTGTATTAATCTTCAGGCCGCCGTGCAACTGAGACCTTCTTGGTACATGAATTTTTGGTCCTTTAACATGCAAGGCGCGAGTGAATTTTTTTCCACTAAATATCTCGAATCAGTCTCCCATCATGACACAACAAAACTAACCTTGTATATGCGATAGTGCTGGGTATTTCTTTCCATGTCGTATGTTGAAAACTGTGTGGCGAAATAGGCCAAGCCGTTAAGCGCTGATATCCATGGAACATATTCCTGCTCTTGACTGAGATAATCAGTGAGACCTAACGCCAGGTCATAATCCAGATTACCAGCGCTATAGCATACAAACCAAACATAACTGACGTTAGATTGCTTCTCTGCAGCTATGAAATAAGAGACAGGAGCAGAGGTCTGCATGTTATAGTTACTTACCGAGCAAGATTAAGAGCGTCATTCAGCAAGCCTGCGCGATCGGCACCGAGCAATTTCTAGAGAAAAAAAAATTAAGCTAGTTTAATGCTTCGCCTTAGTTGGTAACCATGGATATGGTTATCACAAAGCACTCACAGAGGGTAAAATTTCCCTTAGAGGTCTTTTTGAAAATCATTTACTTGGTCTACTGAACGGGAAGTGTTTCTCATCCCACTTAACTATGCTTTAGTCTGTTGATAATTTACCGTATGGTCAGAGTTCAGTTGTTTTTTGAGGTTGTTCCAGTTTCCCTCATCATAGTTCACACGGTAATATCCACTTTGTCCGGCATTCATCTTAATCCAAGAATTACCAGTAGCATCGGGAGATACACCGCGTAACAAAACTGAAAACCAAATACAAAGAGATAGTTCTGAACGACAAAACGAGAAAAAGCTCACACACAACACGTCATTAAAGGAGTAAATATGCACACATTTCTGTTTGTCTTGAACCTTATCTAAGTGTGTGCATCGCCACGCTCCGAAAGTATACCACTTGTTTTCTCATCTGTAGATAGCTACAATACAATACTAGATTTTCTACTATTTGCAGTAGCTTTTAATAGGCGTTCAGCAAGCAAAACGGAGCGAAAACCGTGCGAATTAACGGACGGCGCGAAAGTAGCGGCAGAGAGAAAAACAGCAAGGCTTCGGTCGGGTTTTACTAGCTTGATAGCAGGGGCCGATCTTGCAAAGAAACTGCATCAGTACCGAGGGAGGGGAGGTAAATAGTCCTTAAAACCCATCAAACTACTCGTGAAAATGGGTGGGTAAACTTTATGTATCTGGCCCCGGTTGTTCGAAGGACGAATAACGCTATCCGGTGGATAACGCAGTATGTTTTGTCACCATTAATCCGCGCTTTGAACAACTGCATGGGCCTTGGCTGTCAGTTATGTTGATTTGTTACAAACCGCTATATTAATGGAACAACTCGAACAACTCAAGGACTGGAATCAAGCTGAAATCGCCCGTTAAATATTACAGGAAATCTGTAGCCGTATAAAGTGGCCTTGAAGACTAAGGTCAGTGTTCAGTCATAGACCTGTATAAGCCTTACCATCACCAGCTTGGCGCTCTAACAACTGAACATGTCTTTCGGAAGGATTCTGCTGAGTCACATATGTTAAAGGAATTACCCAGCGATAGCTGTAACAAAAATAAGAACGTTATATGAAAAAGCTCTCCTGATTAAACCCCAAAGAAAATTGCATAACAAAACGGTTCAATGACTAACCAGTCAAACAAAACTTACGCAGAATCTGATGGGGATCTAGTGTCGGGATGGACAAGGAAGCGCTCCTGTTGGTAATGAAGCATTGATTTGCCATTGGCGTCTCTCCTAACTGTTACATTAATAACAGGAAAGCCCATTTGACTCGTCCATGTTGTCATCATTTTTCTAACATCAAGGTTTACACCACTTTCCTGTCAACATTACAAAGTTAATGGTCAGGAAGGAGAGGAAATTGGAACTAAATGGAATCTATGACAAAATGTTGGGCAGCTATTTTTCCAGCTAGATAATTTGGTTTTCGCAAATGAGTTGAAATGTTAATTGGCCACCGTAAAGAGTTTCCAAGCTGACTTTTCGAGCGTTAGCCCTTCGCCAGAGCGAATTTTTTTCCCACTGTTTGCTTCACTGTACCACGCTATCCAAGCTAAGCCCTTAACTAAACCCATTTTAGCAACTTTTTCTCTGCCACAAGCGTCCACAGAAACAAAACAAATCGAGCACACTATCGTTACACAGGGTATTTCTACGACTGGGCTGTTCATGTGTACCTTAACTTCATCTGTGAGGCACTGCCAAAGGTCATTAGTCTCTGCATTACTAAACTTGTACTTATTGAGGTAGTTCTGTAATCCTTTAAAGAAAAGTTTACTTCCGAGAACATCTTCCAACATCCTAATAATAGCAGCACCCTATTATAAAAATTTAAAGTATTAGATGTAAAAATTTTACGTTTAAGAGAGATAGAAACATGTAAATATTCGGGAAATTGGATTAGTAAATAAATGAAAAATAGTGACAGGTCATGATGCTACAGCAACATCTTTTAAAGTCAGAACAAAACTGAAATAAATGCAGTAGAAGTAAACTGCAATGATAGATGAAGTAAAATAAACTGGTTACTGTTTTTGCATATTTTATACAAAAAAGAAGATAAATTTTGTATTAAAGAACAAAATGATAAACTGCATCCTTTCTTTCCAATCATTTTAATTTAGAAACTACATGTAGCACATTATATTATAAAACATTCATTGTGCCAAGCAATTATCAAACAAGAAGCAGTTTTAAAAGGGAAGATAAACCATATGCCAGTGTTCTCCAGAAGCACTAGCAGCCAGTGTTTTCACCAGCTATTTGTTTTTGAAGAGCTGTCTTCTTCAGAAAACACTGAGTGAAATACTTGCTCATGCCCTTTGGGGACCCACATATCTCCCTCTGGTTACTGTTTTTTCATTGCTGGTTAGAGAAAATACCCTGATCAGTTATTACCTTATAGCCTTTGCTGAAACAATTTCTGCTTGTGCCTACCTTGTCATAGGAAATTGAATCAAACAAAGAACTAATCTCAGCAGGGTCTCTCACTTCAGCCATGATTGGATGAGAATTACTGAGTTGATCCAAACCCATTGCAACTTGAAATTTGTCCAAGAAGAACTGGTCCATCATTTTCCATTCTGGGTGGACATGCCTCACTCCAACATTTTCCATAAAACTAGCAAATCCTTCATTGAGCCATAAGTCATTCCACCATTCCATGGTAACCAAATTACCAAACCACTGTAAAACAATTATCAACAGATGTTTATGTGTAACATCAGTGAGGTTGTAAATTTTTTTATCTTAAAGCCACAGACACATTCACACATCCAGTAAAGTATCTGTTGGTCTAATGAAAATAGAAAGCAAGAGTATTCCAAAGCATGCTTCTTGAAGTTTGGTGTAAATCAGACATTTCCCTTTTTTTAGCGCATTTCACAATCAATACCTGGAGGAAAGAGTTGTTTTGATTCTTAGCTGATTTGACTATATAATTATGATATGATGAGTTGAGTCAGACACACAATGGATTGGTTCTTGACTGATATGACTATATATGATATGATGAGTCGAGTCATACACACATTTGATTGGTTCTTACTTATGGTGTATTGGACAATTTGTTTTTTTTAATATTCAAAAGGTTGAAATAGATTCCATGTTACGGTGAGTCTGTAAGGTTATATAAAATTACAGAACATTAGTCAAAATGTGGTAAGAACATCAGTGGCTGCCTTATGTGCAACTCTTTTGTTCTTACCACATTTTGACATCATTTGTTATCAATAATGAAAGCAGAAGAAAAAATTTGGACCTGTCCATAAAATCAAACACGAACTTAAACTGGCCATCACTTTTTCGACTAAAATATCAAGTTTTACTATTGCCTGGGGTATACTGAACAATGAAAACTTTACAGATTTAACCTGATGAGCCAACTCATGAGCAACAACCACTGCGACCCATTGTCTGTTGCTGTCTGATGACTTGCCGGGGTTATACAGGATTGAAGTCAAGCGAAATGTAATAAGACCCCAGTTTTCCATTGCTCCAGTGGGAAAATCCGGAATGGCAATGAGGTCTGTGTACAATATCACCAGAGTCACAACAAAAGATTAGACTTCATTGTTTCATAGTTAAGAACTTTTTACAAAATTATCCTTTAGTGTATGTTAACATTTGCTATTTTATAATAACTTTTACAAAATGATTACAGCAAAAGCCTGCATATAGGCAAGAGCGTGTTTAAGATAAGCCTAACTTGTTACTGTATAATCAGTCAATGACAATTCCTAAAAAATTTTAGGTGAAATTTTTTTTTTTAGTGCAGGATTCATTTAGAAATCTAATGCAGCATGGTACATATACAGTACAACATGCAACTGAAATTATATGTCACTTGATGAAACGCCATGACATTGTCAATGTTGTCCACACCGATAACCCCTGGAAGGGCCATAAATGCCAAGCCAAAAATGTCTTCAAGTCATCAAGATGTAATAACTTGGTCCCTTATCAACTTCTGAAAAGTTCTCATATGCAGGATTTTACAATAGTTTAAAAAGTCAATATTTATATTGAATCCATGTTCTTAAATTGTTGAATATTTGCTTCTAAGAGCTTGGTTACATCCATGGATTACATGAGCCTAACAATAGTCCATATCATCTAAATTTAGGGCTTGATCACTACCACTGAGTACATCAATTGAAAAAAATGCTCGTGTTTTTCTTGTGAAATTTTTTAATGGTCTAGTTTTAACACCAATTTGAAGAGTTAAAACTCTCTTAAAAATTCTTGCTAGATTAGTGAAGACAATTGTAACTTTAGACTTGACATTTAAGCTAGGAGAGCTTCAAATTGTGTTTTAAGCCCTAGCAAGTGTGTGTTTCTGCTCATGAAAGTGAAGGAAAAATTTCTTCTATTTCAAATTTAGTGTTGACTTTACATGTCTATTGTAAGTGAAAAAATGTATTTCCTAATGATTTGCATTTATATTCTCAAAATAATGTTTAAAGAAATTTAAACCAAAAAGGGTTAGTTGAAAAAGGTTTCCTCCTATTTAACTTAAATTAAAGCAACATAAATGTTAAGAAATAGTTAGTAATGTTATTTTTAATTGAAGTTCATTTAGAGTACTTATCATTTGAAGTTAAATAAAGTTTAATGCTACAGAGATTTTTTATTGGAAGTGCCAAAGGAAACAAAGAGACAAAAAAAAATGCCAATCACGTGGTCCTTGCAGCAACAAACAAACTGTCAGCAGTGGTTGTTTTCTGAAGATGTTACAAGTCAATGACAAGACAACAACAAAAAATTAGACATACACCTGAATTGGAGACTTTTATCCAAGGAAAATTTGAAATAAACAAAAGATAAAGACAATTTGAAATTTTTTCCTTCTTTTTTTCTGTTTGTAAAATAAACAAACCTGGTGAGCAAGCTCATGAGCAACAACCACAGCAACCCACTGCTTGTTAGAGTCAGAAGATTTTCCCTCATCATACAACAATGAAGTCAAGCGGTAAGTGATCAAACCCCAGTTCTCCATGGCTCCAGCAGAAAAGTCAGGTATAGCTATGAGATCTATTATACATAATGCCATGACATCATCATATTGACAAGATTTCCATTAGATTAAATACCCTTATCTGCATAAATAAACAAGTAACTTAATAGGTTAGCTTCTGAGGGGAATTAATTTACTCATCTTTGTAAACTTCCACTTAGCATTTTCATTAAACTCTAGAGACTGATTACCTTATATTATTTGTAATCATGAAGAACATGTAAATAAATAACCCTTGTAGGATAACTGACCACATTCTGTCAGTTTAGTGTAACCAGCACTGACTTCAAACTTTCCGTGGATTTCCCTACATACAGATAGGATGTTTGAAAGATACAAAAAGAACAAAAGTGAATCAACATGTACCTTGCTTTGGAAGTGGATAGTCCACCTTGAATTTCTGTTCATAATATTCCAGAACCTCTACAGCAACATCTAAAGCAAATTGGCCTTGATCAATCTGCTCTGGTGGGGCCCATACACTGACCTTGAAAAAAAATAAATAATTATTGCCAAACCTGAATAAATGGCCAACCATGAACATGTCAGGATAGAAGCCAGAAAAAATCAGATTTACTACATGAACTCTGAGCTTGTAGTCTTTCCACACATAAAATAATAACCATGTCGGCAACCTTATTTTTAAATATGAAAGTAATCTTCCTAGTCATGAACATTACTTAAGCAGCTGTAAAAAACAACGCCTGAAAAAAGTTCAGGCCGGTACAGGATTTGAACCCATGACCTCAGGACTGGGTTCAAATAAGGTCATAAGTTTTAATCCCATACAGGCCTGAATTTTTTTCAGGCCCTATTTTCACAACTGCTTAAGTAGTGTTCATTACTGCAAAGATCGCTTTCATATTCATGTCTTAAACTGCAGTTAATATATATGATTTTCATATATAAACACAGTCACTGATTCATCACATCATGGGGTTTATCATGAACCAACATAATGATCAGCTCCTAGTTGGCTTGTTATCTCAGTTGGTAGAGCAGTGCACCAGTATTGCAGAGGTCACGGGTTCAAATCAGGTCATAAGTTCAAATCTTAAACTGGCCTGATTTTATTTCAGGCCTTAATTTTCACTACTGCTGAAGCAGGGTTTAGTACTGCAAAGATCCCTTTTTTTCTTACACTGCTGTTCACATATACGATTTTCATATATTCACATTTAACCCAATTCTTCTTTCCTGTTTTGACCTGTTTCAATTACCCAGGGAACAAATGGGTCTCTAAAATGTTCTCTTTGTGAAATTTTTGACACACAGCAAAATACACATGAACAATGCCTTTTAATTTAAACCTCTTTTTCCTTAAAATAAATTAATATTCATTACCAATCGCTAATTGAATATGTATGGAGCACAAAGGAAAAACAAAGAAGGTTTAGTTTCCTGAGTATTATTTTGGGTAGAGAACATTGGGATTTAAGGATTTAAGTCACCTACATGGGCAATCAAATATCAGTTGTGTTGTCATTGGAGGTTGAGTGTGAGGCTAAACACCTAAGATGATTATGGAAACTGCCAGCAAGCAAATTCTATTTTTCACTAGCAAAAGAACTGTATAAATGAGGGTAACAGCTCCCGGTGAGTCTCATGTTACCACTGCCACCTTTACTGTTAACTTGCTGCTGCACCAACATGCACAATGCCCACCCAATCCTCTACACCATTCAAAGTTATGAATCAAATCAGTAGTGATTAGCTACAACATACATGCCCACTTGACTATAAGTTTAAGTGACATCCAAACTTTTAGTGAACATACATCTTGGATGGACTTTGGGTAATATTTTAAAAACATACCTGAACACCTCTGCTGGTTGTATTTGTTATGCTCTTGAAGTCACAAACAACAAATGCCACAAGGTACGTGCTCATTTCAACACTTTTTTGAAAATGGTCTGTGCAGAGCTCAACATCACTGTTGCACTGGAATAAAAGGAATTTGATAAGCTATGATAAAGAAGCTATAAGGCAAACAGGGAAGAGATGGTAAATCTATCAAGCATCTGCAAACAATTTACAATACAACAAAATTGTGTACACTAAATGCTTATACTTAACTGGTTTTAAAAATTGATAGAATTAACTTACCCCTTCAGTGTAATTCAGTGGCATGTTTGCCAAGGCCACATGGCGTTTTTCTCTTGTAATGACAATGGTGAACTTTGCTTTCATGTTAGGTTCATCAAAGCAAGGGAAGGCATTTCTTGCATCTGTTGGTTCAAAATGGGTTGTCGCAAGATATCTAGAAACCAAACATAGTAATTAATGCACCCATATGAGTATCAACTGAAAGCTTGTAGAAACTACATGCAAAATGACATGTGTTGGTATATCAAGATCTCTGGGAAAGAACATGTTTGGTAAGTGAATATTTTCAAAAGTAAAATAGATGAGAATTTTGTATTAAAAAAATCAGCTAAGATGATAAAATATCCAAATCTGTGCCTGGCTAAGGAGTAACAACTGGTATTGAGTTGTTTAGTCAGGGCCTTCCATGAACCCTTTAACTCCCATGAGTCAGCCCAAGAAAGAATTTCTTCTTTCAATATCAGTACAATATCAAGAAGACAAGTGTTGAGAATAAAGAAAAATATAAATTATGGGATTGTAAATTGATCCAATCCCAAATTCTCAAAACTAACATCACAAGAATTGTATGGCAGACAGTAATGAGAATTACTGATGAGATCTTGGGAGTGAAAGGGTTAAAGGAAACCTCCAGTGGTAAAACAAGTTTCATTGAATCAATGATGAAAATGTCTCAAATTATAAGGATTGATTTTAAAAAAATTGGGAAACAAATACAAGGAAAATTAAAGCTTGGATTTCCTCCAAGGTACCATATTGGCTTGTATGATATGACACAGTTGCCACTATTACCATCAGAAAAGAGTTCTTTTGTTCACACAAGTTCCGAGGGGATTATGCAGAGGATGGGGGAAACCATAATACATACTACAAGCCAAAGTGACAACACACCCAGAATTCCAGTTAGGAAAAGGGCAATTTGTTCTTCTATTAAGTACTACATTATGACAACAAATTTTAACATAAAGATTATTTTGGAGAATTTAACAACTGTATGTTCCACCATGAGGTTCCTTTAAGGTTCACAAATCATTAATTTATCAAAAGAACTAAATATAGACAAAAATACATGTAAAACAAGTGGGTGATTCTCCAGTGATCCAAAATTCAGTTAAAACTCTAAGGGAGTGCATGGTAACATGGCTTTATACTCAGTGTTTGGCTTTTTTCATTTTTGATGGAAAATGCAGAATTTTACAATTACTTCCTGTTAACTGATAACCACAGTGAAATATATTAAGACAATGTGAAATGCTTCCTTGTGGGGGAATCTATAGCTGCAATAAGACTGTAGAATGCAGTACAGAATATAAGCACAATTTACAGCAAAGATTGAAAGATACTTGCACAAACCATGGTACATTGACTATTATTTTTATTATTTTATTATTTTTTACCTCCCTTTAAGAGAAGAAAATGTTTAAAACAAAAATGAGCATAGGCTAACTTTTCAATGCTGCCCTTATGTCTTATCACAAATCTTCAACATTTAATTAATAAATTAAACTGCATGAGGTGTTTTTCATCTTTAGCCAGACGGGTATGAATTGGTTATCAAATGATAAACTTTAAAGCACTAATATATTTGGGTAAGTTCAAAGTAATCTATGGACAAAGACCTAATGTTAAGAGGTTTTATGCGCTTTATTCTACATATTTATTTACATCTTTATACTTATCTATTTCATACCATCAGAGAATCTTTCCAGTGAGCCAAAGTGTAGTCCAATCTGTCGAATGCGCTTTGATTTATACATTCATTTGCTTACTTCATGCCAATGTAAATTTTCTTACTAATCCGAGTTTCGTTCGATGTCTCTTCCTAGCGTATTTAAATTAATTTAACGGCACATTTAAATTTTCTTTCCCGTGAGTTTCATACCGCGCTATACTTCATATCTTTAAATAGAAGAATATCAGAAAAATAAAAGTGCGAGGAAAAATAGAGAACTTTTTCACACTTCCTCTAAGCAAAGCTATTTCGTAAATACTGAAATAAAAAATACGATTACACAAGGTTGGTCATGAAAATACAATTAAACAAGAAGAAACGAGATATACCTCTTTGAAAGCAAATACCCGTGTCTAAGCAAACACGACAAAAACCTTAATTTCTGTTCAAAAACATCTTTACACGAAGTCTTAACTAAACATCAATTCGTATTTCAAGAAAAATTTTTCTACATCAGAGCCATACATTTTTAAGCAAGGAAAGATGAAGCCAATCATACAGCAAATGAAAGGGATTCCCGCGATTCATTTCTTCTAAGGTCAATAATTGTCTGGTTAAACTACGAAAAAGAAGCTTACCTCGTTTCGCCAGATGCACGATATTTGCTTAGGTAGAATCCAGCAAGTCCCCTACTTAACTTCGACTTGAACTTCATCACAAGAAAGTAATGACTCCCTTTTTGAAGTTCAGTGGCGAGACTTATGACAACCATTTCTCCCGGCAGTCGAGAAGTTTCCGTCACAGTTAACGTCTCTAGAATGTTTTCGCCTTCGACTCTTGCAACCGCCACATCAAAGTAATCCATTTTTGTTCCTACATGAAGGGTTATGTTGGTAGAGGTTTCATGACAGAGGAGAAGAATATCAACCTTCCCAGAGAAATCAAAATTTGTTAGATCAGGATGTAAATATAGGAGATATTCGATCGGTGCTAGGTGTCTTGGAAGCCGTAGTGAATGTGAGCCTTTCTGTTCTTTTCCATGTCCCAGACTAGAAGGATTTTTAGCCTGTTCATAACGAGAATTCTTTCTACTGTTCTTGTTCGCAGTTTCGTAAGAAGACGATGGCCGAGCGAACGCGACGATAAGAAACACTGAAACCAACAACACAGCTGTCGCAACGCCGTAAGCGGCGTTCTTCCCGCCGAACATTTGCCAAATTCCGCACACGAACTTTGAATCTCGGATTCTTTTTCTTCTATGGTGTTTCTTGTCGGGAAGAAGCGAAATATCGATATGATCTTCAAATTCTACGCTTGAGGAGTCAGATTCCTCTGTGCTATTTGATTTCATAGTCCGGAATAGATATTAGCATTTTGAATAAATAAGTTGACAGGCGGCGCACGCAGCTGCATCCTCTTGTTAGTGCGTGCGACGTTATCTGTGATCTAATCTCACGTTAAGCTTTGCAAAAAACGCATTTACGACCTTTGTTGGACCAAGAGAGAGCCAAAAAATTTAATGCCTTTAAATTAAGACTTTTTCTATAAATGTGTTGAGCAAAGGTGGTATTTGCAAAGGAAGAAAAAAATAGTAAAAAACATTTACCGTCAAGATAATTATAGGTACTTTCGCTGAATATTTTAGAGATGATCCCCTAGGGAGGGATATATACAACAATCAATCAGCGTCTTTCTTCTTCTCTTTTTCATTTGATCTTAAAACCTAGTCTTTGATTTCTTCTAGTTTTATCTTAAGGACACTGGATCAGTTTATTCCAATATTTTTCCATCTCTGAAAGTCGGTTCGCCCACGCAGGTGAATTTGCGTACATAAACCATTAACAAAATCAGCGAGTGATGGACGGAATAATTTTAAAACTGACACGATAATATTCCGAGGAAGTTTTAAGTTAAGTAGGTTATATTTGATCTTTTGTGGGTGGCCAATATTTCTTCCTTGATGTCTTAAATATCAGAATCAAGAAAAGAGTTTTGCAGTTACCAGCAACCGTATTAGCAACAAGGCATCTCTGACTGTACTTCGTTTATTTGGAACATAGAAATAAGCAAAGACACAAAGAACGAGTATTGTAATTTCAAAAAGTTGGAAATTAAAAATTGAGGGCGAAATTTCAAAAAACGAATGACAAAACTTTTTCACATGACAGTAGGAGTGTTTTGATCTCCGGTTGTTTTTCACAAAAGAGGAACAAATATCATCAGCCGTCACTGAATTTTTCTAAATATTCTATTTTAACCTACTCTCAACGTTCCATTTTCACGCGAACAGAGGCTTGCTACGTTCGTCACGAATTAAGAAGTCAATATCAAATAGCAGACGTCAGCCCCTAAAGGGAAACTCATATCTATTTAATTCCATGGCACTATTCAGTCTCCTACACTACGCAGCCTTTTTGGTTTGGTGGGTTGTGATCTCACAGAAACTCACTAAATCAACGTGTTGGGAAGACCTTCGAAATACCTGTATATGATAAAAACTATGAATTAATATCGCGCTCGTATCTGGAGGATGAACTGTTGTTCTTAATAATTTTCTTGTATTTAAGTAAATCTTTTTTACTTCAGTCAAAATAAATTGACGACTTCGGTATCTTAGCGACAAGCACATGCCTTCGAAAATACGAGCTGTTTAGATGACACAGTTCAATTTTTCTTTGAATTCTCTTTTCCCTTGAATTTCCTTGCGGTCCTCCGAATGAAAGTTCACGTAATAAGGCATCAGTTGAGAGTGTTCTGTCTGTTTTACGCCCCCGTCCTCCCCCAACCCCCTCATTAGCAAGACTCTTGCGCACAACCCTCATTTTAAGAGCGCGTCTGACGTCAAACTGCTCCATGGTGTTGTTCCTTAGTTGAAGTATAATAAAAACAGTGCCATGTCAAATTCAATACATGATCATGGCAAACTTTGTCTATTTTTGCGCGTCAGATATTTCAGGAGAGTTTTATGGACAAAATATTCCATTGCAAAAGGTGAATAAGCCTTTCAGTGAAGCCAAACCAAAGAAGGACGCTCTTAAAGTCCCTGAAGAGCTAAAGCTGTGAAGGAAAGCTAATAACATTTACCGCCAGCTGATTAGAGTAAAATGAATTGATGCCCATCAATAGATGATCAGCCGTCTTAGTACTTGTCCTTTGAAGCTGGAGTTTCCTTAGATTTTCTACCAAATAGTATGCTTTATTCTACATTTTGAATCCATTCATTTATTCAGTAGCATTTGAACATTTCTCAGTGAGCAGGAGTTTACTTCGATCCACCTACTGCGCTTTACTCTATACATTCAAATTTATCAACTTTAAAATGCCAGATGTAAATTTTCCTGGTTAGCCGAAGTTTTCTTCGGCCTACACAATTAAAGACCATTTTCACACTGTACATAAACCTGGTCAAACGTAGCTATTTCATGAAATCAGTATAAATTTCAATTGATTGACGCTATTTATGACATCAATAAAATCTGTAGAGCGAAGCTGTCAGAACAGTCACCGCAAAAGTGCATGACAGTTACATAGCCTGACTGATAACCGGACGCGTATTAATCGACGAGCAGGATTTTTTTTAACCAGAGTCGAGTCTCAACTTTTGAACTAAAGCAGGGTAAAATTTTCGCACAGCCGCATACTACATTATGCATTCAATTCTCGGATAGAGAAAACAATGAAAAAAATAATGCATTGCCATTGAGAAAACAGATTTGTTTTACAATAGTATGGGGCTGTGCGAAAATTTTATCCTAAAGCAGCGCAGAGCAACTTTTGATGTAAAAGAACACGAAAGTCGCCAAGAACAGGTACTTCGTTGCCGCTTTACCGGCTGTAGTTCAATACAGCATTTCATGAAACGTGTGAAAATCTCTGAATTACTGGCAGATTAAGATGCTTGCTAAATGTTACATCGGTAGGTGACATTTCTGACATTATTTTGACGAAGTCTAAACAATACGTCGAGATAAGTAAACCACTTATACACAAAAACACAGTGGATAATCAAGAATTAACGAGTGCAATTGAATAAGAAGTCTAAAGAGACCCATGGATAAGTGGTTCAACTTATCGCTGCAGATAAGAGAACCTACATCGCCCTTTATCTCTAGGATAGCGATGACACACTAAGCACTCATAAACATTGTTTTCACATTGCCCAGGAGGAAATCACAAGACAATACCACAAACGCCAAATCTACCCCGCTTTCCCTAAGGATATATCTAGATATGCAGGCTGAAATTGCTAGAACTTTCAGACGAGACGTGGATGTGAAAGTAAATACTTCGCAAGCGGATGGAAAGTCAAACAACAAAATCTCGTTTTCGTTTTTTAATGAACTTTGTTTTAAGAATGAAAACACGCATAGTTTTAGGTAAGAAAAATGTAAAAATGTTTGGTCAGTAATTGAAAGCATTACATACAGTCTCAGGCAACTCCCATTGTGGAATCATTTTTGTACAAGTGTTTGTTTCTACGTTGAAAATTATTACCAAAAAAATACAGGGGAAGCTAATAGATATGAGCTTTGAATATTTGGGTGCAATTTCATTAAAAAAATGGCACAGCTCTACCGCCGATTTTAAATGTCACTACCAGTTAGATATAAGGACTGGAATACTGAGTGTGTCTTCGGGTGTACTGGGAAAGCTCTATAACCCAAACTAGAGTTAAACTATATAATGCCTTGTCCCTGTTCTTTTACGTTTTCCAATCCAATGTAGTTACTGAAGTTTTTGTTACACCTACACTAAAGATACACCTCTATCACATTTAGAGTCGTCACTGTACATGTGGATCGACTGTTTTACTACATGAAATCGTTCCGCTGTCGTGCATATTCAACCGTGCTTTGGGAAATCGCGGCGACAGATCACGTAATGATACTACTTGCTGACGTTTTTTTCATGGAGAAAGTTTTTCAACCATTTATTCACTGCAGGTCCGTGGTCTTTCATCCATTTTATATTTCCTTCTATACTTTCCAGACTTTGACGAACAGCCCTCTCCCCAGATCCTTGGTTAACCTTCGCGAAAAACTGGCTAACCTATAAATACAAACATAAAATGGGTGAAATAACATGGCATTAAACTGTGGTGCGAGTTAAGTTTGAAATTAAACAGTTGATTTTAACCCAAACTTGTGCTATGTGTTCGCTCGAATCCAAATCAACTGCGTGGTTTCAAACTAAAACCGTGAAACACTCGACTCGAAGCAAATTACAATTGAAGTCTGTAGTGGAGCCGAGTGGCCCCTAATAACGAGTCGGAGCTTATCTCGGTTTGTATAGCATGACTAAAGCGACTAAAAGTACTACCATCCCCCCCTGGATGGGATGCCAGCCCATCAAGGGCTTCTACCCAGAATTTAATCAGGCTTCACTCATTTATACTCCTAGGTGGAGTGAGAGAGAGAGGAACTGTGAGAATAAAGGGTTTTGCCCAACAACACGAGACAATCATTCGGCCAGGTCCCGAACCCTGAACACTCGCCCCGTAGTCTAGCGCACTTGCACACTGAACATTAGGCCACTACATCCCTTATAATTGCGAATTGGATGCAACGTGACTCTCTAAGGTTAAGAATATTATCAAAGGATCTTACAATCTTTATTCCATATAGTAGAATGAATGGACACATCTGATGGCAACTTTCCATAGAAGTGGTAATGTTTCTCACCTGGGTTTTCATTTCCTCTGTGTTAAAGTGAGCGGTGTTCGACGTGATCAAACGACTAAAATCAAAAGAGCCGACCCCATATCTGCCGAGGGAGGTAAATGAAAGTGAATGGTGAAACAATTTTATTAAGTAACCAAAGATACTGTAAGGGGAAAATTCAATAGAGAAAAATGAGCAATGATTAAAAATCAAAGCGGAATCGACCTGAGCAGTTGTTTTTTGCTCTGAAACAATTTTGTCGGTATACAGATCGTACACAAATCGTGCTCAGTTATTACTAGAAAAAAAAAAACTCGAGCTTGCTTTGAGATTTCACCAAAAAAGTTACTGTCAACTTTGTTGGTCTGGAATCTCGGCTTTCATTTGTTTGCCTACGTGTGTGTACAAATACCTGGACCAGAAAACCACTGACACCCCTAACACGTTATTTCCATCATCCCCCTCCCCTCAAAGTTTCTCGAGCGGAGAGACTTAAACTTACTCAGATTAGGAAACTATTTGTTTGAACGGTCTTCCGATTCTTGAAAAGAAAATCACATTTACTTCCATATGCCTAACTTCACCGTATCAATCAAAATGAGGTCTACGCGTAAGAAAATGGGTGTCTCAGTTGCTTTTTATACTCACAATTCAAACAATTACAGGTTACCTTTGGTACAATTCATGGTAATTATCCTGTACAAACTGCCACGCTAATAAACTCCCCTGAGGATTGCGGGCTATTGAATCTATGACAGACACGGAGTCCTGGGAACGAATCTTAGTTTCATCCAATGAATACTTCAACAATCTGAAATAAAGAAAAGTTTATTAGTTCATGAGATTCAACAGCTGCTTGCTGTAATTTCTTTAAAGTTGTCCTCATAATCATCACCGTCTTCACCATCGTCATCGCTAAACTCACATTTAAATAAAATTCTTTGATGGCTCCAGACCCTCACACAGATAGTTTTCCATCTCTTAAGCGCGCCTACTTACCAATAGCCGCCATAAAAAAAACAAACAAACAAACAACCAATCAAATAACAAAGACACGAAAAATGATGAAAACAAAAAACAAAGAAAAACACTCAAAATTAGGATATGGATTTTATTTGAAATTCTCTGAACACAAATTGAGGTATTTTTTCACCACTTACCTTTTTAAAATGACTTCGTTCTGACTAGTTGTGAGCGCGTACATCAACTTTTTCTTTTCCGATGGGACTGTTTCAGTCTGGTATCTATAAAAAACTTTCGTCCACACAGAGTCATTTGCTACTCTTAATCCAATCGTGTAGATGGCGTAACGAACATTCGGTGAAATCCTATAGTGAAAGTAAAGTAGAAAAGAAAGATGTTCAGGTCATTTGTAACGAATGTGCATGTAAACTGAGTAGCCAGCGGTTTCGAGTCCTCTTTTAAGGGTTGATCGTCGGAGCTGCGAAAACTGAAGAACGCTGAAGCCATGAGAGGTCTGGAACGTGAAAATATAGAGCTTATCTGTTGTTCTTGGCGGCTCCACCGCCTGAATTCTCATTGAGCGCCCAACAAACAGCCAGTTACGCTGGCTATAACTAGAGAAAAATTGAACCCAGGGCCTTCATGTTTGTTGGTGACAAGCCCCTTCACTAAGCTATTGGAAAGTGGACAGTTGGTCAACGATGTATACACGGTTACTGGTCATCTCGTACCCACGGTCGTTTCGTACCAGTCGTTTTGTACCCAGTCAGTTGAGTCGTTTCGTACCCAAACTAATAAAGTTAACAATTGGAGAAAAGATCTCACATCTACACGAGCTGTTACATTGCAAAAAGAGTCACAAGTATGAGCAATAGACTCTCTATTAAAAATATCACACTTGTCTTGCGCTGGGCAGTAATCAAGTTTCTTTTGTTAAGAAGGTCGCAAGTCTACACAAAATATATTTTTTGTTTATATGTTACTCGCTTGATTCTACGAACTTGTCGTAGACAACGATGATATCTGTTCACGCGCTGGCGACTGAGGTAATTGGAACAAGTGTATCGAGCGTTAGCCCTTCGTAAGAGCTCTGACGAAGGGCTAACGCTCGAAACGTCAGCTTTTTTACTCTTTGGCCAATTTACGTTTTCAACTCAGTTGTTAACACTAAATTACCTGCTATACTCCGCCACCGACGTATCATCACAGTTTCTTAAGAAACTTACCCCCTTTATTCATTTATCAATCGATCAGCGGTTTGGATGCGATTCTACTGCATTTGGGCACAAAACGATGAGGTACGGAACAATCGTGGGTACGGAACGACCGTATACCGTATATACGTATAACAATAAGTTGTATATACCATATACAACCTAGGTAACAATTTCATGGAATACGCTGCACGAGTTTTGCCAAAGGTAAGTAAAGCACATTACGTCGTTAAATTTAATGAACATATCATCCGGTTTGTTTTGTAATTTTATTCTATTACAAGAGATACTCACGGTTTGCCTTTATCAAGCCAGTCGTTGAAATACTTCTTAGCTTTGGTTGTGTAACGCTGTTTACTTTCCGGAAGAACATCTTCATAAATGGCGGCCATTTTCAACAGAGCAGGTCGAAGATATCTAAGATGAAAACGGTACCACAAAAAATTCTTTTCGACTCCCTTCTTTTATTGAGCCATTTATTCTCGTGTTACTGTAAGCATGTTTATCATAGCTTTGCACGATTTCTGTAAATGGAGGAGAAAAACGGATTGAGGACAATACAGCAAATAAGTACAGCGTAACACACCTCCTCAAATGTGGATCATCGTCCTTTTCTTCCCAGCTCAATTCAGCAGCAATATCATGAAGCAGGTACGAGACATATTTCTAAAAAGTAACAGAACAATCCAATAATAAACGTCTGCTGACATAGTGGAGACGTTATAGTTCTTAAAGTACAGCGCGGTTAGGGAACTGGAACTAACATCTAAATCTGATGATCAAGTCCTCTCCATTAAGCCAATCAGTGGATTTGTTCTTGGTTTTCCCGAGTCCAACTTCTCTTCTGCACTCAATAGATAGCCGACTGGTCTGCCCCCCCCGCCGCCAGCTGATTTTTAATCACGTCATTTGAAGTATTGGAATCACTGATTTTTGAGGTGTGGTAAGTCCAAGATAACTCTCCTATTAGCGTTTTGGTTACAAACTGTGTTTTCACTCATTAATTAGCATAGGTTTTGGAGATAACCCTTCAGAAATGATATTATTACTAAACATCAAAACTCACATATGATTGTTGTCTAAAAATACATTGTAAATATAATTATTTCTATTACCTTATACGTGGGATAATAATCACTTGATCCTTTCAGAGAGTCGTAAGTGGAAAATTGTATGGCAAAGTAACCCATGTTATTAAGCGCCGACATCCACGGGACAAATTCTTTTTCTTTTGTTAGGTACGAAGTGAGATTTAGGGCCACTTCATAATCCAACATGCCGCTCCTAGCAGTGAACATGAAAAAAAGGGGGAAAGTAGAACTTTCACACTCTGTCAAATCATTGCGGAACATCATGCTTCACTTTATATCCATATGGTGGGTGCATTAGCGGCAGATGCCGGTTTATTAAATATCTTTATAACTTTGCCGTTTCCTTCCCTTTACCCATCTATTTCCTAAATTTGTATTCTTGGCCTCAAAGTATTTATTCTTCACACAAGTGTCTTTGTGTTCTTGAAGTCAGCCATGGCTAGGTTACCATAGCAACTGATCTCCTCATTTCTGATTGAAAGACTGCTTTCTCTTCTCCTAACTTATCGACAATCACTTAAAAATACAAACCAAAAGCAATTGAAAAAGGGTTACTTACCGAGCAAGATTCAAAGCATCGTCTAACAGACCTGAGCGGTCCACGGTACTCAATACCTGAGCAAAATACAATAGCAGTACCTCAATAAAGAACAACCGAAATAGGAACAGGAGTTAACTCACATCATTATGGAGGGACAGGTTCCTTCAAGGAAAAAACTGGGTTAGCCCCGACTTTGTGTAAAACCTGTTCTTTTTTTTCGAAGGTAGCATTTTTCATTTCATTTTCCATCACCGTTTTTAATCAATCTCCCTCAAATTAAATAAATCTCGGAAGTAACGATTAGTACCTTGGCTTCAGTATGAAGATAACGAACTAGTTTGTCCCAGTTTTCTTTTTCATAATTCACACGGTAGAATCCAGTTTGTCCAGCATTCATTTTTATCCACGATTTATCACTCAAGTCTGGACTTAATTTAACTGCAAGAAAACAAACCGAAAACTAAAATATCAATTGGTAATGTACATTGGTTGAAGATACATTCTATCTTTCCCATTTCACAGGAAAAGTATAACACTACTTTACAAGTTAAATTGAACAAGCCTCTATGTAAACGTATTGTAGGTTCCCAGAAACTTGAACTAAATAAGGAGACTGGTAACTGAGTTTGGAGAGCATGCGGTAAAAGATATTTCATCAGTTTTGATATCAATAACTAGGTTGCTGACTGTGGATGTAAAAAGCCCTGTTTCCAGCGATGCAAACGGTCAAATGAGTTTCACGGTTCACTGTACTCTTATGACACCGCTCTCTCCTGTAGTATACCACCTAATGGTAAATGAGCTAAGAGATTTGTGAATATCAGTCGACAGGTTGATTACCTTCTATCGTTCTCTTCTTCATCAAAACCAAACTCCTGTTTTTAGATTGCTGCGTTACGAAAGTTAATGGAACTACCCACATTGGTCTGTAAAAACAGAAGACAACTGGTCGTGAGGAAAAGAAACCATCCACAGCCTGAACTCGAGGGAAGAAAACGTAAGAAGGCGAGGAAACTTTTTATACCAAGGACGAGAGAAAACTTTCAATTAACTAAACTTAAATGCAAAGGCAACTCCAGGAATCTAACGCAAGCCCCGCCACTTCACCAACTGGGCCCCTCCTTACTTTGTTTGTGGCAGCAACCAAAACTTAACAAGTGGTCACACCTACCGACTGTCAGACGAAGAAGCTGTTAGCTGTTTATCGTTACTATGGACAAGAAAGTGTTGCTGTTCTATGTGCAGTATCTTGTTTTCTCTCTTGACGGAAATAACAGGGAACCCCATTTGACTTGTCCACGATGTCATCATTTCTGTGACGTTAATTTCACCCTGTCCAAAGAATTTCATATTTAATATCTACTACTTGTTAGCTTACTTTTCTCCTTTGTTACTTCTATTCGCAAGATTCCTGATGAAAAGAATGCAAATTCTTTACACTGGATTGGCAGCGAGCAAGGCCAAAAGTCTACGAAATGTATTGGTTTCTATCTGTAACACATGGAATGAATGTCCTCACATTATCCTTAGTTCAATCCTTCAAAACATGTCTGAAAGCTCTTAATCAAAAGGTCTGGCTGTTTCCATATAATAATCGTTGCAATCCCCAGGATGCATGTTAAATTCAGTGACCAGAAGCGTAGAAACCAGCCTTAAAAAGAAACACTTATATCCCACATCATGAGCGTCGGGCTTGGGAGATTGGGAGACCACTCCCCGTGTATTTGACTTTCAAAAACATTATCTTATCTTATCTCATCCCTCTTAAAACTAACGTGTTTTTTATCGTATTTATCAGTGTCTCTACGATTTTGCAGTTGAAGTATTTTAAGCTTGCTAGTGATTTTGGAAATCAATGTAACAGGGAAATCACATCTATTGAGAAAATCGGTGCTGCCTTGTCACCCGAGCTCTATAATCAACGCCAACAATACTCGCACCGAATTAACTGGTTAAAAACCACAAGTCGGTTAGTTGCCCCTCTAGCAGTTAAACGGTATTCATCCTTTTTTTCATTAGAAGAGAAATTTCCGACGATTCTATTCACTGCAATGATTAAGTAATAGGGGGGGTCCTTTTCCTCTTAAATGCTGAGATATATATTGCACTAAGCAATGAGCTAAAATTCTCAGTTTCAGAACGAAAATTAATACATACAAAGTATGGCTATTTCCACGTATGGACGCAGGCTTCAACCTTACAATGCTTTCCTTTTCAATTCATAGAGATATAATATTAAGGAGTGACTGCAACAGTTCGTTCGAAAGATAAATTCACCTCACTGCTGATACTTTCCTGAGTAAGACTCTGCCAAAGATCATTCGTCTGTGCGTTGCTATAGCTGTATTTCTTCAGATATTTTTGTAATCCTTGGAAAAAAACTTCGCTTCCCAGAACATCTTCTAACATTCTGATTATGGCTGCGCCCTGAAAAATCAACAAGTTCCAAATAAAATGTTTGTACACGCTTAAGTAATTGCCCCTGATTTTCTTGTGACAGCTTAATGACGGAACAATCAACTGAAATGATTTATCACCGAGGAATTAGACCGATTCGTTTCACACACTGCTGAAAAACGAACTTTTAAACATCCAATTAAATTAATTCTAACCCTAAACCCTAACCCTAAGCATCTCATAGTGATGCTGAACACGCGACAGCTACGCAAGCTTCTGTATGTAAGTTCTGGAGTTTCACCTATGTAATTACCGTAAGAAGATTTTAATTTCTCAATTTTAAAGCGTGTCTTACCTTATCGTAAGAAATTGAATCAAAGAGAGCATTAATTTGCGCTGGGTCTTTCACTTCAGCCATTATTGGGTGAGAGTTACTGAGCTGGTCTTCACTCATTGCTCCCTGGAAGTTCTCATAAATGGATAGTTCCATCATTTTCCAGTCTGGTTGGGTATGGTTTACTCCCATAAATTCCATGAAACTGGCAAATCCTTCGTTAAGCCACAGGTCATTCCACCATTCCATAGTTACCAAATTACCAAACCACTGTAAGTTGAAAAAGAACGTGTTACATGTGTTAAAAACAGTAATCAGTATCTCCGTGTGAGCTAAAAACCAACCATATTAACCCCGTTGATATTTTAGGTATAAACAAACAACCGAACCAAGAAGACATCACATGCGATAAAGAAGTTTGATGAATAATGGTAATAGGACTGAGTGGAGTCCAATTCGGTCTGTAATCATAAGAACGATTAACAAAATCGGACGACCGCGAAGCAGGAGTCCAATTTGTTAATTACGAGTATGATTATAGACAGAATTGGACTCCACTCAGTCCTGTTCCCGATTAATCATAACTATTACAATTTCCGGAAAAATAAACACACCTAGAACTAGTATCTCCAATGGAGACAATGTCTAAAGTTAAAAATTTCTCCATTTTGGAAATTCCCCAGTTATTCTTAAGATAACTGATTTCTGCTATGGTCATTGTGATCAATTCTGTGTTTATTGGATTTGGCTGAATGGACTAAGTGTGACTGAATGAGGTAAGTTTCTGAAGAAGCTGTGGTGCTGCGACGGTGAGAGAGTATAACAGGGTAATTTAGTATTATCAACGATTTGATAACGTAAATTGGCTACCGTTAAGAATTTCAAAGCTTTTAACGGTGGCCAATTTTACGTTATCAACTCGTTGGTAATACTAAATTACCTCAGAATGATTGGCTGCTTCAACTGCCGTATTACAGGTGACCGATTATAGCCAACTGTCCGATTACACTGTCCGATTACACTGTCCGACTACACTGTCCGATTACAACTATAAAAAATAATCAGTGAAAATAAAATAGTTAGTGCACCAATCACATTTGAGGAAACTGTACTGGTTATGATTTATCTCAAAAGACATCTTTTCCCAGTACACGAACCTGATGAGCCAGTTCGTGTGCAACAACCACAGCTACTCTTTCCTTGTTTGAGTCAGAAGATTTGTTCTTTTTATAAAGCAGAGACGTCAATCGATATGTGATCAAACCCCAGTTCTCCATGGCACCAGCGGCAAAGTCAGGAATAGCCACAAGATCTGTTGCGCAAGAAAAAAAACAACAATCTTTTCTCATTTAACATTTAAATACTTCAGTTAAAAATATAAAAAGCTTTTAGAGCGTAAGGGTAACGGCAGATTTTAGTACACTCCCTGAAGACTCGCTTTGCCTTTATTACAGGGTAGGAAAACCACAATCAAAATTTTTACATAAAAAGTACTCAATTCTAAAGCGGGTTATTTATGTCGCTATAATTGCAATAACTGCAATGAGTGGTAAATACCTTGCTTTGGAAGTGGATATTTCACCTTAAAAAGGTCTTCGTAGTACTCCAGAACCTTTACAGCAACTTCCAAAGCAAATTGACCTTGATCAATCTGCTCTGGTGGGGCCCACACACTGACCTAAATAAAACATGTTCATCAATAAGATACGCGTGTTCGAACAATCATGTAAGAGATTATTCATTCCTGTCTTAATGTGTTATATCTCACTTATTGTTGTGGACACGTCTGAAATAAACGTAGACTGAGTTGTAACTTACAGTAACTCCTTTTGAAGTTTTGCTCGTGATGCTTTTAAAATCGCAAACGATAAACGCCACCAGATACGTGCTCATCTTCACGCTTTGTTGAAAGTGATCCGTGCAAAGTTTGACCGTGTCATTGCACTGAAACATACAGCAAAGTCAAATCTAAATATCACACGACAAACTTCACATCAAAGACGTCACCCAAACCAAAGGAGGGAAGTTCGACTCACGAACCAAATGTTCCACGTTACCTGACGGGGCTTATCCCCAGGGAGGAGGGGGAGGCTAGAGGGTACTTCTGTGTATTCTTAATAGAGGCATGCCGCCTAGTTCTCTTAATCCTGACCCTTCTTCAAACCGAAAAATGCTATTTATGCTATTTACCATGCAGGTTTTCATTACTAGCCCTTAAAATCCAAACACGCTTTCAGATCTGGCTATCCAAAGTTGTGCGTCTATATTAGGACTAACATCAGCGTCGAAAAAAGGAATTAGTAGAATTCAACCAAAATTAAGATCGAAGAGTATATTTTGGTAACTTTCCTTTCTTTTTCATTCACTTTAATTAGAACTCGAGAGGGGATAAGTTAATGGGCGCTCTCATGGTTGTTATATAGACCAAAACAGATCAAAACCCACACTCCCTAGGGTGAAAATACTTTCAATGGTAAAGTAGGTGGTATATTCCCCTTGATGTTAATTCCGGCTTATATCTTATGGGAGGGGCTAAGGGTATTTCTACAGAAACCCTCCTTTTCCACTGATTGTTACCCCTAACAGTTCTTACAGTATACGTGTTCATACAGTATTCGTGTCTAACAGTTCGTCGGGATCCACACTTCTGGGCGGAGAAACACATTGTGAGAGTACAGCGTCTTCTTACTTAACAGCACTGCAACACAAGAACTCAGACCAAACCAGACGTTATGTTACGCAATTAGTCAGAGTCGATAACCTTAGAGCACGCCGCTAACTGGTGTCTTACGGCATAAAATATTTTAATGGTGAATCAAAGAGCTAAACTTACCCCTTCAGTGTGATCCAGCGGCATGTTTGCCAAGGCCACATGGCGTTTTTCTCGCGTCATGACAATGGTGAAATTTGCTTTCATGTTAGGTTCATCAAAACAAGGGAAGGCATTTCTTGCGTCGGTTGCTTCGAACTGAGTCGTGGCAAGATATCTAAATGCAGTAAAATAGATCAGTAATAGAAGGTTATTTCTCGTAGCTATCATTATCACCTTTTCGTTGTTTACCGTGCAGAATAAGAGCGTGGGAAACTTGGTGAAAACAGCTGTTCCTCATGACTCCGTAGACAGGATACATTCTCTTCGCTTTGGGAGGGATCTGTGATTCTCAAAACTGAGAGCATCAGAAACTAAGGGGCATTTCCGTGTAATCACAGTTACTGCGACCAAGTAAACTTCTCATCAGTGACTGTGTCCGCATTTCGTTATTCAATCTCTTATTTACGAGGATAAGTAATTTTGCAGCCGAGGCAGATACAAAAGTGAATGTTAAGATCATTTGATTTATTGTGCCTGGTACGTTCCTATTTGTTTCCTGAAGAAATATTTTTTTTGCCACAAAAGTAGATTTACAAGAAGAAAAAAGATATGTTTAGTGTTAAAACGAATCTCTGTACATATTTTTTTCACCAAATTTTGGCCTTGAGTCGTTTGGAGGGCAAACGCTTTACGAGACACATGGTTTAACTCCAGGCACCAAACGATTTGTCAGCACAATGGGTATTAAAAGGGGTACGTTTGTACCCAATAATAAAAGATGGTTTAGTTTTATCATCTGAGTTGATGATGTAAATTGGACACCATAAATAGATTCTTAAGCTGACGGTTCGAGCGTTAGCCTTCGTCAGAGCGAATGACGAAGGACTAAAGCTCGAAACGACGTATTAGTCCGCCCCTCTCCGCTTAGAAAACGGCCTTAAACCGAACGAGATTTACACCTATCACGGAAACAATCCTATCACACTCAGTACTGTGTCACCCGCACAGTTTGGAACAGACCAAATGTGCCCCAAGTTCTGAGACAAAAGATTGCGTGACAAACTATTTCATAAGTGGACACAGAAAAACATCCTGTATGCAAATTTCTTTACGGCATGGAGCCGAACTATAATGCGTACTTTACCTGCCAAAAGGGCTTTTCAAAACTGACTGAGTGCATGAACAAAAGACTGTTCCCGATTCAAAATTAAGATTAATTCTAAATAAATTGAGGATAGAATTAGTAGATATTTCTCACCTTACTTCGCCCGATGAGGAATTATATGTGCTCAGGTAAAACCCAGACAGACCTCTATTCAACTCAGAGTGGAATTCGATGGACAGATAGTAATTCTTGCCTCGTTCAACTTTGCTATTCAGTTTAATGTAGATCATTTCACCTGAAAGTCGAGAGATTTTCGAAATTCCCATAAGTTTTGATTTTTCCTTGTCATCCCCGTCTGGAACAAACGATACTTGAACATTAGAATAATTAAGTTTCTCTCCAGCGTGAAGTGTAATATTGTTAGCGGCTTCATTGCAGTACAGAGAAATATCAACTTTCCCAGAGAATTTAAAAGTTGTCAGATTAGGATGTAAATACACATGATATTCTATCGGCAATAGATGTCTTGGCAACCTCAATGAAATAGTGCTCTTCTGGTGATCAAGCGCCTTGTTGGTTGAACTCGACCGAACGTAAACAGCGAGAAGCACAATAACAAGAAGCAACACAAATGAAACAGCAACAATAATGGCTGCCCTTCTTGGGTTAAGTTTGGAGCACCGGAGTATTCCTTTCCTCTCAGGTTCGTCACCTTCCCTGGGCAAAAGTGAAACTGCAATGTCGTCTTTAAATTCGTCATCAAATTCTGAGGAGTAAAGGCCGTCTTCCTGGTCTGCCATCTTGCATATATGTGTAGCCGACATAATTAATGCAAGCATTAATTATGGCAAGTTGTCCCCAGACTCAACTCCTACTGTTGAGTTTCTTTGAGGCCGGTCTACTTCCGGCGTGGCAAATATTTCATTTCAAAATCATTTCTACAGAGTAGCCAACACCCACAGCATTAACTTCAAGTTCAGTGGCAATATTTCTTAATCAAAACAAACAAGATTTGTCGTTCTTCCATCGGCAGATATCGAGATGGGAGCAAATCGATTTTCGGGTAAGAGAATCTCATTCAACAGATTCGATTCAAAATATCATACACCATACGTACAAAAATATTTAACGTTACCATATCATACACCATGCGTTCAAAAATATTTAACGGTAGATTTTCTTTGAACTAAATGAATTAACTTTGACTGTCAAAATGATGCGCTGATCTGAAGTTTACTGTAGGAAGGGAGCTCACGGAGGGTATGGCAAGGACCCTTATGCACAGGACCTCGAGGTCGAAAAGATATGATTACATCAGAATTACAAGAACCCACTTGGTTCAAGTCACTAGGTCACGTTGCTAAAAATTGCTTTGATCAGGGAGGGGGGAGAGAAGATACCTGTCAGGAGAATAGTGGGTAGCCCTTGGTTTGTCTTTGTGGAGGACAGTGGTACTTGGAGGAAGCTACAAGTCGGGGGAAAGGATCTACCTATCGAATGAAAGTTTATGCCAAATTAAGATAGTGATAAAATGGGGCAAATCGAGCTAATATGCCAACCAACTGACTAAGAAGTAACGAAAATAATGACTTGGAAGGAGAGTCAAGTCTCGTTCGTAAATCTGTTTTGTTTTGTTCTTGACCGATTTGTGGTTTCAATTGATAACCTGGTCTATAGTTAAGATCAAGACTGACCCGGGTTCGAGCTCTGGCCGGGAACATTCTGCTGTATTTCGTCGGCCAATTCACTCTTACAGTGCATTTCTCCGGCCCAAGGTTGTAAACAGATACTATTGTTCTAGGTTACAGTAAGTTTTTCAGTGGAGATATAGACCGGTTGATGGTCGGTTTTTTTCCTCTTTTTTTTTTTTCCTTACAAAAATACCAAAATTACAACTGCAGGTTCATTCAGTACAGTTTCCTCAGCTGTTAATACTCTGTTTGTGCAAAGATTTATGGAGCTGATACAGCTAAAGATTGACACAGCTTTCCTAAAAACAGCTGCATTGCCGAGATTATTCTCGTTATACGAGACATTGCTGACAGTGTCGACAACTTGCGATTTTTTTACGCACATCTGCCAAGCTGTTCAGCCAAGATAACTTTGAAAACTTCATACACTTTGAAACTTGTATAACCAACTTTTTTCTTTACCAAAAAAGTCCTGTTTCTGCTATGAATAAATGCAAACAAGTCTTTATTGTCAAAAATGATTTTTTAACAGGGTCTCAAATTTAGCTACAAATATTTTCTCAGTTGTCGGCCATTCATCTGAAAACTTAAAAGTTCACCTTCTACTTTCCTAATTTCCATATGTAGTTGTTTCCGTGAACTCAGTATCATGAAGTTCTTCGTTGTTCTCGTGATTTTGTCGGCTGAAATAAATGGTAGGAAGTTCTTAAGTGAATTGAATTGATGAAATTTGATGCCACAGAGACAAACAATGTTCATCAGTTTTAAATAGAGGATGAACTATAAAAGTTTTAGGTGTGGTATCTTAACTCATGTTCAAGGATATAATCACCCTTAGCTCTGTTGTTTGAGATTGTCTAATCCTCGGCAAATTGTTTAATTTCGTAATGTTGAAGGCATACAGAGGATTTCAAAACTAAGCTCGAATTTACTTACTATTAGTTTGTAAGATATTAATTGTATTCAAGTTACGGTTTGAACTAGTTTATAAGAGTCTAAAATTTTAATCTGACGTGGTAAATTTAGCAAGCTTTATAGGAATATAAATTACGTTTCATGTATCAATTTATCTTCTTTTTTATATAATCCATATTGTTAAGTTCGCCAATTCTATTACCTGTAAACATGTGTACTACTGAAGCTATTATTATGATAGGAATTTGACGCAGGAATTTGAATCAACTGAAACGTGCTCTGAAAGGCTCTGATACGTAAAATTTACGTCAAAAAAAAAAAGTTAACAGATTACTTTTGACTGCAAGTAACCTTTGAGTGATATCTCACTCTCTTTGACAGGTTTGTGTTACGACCACTGGCCAAACTGCAAAGACTACATGAACAGACCAGGCAATCTGTGTGAAACAAATAGCTTCGTAAAATACAAATGTAAGAAGAGTTGCGGTTCGTGCGGAGGTAAGAGGAAATATCAGCTTTTAATCACTCTCTTTTGACATTCCTGCCAGTAATGGCATCCAACTCTATCGTTTCCTACATTTTGCGAGGAGTTCGCGCTGAAAAAGAGTTCATCGAGAATCGTAAGCAAGAGCCGCTGAGATGGGTCTGGGAACATCACGCCGCAGGAGCCGCTAAGATGGGTCCGGGAACATCACACCCCTTGCATTTATATAGCTCAGATGTAGAGCACTAGAGCGAGAGATCCGAAAGTTGGCAGGTCTATTCCTTGAATAGGACTCAAAGTAGCATCTTCCGCGATTCTGTTGTATGTCTATCAGCGTTTCTGTAATCTTAAACACTGTTTGATTAAACATGCCTTTCACTGATCTTTTTTCTCTGATCGTTAGGTCCCAGGCCTCCTGTGACACAAAGGCCACCTGAGCCTCCAAAGCCATCAAGACCACCCGCACCTCCCCCTTCCCCAGGTGAGTGGAGTTCATATCAAGGCCTCTCTGAAGAAGCTTATCTGTGCTTGTCTTGCTTGAAAAACTGAATATAGACAGAATTACCAGTAACTATACTAATCGATGGCGCGAATTATATGATCAAAAATCGTCTTAGGGAAATTAATTGGAGAACGTTATTGCGTATTAGTATACTTACAGGTCCTTACACAAAGGTGATTAAAGAGATATATGCGACCTGATTGGTCGATTATGTCAAGTCTTACGTTAACCCAGCCATGGCTAAGATTGTTACAAAGCAGCGTTTGTTAAAGACAACCGCAGCGGACGTAAGTCGATCCCTGATAGGCTCTCTGACAATCACCTGACTAATAATTACAGTCTGTTTAGACTTAGTGCCTCTTCTTGAATAATCACCGAGAAGTTGAGTGATTATCTTTGAGATGGTTCACAAATATTCATTTCTCCTCCCCTGAATACTGATCTTAAAATAATCTTTCGACGTTCAGGTTCATGCGGCATGAAACCAGAGTCACGAATTGTTGGTGGTACCCAGGCCCGTGCGGGCGACTGGCCATGGCAAGCAATGCTCAAATATCGTCCATCATATAACAAAGGAGCAAGTTTTTGTGGAGGAACCTTGATAGCTCCACAATGGGTTCTTACCGCCGCACACTGTGTAAAAAGGAAGAGAGCTGTGGATCTCAGGATCAGGTAATCTGAATCTTCTCAGTCATTATCCAAGATAGATGGCCCTATAATTTAGAACAAGAAGTCTGAGAGATTACGATAGACTGATTCTTTCAATTTGTTTTTTGATCTAAAGCTGAACACCCATTTTCCCCCCTTGCTCATTATAGGCTCAGGCTGCTTAGGCTAGATCTGGTCAAGGACCTGATATAGTATCTCTATTCTCAACGTAAAAAGAGAATGAAGATTTCCGTTCCTCCTACTGTTTAACTTTATTTATTCACACGCCAAGAAATAAACCAAGTTCCCAATTGTTTAACCTAACAGAATGGGAGCTCATAACAAAAAGGGCAATGATGCAACAGCTCAAGACATTGAGATTGAAAGGATTATAATGCATCGCTTGTACAAGAAACCATTCGGTATGAGTCATGATATCGCGTTAGTGAAGCTTAGCAGACCGGCGGAGATCAACAGGGCTGTGAGACTCGCTTGTCTACCAGACGCATCAGTTGATCTACCAATTGATGACGGTAGCAAGACATGCTGGATCACAGGTATTTCACTATAAACATTTTGGGGTCAAATTTGTGGGAATTTTTATTCACAGCAACACCTGTCGGAAACTTTGGAACAATTCCATTTTAGTGCGCAATCTTTATCATTTTAGTAAGGGAAATGCTGTTTTTCATATATTCTTTCAGTTACATGCTATTTAACTTTTATCAACCACAGGCTGGGGTTCCCTGTCTTCTGGAGGACCTAGTGCCAGTCAACTCATGCAAGCTGAAGTACCACTAGTTTCCAAAGAGCGCTGTGTCAAAAGTTATCCAAGGCAGATCCACGACTCCATGCTGTGCGCAGGTCATGATGAAGGTGGGATAGACACGTGCCAAGGTGACAGTGGAGGTCCACTGGTATGCAAATATGGCGGTAAATGGCACTTGGAGGGTGCCACAAGCTGGGGGCACAAATGCGCACAGCCAGGGTACTTTGGTGTGTACGCCAATATAAGATACCTATTAGATTGGGTCTATGACACAATGGCTTCGTATTGATTAAATCTTTACTTTGATGACATTGAAACAAGGTTTTAAGTAGAGCAATAGATAAATAAATCTGGATACAAATGAAGTATTTCATGGATGGTTTGTTGTTTAATGAAGGAAATGGCGCCCACAAACCTCATTCATAGTCCTGTCAAATCCCACTAAAAACATCAGCCCTCTCCCCGGCCTTCTCATCATGACGAAGACAAAAAGTATGCCAATTGTATTTTAAAATTAATATACATTCTGCTGAAATCAAGAAAATTCTGACAAAGTTTAATCAAATGACAATCTGATCTTGTAATATTGCACCAATGTTACTTTATTGAAATCTGTCGACTAAACCTTAACTACATAACTACATGTACTGACAACAGAGCGAATGATGACTTCTCATCCTTTCTTGCATTGGAATCTTGGTTTTCTCCTACATATTAACGATTTATGGTACTGATACTATTAGCGTACTTAAACTCTAATATCAAAATATTTATGAGGTGATCACATTTGGTTTGCATTGTGACGAAACACTCCACTTTTTTTTCATTCAGTGATATTATTATCTTACGGGCTTTTACGGTAGTCTCATGAGAATTTTCGATAGGGCACTGCAATTATTTCTTTTCCCGTTCATAAGGAGAGATGTTTATCTCAGAGCGCCTAAAGATTTGGACGTCCCTTACATTTCAGTAAGTTTTTGACTCGGTGCCACTTCTACTGTAGTACTGTAAGATATTCACTGTAAGATATTCACTGTAAGATATTCACTGTAAGATATTCACTGTAAGATATTCACTGTAAGATATTCACTGTAAGATATTCACTGTAAGATATTCACTGTATGATATTCACTGTAAGATATTCAGAGCGTTACTTCACCGCAAATTTGACATTTCTAAAAAAAGGAAACAGTTTGTGAGCACGTGCATACAAACCTGAAAAGCTGAACTGCTACATAAACTTGGATCAAACGTTCCCCTTTCCTTTACATGACAGTTTTGCGTCGACACACAAACAAGTCCATCTTGTCACAAGGTATGGCAAGGTTGAAATATCCCAAAAGTGATTTCAAGCCAGTGTTTGGAAATATTTTCATCGGTAATACATGTAATAAGTTTCTGTGGGTCGGTGATTAATACCTTTGTTATCTACAATATCTACAGACACCTTGCTTTTCATTAAACTAATATTGACTGAACAATTCGATGACATTTCAGACGTGAATATGATTGATGTGTTTCGTCTGTGTTAGTCACAACAGCTGACTCCTTGCTGAACAAAATCTTACATCAAGTAATTTGTTATCCTTCAAGGTTCACCGTCTAGTAAACGATTCCCATAGACAAATTGTCTTATTCTCAAACGATGCTCTTTCTACAAACCGGAGAGGTCGTAAATAGTTCTTTACATATCTGACAAAGAACCAACGGCACAGTTTTGTGTTTTGACGTTCGATATTGGATGCACGACAGCTCATCACCCGGGGCAAAAAAGCATTATGCTTGCGGTATCCTTATATCTCCTCTGATGTTCCTCATACAAATTGTTGTCACGTGACATCGTACATCTGATGAGCTGATTGTAATGACGCGTTTGTTGCACATCCGGTTTCTTCGAGGACTTTCTCCACACATTCTTCAACTTCTTTGTGTCCCACGCCCTGCAGCTCTTTCAATTGGTCCTAAAGAAAATCAACCATCCTGCTCTCACTTTGGTATGAAGACACAACAAATAATTATTAAGTAACGATGTCGACAGGAACAAATCTTAATATGTGAATAATCTCGAACAGCTTTTTGTTCACACAGACATACCTCGACCTGTTTTCCACAACACCTCAAAAGTACCACCAAGCACTCAGCTGTTTTCTGGTTCAGCAGCTCAAAAGCTGAAATAAAAGATATTAAACGCAAATATTACGCTTTATTCGAAAAAAAAAACCCACGTAGTTGAGAAGGTTCCACAAGATCTGAACAACTCTCTTCCCAACCATACAAGTAAATTACTCCATTCCTGCTGAAACCTCTGGTTGTGTTCCTTCCTACGAAAAGGGAAGCGCTTAAAGAAACAAACGTGTCTCCATGTATTTTTTTTGACACCCATTCTTACTTAAAGGTTAAGTATTGACAAAATCTATCAAGAAAACAAACGGTTACCCTGAACTGCTATGTAAGCAGAAGAGTCAGTTGCATCAACCAACAGCTTCAAAAGACTCTTCAGGATTGTAGAACTGTGATTAGGAATCCTAAAAATATAGGAAGCATGAAAAGGAGTAAGAAAGAGCATACTACGCATGACCAGTGACCCTAAGCAAAACATCTACAAACGCCCGCGATACTAAGTGTTTGCATCGCGGAGCGTTGAACACAAAAATTAACTTCCTTGGAGATGATAGTTTTCTGACAAACCCCTGTGCCGATTGATTCAAAAACCTATTAACGCTGGTCGTACATTGAGTTTCATGAATACAGAAAGTTCATGATGTTACAAAGTGAGTGGAGCCAATTGTGACTCGAATATCTCCGCCCTGGCACATGTAGTAGTGGAATCAGGAGCAGGCACCTTCTCTCACCTGGGCCAGGCTTGTAACATTGCGACTTTCAATGCATCCAAAACAGCCAACCGTGTCTCTTCCTCTGGATAATCACTAACTTCCAAATATGAGACTATAACTTTTAAAAGCCGCTGAAAAAAATTTAAATCACCTCTTTTGAATATTGCCAAGTCATGTTATGTAGCGAACAAGGTGACTCAACTCAGCGTAGAAAGAGTCAACAAAACTGAGATCAACTGAATAAATGGGTGACTGTAAACTGTCGTACTGGAACTTCATGTATTGAGACTTAATCAGCGGTAGATAGACAGATAGAAAAGACAGATAGACTAACGTGCGGACGTACATAGAGACACATTTTTCACCACGTGCCAAGAGCAGTTTCAGACGTAGTTTGTATCCACTAACTTAGTCACTAATACCAAATTAAGTTAGTACCAACGGCTATATTTAGTGCGTTTGCCTCTCATGTTTCAAATGTCAAATGTCACACTGAAATTTGCCTGAAAACGGCAACAAACTCCCGTTAATTATCTAGACAAATACTTATCTTACTATAGACATACTTCAGATATTACATTTATATTAAATACACATAAGCAAGTTAGGAAATTGAGGATAGGATTGTCCCAAATATGTTACCTTAAAGTGCCTTAGTATTGTTATTCCCATGTGTTCAATAAAATGCTTCAGGTGACTTGCATACGCCTGGAAACAAATCAAATAATTATTATTAAGTAAACGCAGTTTCAACTTTTTTTTACTGTGGCATTACCGCCACAATTAAATATTCGAGTTGTTCCCAAAAATGGATGATCAGGCAAGCACACCAGCTCATTAACAAAATCTGATGAAAGGAGAAATAACAGATTGAAGTTCTTTCCTGGATTGCTTTTGGAGCAATCTGCAAAACTGGTCACCCATAAGATGCTTGAATTGTTTCCGTAGAAACAACTATGTCTTTCAGATTAAAATAGTTAAAAGCTGTGATCAGTTGAGGTACATGTACAATACAGTCCATATACAGTTAAAAAAATGTATATCTAATTATCTGAGAGTGAATCATGTGTGGCCATCCATAGTAATAGAGCACTAGAAGAGCTAACCATATTTATGGTAATTTTTGGGTTACACTGGAATTCTTCTGCCACCCACATTTCTTAGATAGAAAATTTTAAAAGCAGATGTATTGCAACTAGGAGATTCCCCCAATGCCTATTCCAAAAACTGACCTTTCTTACAGCAATTTTACTTTCAAACTCCATGGAGGAGAGGATAATCTGAAACAAACCATCACATTTGGTTGTCTGCAAAAAAAAAAAAGTAGAGGTCAGGGAATCAAACAATACACACCAAAATAAGATCAGCCTGTTTATCTGACACCACTCCTCAAAAGAGATCCTCTTAGCACTTTGGTTTATGTCCCTTTTGTTCAGGGTACGCAATCCTGCCACCTACATAGGTCTACTGCCTGGATCTTTTACTTAGATTTTCTTTTAATTATTGAATTCTTGAGAAAAGAAAGAAAAAACCTCTAAGCCATGAAAGCTATCAGAAAAGACAACATGCTCCTGTTCACAGATGGATGTCAAAACAAATTCCCATCCTCTTGATAAACAATATCAACAGGAAAGTGTAATTGGTTTCAACCTAAATGTAAAACTTTACTGTGCTTGTGACCAGCAGAATGAGAGTTTTCCAGACAAGGACTATTTTTTTAATTTGACTGATGTCTTTTATAACCCAAATGGAAGTTATCATCACACTCACATATTAAGGAGTTATTTGTCTGTCAAGTTTTGTAAGGCTGGTATATGAAAAGCGATTGGTCAGTCTTCATTCATGATGTTATTGGTTGTAAGACTCAGTAAAGGGGTGTAAGTCAATCAACCACACACCAACAATGACCCTTTTCAACCCTACACACCCTTCCCTGCCAGACAATCATATCATATCATGATGATAAAAGAAGCAAATAAAAGAAGTAAAGAAAATGTGAACATCACCTTACGGTCAAAATTGGCTTTCTTTGGAGATGGTTCAACAACTGTTAGGATGCTTAGCAGGCACGGATGAAGAGAACACATCAGGGAGGGGTCATTGCTATATATGTGACGCTGAGATGCCTACAGGTAATTCATGCCATAAATATCATGTTACTAAATAGTGTTGATTCCCTTTACCATGCAAGTTTATTGCCCTAAAAAAACATGAAAAAAGTTGTGGGGATGCTCTACTATTGACTAGCTACTGATGTGATTTTTATAAATATTGTCCTCAAGACTCTGTAAAAACTAAGAACTGAGTACTCATACCATTTCCACCAAAACCAAAAGATCTAAGTTCAATGTGCTGGATTTAGGAGTTTTAGGAATTACCTCAAAAAGAACATCAGCTCTTCCATACCACTGCAATTCAGCTGAATTCTGAAATTGAAAAGAATAAGAAATATTCAGAGTATAATCGAATTTAACTATCTGTAGCCTTTGACGGTGAAACTGATACATATGCACAATATTTGTAGATACAAGGTATCATAACAGTTATAAAGTGAAAACAATCAGCTCCACATACCACATTATCAATGACGTGTTTTAAGCACTTAAACCCCAGTGTTTTGTTCTCAGTCTGTTTGATAGTGGAAGAATAAACAAGTAATTACATGTACATTCCATAAGTAAATTTTAAACTTGACTGTGGTGAATATTTCATAACCTCTGGCATTCATGCCAATTGATAAAGATCCACAACTTCCAACAAGCATTAAACTGTCCACCGTGGACACTATAGTAATCTAATTCCAAAATGAAGATCACGAGTAAACAATTGAAAAAAGACAAAATCCTAAAATACTTCATTAAAATCTGGTTTCATCAAATGCTAGAGAATTTCACCAATGAAAAAACCTATACCTCATAATCATCTATGAGAAGTAATAGAGGAGACATCAGCTTGGCAAAGTGTTCTCCCACATAAGGATGCTACGGACAATGAAGAGTGAAAAGGTTAGAAGGAAAATGTCTGATGCTTAGCCTCACCTGTGTGATTCTCAAGAGTGATTATTGTAAAAGTTCTCTCTATTCTTTTTATACACTAAAATCAAATAGGAGATCCAAACCTAAGAATTGTTTAGATAAAGCCCCAAATCCTCACCAATAACCAGCATTGAAATTATGGTAATCAGTTGTAAGAATTTGCTTCTGAATCATCAGAGTTGGAAGGTTTAAATCCACTGCATTTTAGCCAAAACTTTATTTAAATTTCATACCTTCCATTAGTTTTATTCTAGTCAGAGTTGTTTACTTACTTCTCTCAACCTTAATTATTTACATGTACCTTAAAAAAAATTTGGTTCTATCCCTTAAATTTTCAAAAGTCCCCAAATCATTCTTAGAATGTTGTTCATATCAATCGGAATAGAAATGTTGTTCATATCAATCGGAATATAAATGTTGTTCATATCAATAGGAAAGACAAATAATCCACAGACTCAATTGCTGTGCTGGCAAAGGCTTGGACTTAAAATAACCCATGAGCTGACATACTGGGACGGCACCATCTTTTAAATGAAATGCCACAGTCAGGTGTCTAAGTACATAATTTGCCAACAACATTATTCTAATTAATACCTGTATCCTTGATTTTTTTGGTCAGTTTGCTTTTCAGTTTGTTTCTAGGATATTGCCCTTGTCTGGTAACTGTTAGTTACTTTCTTGTGACAATTTACTTGAGTTACAAACAAAGTGTATCTAAACAATAATCAATAGGATACTTGAAATTATTTTGACTACCTGATAGTCAAAATAATTTCAAGTCCTCCTATTCAGTAAATTGAAATCAACAACATGTAGACAGATGTTTATTGAAAAAGAGGTATTACTCTACTAAGTATCCTATAATTCCATAGGCAGTTCACCTTAATTTGCAGAGTGCACCACACAAGCCCATGGCAAGCAAGTGGAAATTTCTTCCAGTTATCTTTAAGGAGGTGAGGTCTCAAATAATCAAGGATATGTCTGAACAGCCCTGAAGTGAACAAACTGTTTGGTGACTGACTCTCCTCTACCATGTTGAACACAACAGATTCGACCTCAACACAGCCACAGAGAAGCTCTTGTACTGATGGACACTGGCAATTGGTACATATCAAGGAAACCAGCTCTGCAACACATTGGCCATTTACAATATCTCATTGAAACATTCTGAGCAAACCTTTCAAGCTTCAAAAGTTGGTACAATTTAAAAAAAAAAGAACAAAGTAAGACATTTTTCAGTTGATAATGACAAAATAAGCAGACCTGTGATCATCAACTATCCAAAGAAAGTTATGAAATGGTAACTCAAATGCTTACACAAAAACAAAGTTTCCAAACAAAATGTACAGTATCTGCATTATACTTTATAAATTTCAGTGGTAGAAGTTTTGTAGAATGAAGATAATCCTATAAAATGAGCATGCAAAAATCCAGGAAACTGGATGTTCTTAATACATAATATTAGTGCTCATACCATGAGCAAGGGCCATTGATGCTGTGCTTGTCCAAAGATGTGACTCCATGTGTACAGCACATAAAGCCACCAAGCAACTGCAGGTCTTTTTTAAAATAAACTTCTTAAACACCTGCAATTTTAAGGTACAAATAAGCATATGGAACACTTTGGTTAATGATGTTAAGAACTGTACCTCCTTGAAATCTTTTAAGATTACTATGAGGGAGTATCTCCACACAGTATATTAACATGAACCTTCAGAGCTTGTTTAGCTGTAAATAATTACTATATTTTATCTTTATTAGTATTATCATTATATTCTATCTTTATTATCATAAATTTTGAAAAACCTTTTGAGGAACATCTGTTAAAGTCTATTGTTTATTAAATTAATTTTCAGCTACCATATGTATGGAAAGTGCTAAAAAAAATAAATGTTATTGACTCAGTTCTAATAAAATTTAACAACTCACTGCATCCACTGGGAACTCTTTCTCTGCTAGCAGTTGATTATCCCTGTTCAACAGTGAAGATAACAGTAACTGGCAAATCTTCAAAACAGCAGAGGCTTGGGTCTCATGTTTCAACATCTCTTCTTTATCCCAGCCTTAATGAAAGAAAAGGGTCAGACATGTGTTGTTCTGTCAATTTGGTGATTGTTCAAACCATTTTGACCATCAAATAACAAACTCATTTATTTAAAGTTCACCTGAGTAACAAACTAGAACTTTGTTACGGGGGTGATACCCTAGAAACAAACTAAAAAGCAAACAGACCAAAAAAAATTGGGGATACAGGTATTAATTAGAATAACGTTGTTAACAAATTATGTACTTAGACATCTGACTGTGGAATTTCATTTAAAAGATGGTGCCGTCCCAAACCCAATTCTTCAATCTGACAATCAGGCTATTGATTACTGTTTTTGAGATAAACAGCTATTTTTTGTGGTTGTGAAAAACTCACCCCCCTCATCTTCGATAAATGGCTCTGCACACTGAACCAAATTCTCGATAACTGCAGCAATTTTCTCTCTGTCTTGAGATTTTTCATCCAGATTTTCACACGACTTCGAATATCCCTGACCATTCAACCAGTCACTGTACCTTCTTTCCAAAAGTACCTTCAAATTAACCTGCAAACAAGGTGAATTTTGATTGGTTTCAATCCTTGCATAACTGGTCGCCCTGATATCAATAAATAAACAAAACCTTGATGATAAATCCGATATTTATCCACGGAATGGCTCTTTGTCTGGTGCGTTGTTTTCAAATAATTATTTAAGATTCAGAATTAAGGGAGTAATTATCTAGTGATTATATTAAAATCAAAATTGCGATATCTACCTTCTTCAGCAGTGTTATGACTTCCATGAATGCGTTTTCTGGCAAAAATGTTTGTAAGGTTTGAGAAACCTGTATCATTCCGTCCGCCATGTTGTTGATCGTAAGGCTTGGCTGCCAAGTAGTTAATTCAACCCGTGTAGGGAGAGGAAGAGATCGGATATAAGATACTGCAAAATTTTCAGTTTAATGGACAAATAAGCCTGAAAAATGACAAACCCATTATTCAAAATAAACTTGAAACAAAGAAAATGTTTAAAAGTATCAAATGTATTCTTTAAATAAAGTTTTTGGTTCATGAATAGTCAACCCTACCCCCTCCCTCTCAAATCATTACCCGAGAAGAAAGCAAAGATGGCGGTAACTTTGGTGAAGGTTGCTGGTAAGTTTATTATTGGCGGCCTTGCATTGTATGGATTGTCAGAAGTGTTAAGTTCACAAGACGACACAATAAAACAGCTCTCGATGATTGACAGTAAAACCCGTCAAAACATTCCCGTTAATTTACCTGAGGTAAGTTCCCGCAACAAATAATTCTATTTAGTGTGGCTATGATTACAACATGCACTCACTGCTACAAATTTTTTTTTTCAGCGAGTGCATGTTGTAGGCAAACGTGATGCTGAAAGCGTTGACTCACATCTCTCTCTTGTATCATTGTTCGCTTACATCTCTATTTGAAGCGGTCGTTCAAATACCATGGGCACTTCCTTATGGAACAGTCTACTTAAGTATATTCGGGATATTAGCTCTTTAGATTCCCCTGGTGAACGAATCATGAGCTATGCTTTTCATCATTACTGATAAAGATAAGCTTACTGAACATTATCTTTTATTTATGATATACATCATAGTACTTATGTTGCACTTCGTCGATGAGTACATCTCATTGAGATGGTTTCTGAAAAATCATTAATAGTCTGAACCAATTATTGTTAGGGAAAAATAACCTTCGTGAGTTTACATTATATACATCATATGTATGGAATTAGATCTGGTAATAAAGAATTCAAATTACACCAATATAAAACTATTAATACTATTAAAGAGTTCAGGCATCAGAAGCTTGTTGATTGAAATTGGGAAAGGTTGTTTGAGTGTCTACAGACTGGGTCTGCTGTTGAAAAACCTCGAAATTTTCTCATGGAATCCTTTTCTTTTAACCGCTGTGTGAAAGTTATTTCCTGTATGCTGGGAGTCATGTGCAGTTTTACCACTGTAAAGCCATAGGAAATCACCCAATAATTTTGTAGTCATTTACTGGTTCATTTTAGGAATTATCCTTTAATTCATCTTAAATTAATGTAACATGTAGATATCTGGTAATTTTTTCTGGTATTTTTACAGCTTCCAACAACCACAAAAATTAGGCAGTCTTGGAATAGTGGAGTGCAGAGAGTTTTTGGGGGACTGGAGCAAGTACCAGTAGCAGCATGGGAGTTGGGCAAAAAGGGAGCTTCTAATGCAAAAGAATTTATCAAAGAACAAATGAAATAAGGGTTGAATACCTGCCATTTGTTGTCATAAGTTATGACACTCACATTAGCTAAATGAAAGAGAGTGATCAACTTAAAAGACCTTGGAGATGTTGATTGAGAGTTGCCTAAGTCCAGCTGCTATCACAAAATTCTCAACTCTCATTTATGTATTAAACTGAAGTTTGTCAAGTGTGTCCTATGTAAACTTTTGTAGTTACTGGTGTTAAAGTGTTTTGTTTTGCGATAAAAAGTGAGGTTTGATTTTTTCACTATGAAAAGACTCAAGTGCAGTGTACTCCATATTTTTAACTTGAATGGAGAATATGTGACTGCTCTGCTTCTTGTTGGAAGTTTAAGTGCACAAAAATCAATTTTTCATGTCTTCCAGATTTTGTTTGTATTTCAAACACTTCTCTGTAGACATTTTTAAGCTTGGGTCCAGGACTTGATCTGATGAGGAATGTTGCTCCTTTAGGGATAATGAACCACACCCGATGGACACCCCACCCCCCTCTCCCATCCTCTTGAAAAGTACAAGATGCCATACATTTACATTATTTCAAAGATATGTTGACCTGTTTCACTGCCTTGAGTCAATGCACATCTCTTGCCATAGCATTGTTTTAGGTTTAAATTCAATCGCTGATTAGGAAGAAGTGTGTTGGTAGTTTTGGGGTCATGTTGCTAGTTTCTTTCCTTTAAGATCACTTAGTTGCTTGTCACTGGTTTGATTTCTTGGAATCATTTTGTACTTTACACAAAGCTGATAAAAGAAAATGTAATGATAAGGCAAAAAGATTGCGGAGGTGTTAGTGATCGGAGGGAAGAAATACTTCCAAAGGCAGGAAAGGAGGCGCGGAACCCTAAGAAGATTGCAAACTAAGGAAGCAGTATTAACATTTTCAACGGATAAACTCATACATAGTTTGATGCTACACTGGTTTGCAGATTTAATGAATGTAACCGAAGAAGTTACAATTCATAGACCCAACGTTTCGACACTCCTGACTAGTTTCACTTGCTTCCTGTCATTAAATCTGCAAACCAGTGTAGCATCAAACTATGTCTGATTATCCACCTGGTTGCCGTGTGAACTTTAATGTAGGATAAACTCATGTTCAGCAGGGCAGCTTACAAATCTCAACAGTACCATTTGTAAGAAAACTTCCCTGAAAGTTCCACTGAAACTCCGATGGCAAAATAAGCTTCCATGGTATGGAAACTTATTTTGCCATCGGGATTTGAAATCACGCAAATTTTGGTAATTTCACGTTTTTTTCGGAGGACGGCAAACCAAATGGGAATATTCTAAAAACCCGAGACAGCAAGTGAAACAAGCAAAACAAGCAAAACGATCTAAACGAAACGAAACGACCGTAATGATCAAAACAAAACCATTACAACGATCGAGAAGAGTGGAGGATGAAATGAAGCGGAAAATGTTGATGAAAAACTTCAGATGTTCTCTCACATTCGAGGCTGTTAATTATGAAGGCCGCCTCAAGAATACGATCATTCAAAATATGCTGAGAAAAACAGAAATGGGACCTAAAGAACATCGAATTTTCTAACTATGTTTCCGCCAAAGCCTGTAGCAAACGTTGAAAATTGAAAATAGATAACTAAAAAGTCTGAGGAAAACATAAAAGAGAAAAAATCAGAAGAATTCTGTCTCGACGAAAAAGCCAACAGTGGACACATAGAGTAACACTGGCAGTCTTCTTGCATTATGCATAACGATAATTTTCTGACTGACTTATTCAAACAGTGGAATGGTGATATATCGACTGGTACCAGTGAAACAATATCCTGCGAATTAAGAGCCATACAAGGAATACCATAGAATAAGTTCAAACTGACTTGAAATTTTTCGTTACTTAATGTTGATTGTAAATAGAACCTTGGTACAGGTTCATTCCATTAATTTGTTTGACCGTGTTATTACAGGTATTCGGTTGACCGTGTAATTTGTGCAGTTGTGTATTCAACGATTAAAGGTTTGTTTAAGCTATTAAAATGTCTCCCTTTTCTAAAACACAACAAAAGGGACGGCTCGTTATACATGCCCTTAGTAATAGAAGTCAAGTGATCAGGCCACCCAATTCGACATCAATCACTTTCGCACAAGGGAGATGGTTTTCGGATTGCACTCTTTTGGTATATGTCTGAAGAAAGAGGATGTTTAGTTCACAAAGAACATCTTTCCTTTTGAAGATGCAGTTATAGCCATTTTTTCGGTACCTCAGTCTTTTTTTTTAAGTGACAGCCTAGTAATTGTTTGGGGAAGTTGCGGTCTATTGACAAATTCTAAGCTATGTTTGTTTTCTGAGTCAATTCCCGTAGAATCTCTGTCTTGAGTCCTGATCTTGATAGGTGGAATGATCATGATTATAATAATAATATTATTATTGTTATTGTTGGAGGGAAACGCCGGGTGGCAGTTGTATGCTTTCTCTTTCTTTAACGATTTTTTTGCATTGTTTAAGTTCAGTCTATGCCCATCCGGAACAAGTGGTGAAGCTCGACAAGATTCTGACTTCCTCGCTCTTCTCATGTTATTTAGTTGAGTTGTCTTGGTGACCTCATCATGCCATTTTCACCTTCAAAATGACAACCATCTTAACGGTGAAATGTATTATGGTCAATTTTGATTGACACACATCAACTACAAAGACATTGCCATGTATTTCTCTCCTCAAATTCCTGAAAATATCTAAGAAAGCATTTCATGACATTTACTCATGCGACGCGGAGCAAGCAATAAGCAGCTCGTATCACTAAGCCCCTTACATTACTTTTCTCCCTATTAGAGCCCTTAAACAGTAGATTTGGAGAGGATATCTTCACATTTTGTGAAAACAATCAACCCTTTTGGCAAGCATTCAATTGTTCACATTTCTTACCAAAGATTTGTTTGTAATATTGTTTAGGTATTCAGTTGAAAATAAATTATGATCAGCTCATTTGTTCCAGCGCTTGACTGATTAAACCAAGACGAAAAAAAAAAGTCATGGCGTTAAATTAGATAATAGATAAATAAAATTGACGTGTGATGATAGAGACGAAAAAAGGATAGAACTAACAGTAACTCACTTGTATTATTTCACTTAAAAATAATGAAGAATAGAGAGCTTTTACAGGATTTGATTTTTTCAACATGCCATTCTGGTGCAGTGCTCTAGGATATGGTCAATGGTAGGTGAAGATATTCCTTTTCAAGAGATGAAATGACTGAAGAATTTCGACCACAGTAATCTTATTCATAAGCAGCATATGGGCGCACAGGTTTGCAAGAGAATAGTTGAATGGGAATGAAAGGTGTGGTTCATGGAAAAAAGAGTTGAGACAATGTAAGAAAGGGAACTTCGAAATACGAAGAAAGAAAGACGTTACTGACACAAAATGGCATGCTCTATCGTGATTTTCCTTCATGTTGGTTTAGACAATTTACAGTACTGTTATATAGATTGTTCTGTGCAATATATACATTTAGCATTCGCATTTCTGTCATCCCTGGTTCCACTCAGCGTTACACGAATGAAGTTAATCCCCGTAAGGGGTTGATGAGTACCCCAAGGGTTTAGATCTACCCACGACTTGAGTGAACCTTGGTCTCTTCTTCAGTTTGTCTTCTGCGCTTAGGAATTTTTGAGCATCAGGCGACCTGAAATGAAGATATTTGCACGCATTCAACCACTAAGATTTTAGGCATTTCCTTGTTCCACAATTACTTAACCCAAAGCTCTTTGCAACGGGAGGAACGACTAACCCTTAGTGTTGGCTGATGTCAACTGACAATGAGGGACTGCACGTGCTCCTGTTAGAAATGGAAACTTTCTGAGTTCGAAACTTTCATTACCCTCAAATGGAAGGGTGGATATATTCAATTTGTTCTAAGAATGGTGGTTATATTCTTCAGTCCGAAAAGAGATTCAGAATCTATTTCTTTACAGGGAAAAAAGTCATTTCTTATGAGGCTCTTTCGATACTTTACCGAACAAGAAAAGTTTTTGGTAGTGCCTTTTATCTAAAAAGAACTTCTTGTGGTTTCCTTGGATCCTTTATCTCATGAAAGAAAAATATTTATGAACATACGAATCGCCCGCTAGAAGAATTCTCCAAACAAGTCTCTAATACTCCACACAACTTACATCTTTATGCGGCTAATGGTGTCTGCCATCTCTTTTGTTCTCTTGTGACTCTTTCCTAATGTTGCACTCAGCATATTGTGCGCCTAAAAGGTAAACACACAAACCAAATTATATTAAATAATGAGGAATACAATGTCCACGGCTACGATATCTGAAAAAGTTTGAAAAACTGGTAAATTATGGTAACCAATCCTAGAGCTCCAATAAACAAAGAAGAACATAAATTAAAACTTGGTGTTACCTTGGTGAGCCATTTCAAAGCCTGCTGTGTTCGTCCTTGTTTCAGTCTTATACTACCCATCAACTGGTATGAAGCAGCAGCCTGCTCACTTGGGTCACCATACACCACTGTCTTAGCTTCTGCCACTGACTTCTGAAGCAACACTGCCTCCTCCAGACTGCCATCACGAATTAACAAACGACTGAGCTCATCCTAATTAAAAAAAAAGCAAACTTACAATAAAAGTGGAAAAATTTCCCAGAAGTCAGTTGTTGCAAAAAGTTTTACTTTTGTACATCTGTTTACATACAAGAACAATCGAGTTACTGATTTATTACAATAATTTTACCAACCTTCTATCTGCTAGCTAAACAAATAATAACCATATTAAGCTGTTGGTACTAACAATATTATTGTTACCTATGCTCACTTCCCTTTTAAGAAAATAAAGATTTTCTCCAAGTAAAAATTTGATAATGATTTTTATGAAATAACAAGTTTATTTGTCCTCTCATTGGTCAACAGGCACTGTTACAATAGCTAAAAGACATGAATAACAATCATGAAGTTGCTGAAAACCCTTGAAATATTTTGGATCAAAGACAACATAAAATTTTTAAGTGAAACTTAAAATGAGCAAGAAAAGACCAGAGATTTTATTTCAAACTGCAACTTGATAAAAGAATTTCTGCAGTGAAAGATCTCAGTTATGTGTCTAGGTTACCTTTACAAGAGATACAACAAAATACAACAATATGTACTGAGATGACTTTAAACTGTACCTGGGCCTTTATAGTTGAGTTATTATATGGACCTCTATGCTTCATGTATAAAGTTATGGCATCCTTCAGGTATTTCTTGGCTTTATCTAGGCTTTCATCATCATCAGTGTAACTTATGGCCATAACAAATGAAGAGTCTGCAACTTCCATTGAATCTTCCCCAAATCTATAAATATGAATAAAAACATTTTTTATAACAGAAGATGATAAAACTAAACAAACTTGCCTCATGATTGGCAACAATATTTGTGTTCAGACATTACTTTGATTTGCTGATATCATGAGCTTGCATTAACAACTTTGATGCCCTTTCTCTGCTGGCTGTGTCACCATGACTTCCTTCCGCACGTGCCAGGCTTTGGTAAATTGGAATCAACTCTTTGCTTTCAGCTCCATAATATTTCTGAGCAACCTCTAATGCCTGTAATGTGAAACATAGAGAATTGTGTATATGGCTTATCGAGACCAAGAGTAAAAATTGGGTTCTTATATCGAGGCTTTTCATAATTTTATTCATTTACTGTTTAAGTAAGACCATAAATTGAAACTGCTACCTTTTCAAAGCATTCCAGGGCATGTCCTGTTTTGTGAGTCTTAAGACTGACGCGACCAAGGACCATCAATATTTGAAGCCGTCTGTTAGGGTCCTGATGTTTTGGCCCTAGTTCTTCTCTTTCTCTTGATACTAACTCTGCTTTCTTAAAGCTGTTCTCAGCCTTCTGTGTGCTGTAAAGAAGCAAATGTACTATTCTTTTCTCCTACATCTTAATGCTACATTACCTTTAAATGCTTCTTGCAAGTTTCACACAAACAAAATATTACACTATCTGCTGTATGCTAATTGCAAGTTAGAAGCATAACAGGTCATTTAATTGCAATAACTGCTAAGTAAGTTCAATCAAAATTTAATTTCTACTTCAATACAGTTCTACTGTGCAAGTCATTTGATGATAATTTGCCATTTCAGTGGAAGGAAATCCCTCTTTATTTTTGCTTTTCCAACCTTGATAGAATCTAAAATTCAACCCTGTCAGCTTCAGAAAGTGGAACAAGTTGCAGTTTCAGCTGGAATACCTCAACCACACTTTAAGAAAACAAAACAGACTGTAAATAATTTTTCTGAGGGAAAATCAGGTGGTGCAAGAGGCTAGGGAAAGCAATGCAGCAAACTCACCTACTGCATGTACATTGCACTTACTTCTTCAAGGCAATCTGAGCTTGTCCCATCACAAAATACATCAATTCCATAACAGGAAGCACATCAGATCTGTCATAAATCTGTCTTCCTTGATGTTTTACTGCATCTGCTGCCAGTAACACATCACGAGCATTTCCAGCATGAATCAGGGCTTGCTGGGCCATTCCTGACAACAAGTAGACAATGACTTGAAACTAAGTGGATAAAATCTCTCTTCAAAATATTAAAAACAAATTTAGGTTTACCTTATATGTTCAAAATTAGATCTCAAAATTGATGTGTTAGTAGAGGATAGTTTATCCTAAACATTACTGATCAGAAAAATTTCACAGAACCTACCCTTCTGCTCTAGATATGCCTGTGAAAGCTTTGAGTAAGCTTTAGCCAGTTTCCAGTGATTATCCCCATAAATTATTCTGGTTAAAGCTACACATCGGATTCGATCATGTACAGCTCTATCATCTCCATTGTTGGCAAATTCCCGTGCTTGCCTTCTGTAGCTTTTAAGCAAAACCTGGGGTGGGGCCAAACCTAATCAAATGCAACAAATCATATCAAAAAATAAAATCTGAAGGATTGCTCTAAATTATAATGATTGGTTTTGTCTACTGTTAACATAAATCAGTTGAGCTGGTTCCTTGAATCAATAGTTTTTGTAGAGAGATATTATTTTGACTGTTGATGTTTCCACGGCAACAGAATTGTGGGTACATCATGCATTACAACTCCTCAACAATGAACGTTGTATCTTGCCTTACTCTGCAATATAACTTAGTTTACCTGGCAAATGTATCAAGCAAATAAATGCTAGCTAACAAAAAAAGCTTTCAGCAATATCTCTCAAGAATTAAGAGGATGTCAAATATAGTGACTAAAAGCTTTATTTCTATTAAAAAAAAACAGGTCACAAATCCTTTTTCGAAGGCAATCTAACAAACTTTTGTCTTGGTTCTTAGTTAACATTACCATCTGTTATAAATGTTGTGGCCATATTTTTTTCCTTGGTGTCAAAACTTTTAAACAAGTGTTCCTTTCATTCATCTATTTCTTTACTTTGTTTTCACTCATTATCTTAATCTTTAATAGAAAAGAAAATAGAATTTAAAAAGTTTTGAAATTTTTGAATGGTGTACACATATCATAACAAAGTGCGTAATATACCTCTAACATATCCTGAAGGATAATTTCCCTCTTCATAGCATTCCTCATGATCAGATTCCTCAGAGGAGGAATATTTATACACGGCAATTCCTGAACTCTTTGGGCTGTTATCAGATGCAGATGGAATGTGGATCACCTCTGGGATGACATATTTCTGTTGATCTGGCAATTGTTCAAGCTCTCACTACATTTTTCAGGTTTGATTAAAGAATATGAGGATCTACTAGTGAACTACAGGTAATTTTACAGATTACGCTTCAAACCGCTGACCCGTACTTACAGTATGTTCTAGGATAGAAGAGTGGAAACAACACGAAATATTTTGGGTTACAAAGAGAAGAGGGAGGGATTAATGAAGTGTTACAGTGGAGATAGGAGCAAAAACTACCATCACACCTGTCTGATAAGATTCCTCATCATCGCTTGCCGTGTCTGTTCTGCTAACACTTGCATCACTTGCAGTTTTACTTGCGACCGACGACACTTCTAATTCCATCGAATTTTACGCCTTGTCAAACTTAGAATGCATTTTCAAGCGTAAACAAGCTCAAAGAGAGACAAAGACAGTATAGTTAAATATCGTCTGAGATAACCTACCCTGGGATCAGAGTTTCCGAAGTCACTCCAGTTAACCCTGTTGACATCAACCACCATGTTTTCCAAGTCTGAATTTTTTCCACGCTAAGCATAATGGGAGTTAGGCTTGTCGTCGTCATAGCAACTAACACCCACCATCTTGAACTGCAAGGACAGAGGAAAGACTCGTTTGAAATACAAGAGTTATGCCTCAAAAGGAGGAGCCGATCTATTGCTCACAACAAATCAACATTCCTCCAGAGTTGCCAGATATCCTAAAGCAGTTTACTAAGGCTGCTATTCGTACACAACCGAAGGATGTTTTACAGTGGGCTTACGCGTAAGTTTTGTCTCTTCTTTCCGAGATAAACTTACTTCTTATTTTGAGTTTTAATCGGTAGACTGTTGCCACCAGCCTTTTGAAAGAGTCTCGAATACCGTAACGATATTTTAACGCGATAAACTATCACACCAACATTTTGGTAAGGAGGGTTGATGGAGGTAGCCCAAAACTTAGGTCGAATTTTTTACTCAAATGAATACGTTACGAAAATAAACATTTGGCAGTTTTTCCACTAGCGTAGTAATACCATTGATCCCTGCATCTTAAAATATGTAACAGGATATTTGAATGGTCTTTGGGAATTAATTGTGTTTAAGTGTCCTCGGAAAAAAGTCAGGCAGCAGAACTCTCCCATTTCCTTTCGACAGTAGATATTTGAACTGACATATTGTAATACTGATGAAGGGAAACATTCAATGATACGTACAAGTAAGAATATCTTTTATTGATAATGAACTACTCATCATCAGCTTCGTATGACCTTTAAAAGAAAGTGTACGTCATAACATTTGCACCACATACACGTGCATTTAGCCATCTTGATTTAAATAAAACTTGATATTGATAAACTTTTAGGTACTTTGATGCCTTGTCTAAAGGAGAGACACCCCCAGTTAAAGAACGTCTCGAGTTCCAGTTAGGGCAGCCTCTGGAAAAACCCCTTACTCAAGGCTTACTTGCAGTTTTACACAAACAGGTATCTTATACCATTTGTATTACGCTTGATGTCATTGATTCATTTTGCCAAACTTGATTCTTAGATGACAATGAAGTAACTTTAATTAAGGATATTTGAAATCATTTTTGATAAGTTATGAGCTTAAGTTATGAGCTTTCATGAACTCCAGAAAAAAGACAAAATGTGATGTTAAGTCAGGTGAATTCTTCTTCCACAGGTAATGCAATCTTGAAAGTATATCAGGGAAATTTACCTTACTAAGTGCAAGGATCTTACTTGTGGAAGTATCCTCTGTGCCTCTCAGCTCAGACGGTCTCTACACAAGAGAGATCCTAGTTCTACTGCTAGGGCCAACTATAAGCATTTTTTGGTAAGCTGACAACAAAAAAACATGTCGTGAGGATGTTTTTCCTCCTGGGATCTTCCAAAAACTCAAATCTTCCCCTTGATAAAATGGCACCTTTATCTGTGGGATGGTTGAGTCTGAATTTGACAGACCCTGCATACATGAAATGGATACAGTATCCATGACCCTACTCTTCAAAGAATGAACATAGGTAGCTTCCTCAATGAATTATGTTACTACTGTAGACTAAAATGTTAGAAATACACATCAACTCACCGTAACATACTTTTTCTAGATTATCTGTTAAATTTTATTATCCACTTGTAATTACTCACCATAATTTGTGTATCAGAGAACGCAATGTTATCCTCATTTATTTATTTTTTCCCAACAGCTAGGTGGAAAGCCTGTTATAGAGTTGTCATCCTTGGAAGAAAAGTGGAAACATTTGTCACTTCCTAAAGACACTCTGGATGAGCTACTGAGGTAATATAAGCCTCTCTATGTTACTCAGTGTATTTCTAAAAAAAGTTGCCTTAACATTTAGAAATGACATAGTTTGTCTCTGAGCTGTAGAGTTTGGCAGTCAGCAATTGAACTAACTGTGTCACAAAAGAAAGGATGATACATTGTTCTTCACTGTGATGAATGACCACAGGTTTTTTTGCAATATTAGTTAACCCTTTCCACCCTAACATCAGTATTCATATTCTCCATACTGTTGTCTGTAAATTTACTAAGGTGCTGACAAGGAGAATTTTCTAACAATCAAGAGTTTCTGTAGTTGGTAATCATTTCCTTTATTCTCATGACATTAATGTGTGATTCAGTGGTGATATTGTAAGGAGAAATTAGATGCTAGTCACACTAAGAGGTTAAGGGGTTAAGAAACTGATGGTGTACATATATAGAGTGCATGGATCAAGCAAATTAATTTAGATGTGTCCATTCCTTTTCAGGTTGGGAAGTTTTGCTGAAGAACTGAAGTGGCTTCATTTTCTGGCTCTTGCTTGCAGTGCAATTAGTGAGGTAAATTGTACTCAAGTTATATTACACCAAATATATGTCTGCATTGTCAAGAATTAAAGCTATTTTTAAGTATTAAGCTTACAAATAAAACACACTTTTATCTGACAGCTTGTTGTTAAGTAAGTTTGCTTTTTACCAGAAAAGGATTTGTTTCTTGAAATCAGTAATTGTTAGTCAAGAATAAATGCCTTTCAAGTGATTGAGACTAATCTACAACAAGCCATGGTGCTGATAATTGACTCATTTTGCAAGAATCAAATTGAGCTTTAAACAGCATTAGATAACCATTCTGCTTGAATTCATCCAAGTTCGAACTTTGTGTTTGTGAAGTGAAAGCAAAAAAAGGCATTTTATGACGCAAAAGAGCCGGCTGAGGAGATTTTACCTGCATACCCTCCATAAGTCAGTGTAAGTGGATGTAAACAAGGTGTTGGAGCTTGGAGAGGTGATTTCCCTCTCCCAATTCTCCATGCAGAATTGCATGTCAATTAATGTGCTAGATTTGTTCCATACAAACCAACAAAAAAGGAATGGATACAGAGTTATAAGATCAGCAATATTTCCATTTCTTTACTGTAAATTGTTTTATGTCCTAGAATCTTACATTGGCTATGAAAACAGTTTGTGAGATTTTGACAACTGATCTAGAAGGGGGCCCTGCAAGAATACCATTCTCACTGTTTAAGGAATTGTTCACATACCTAGCAGAGACTGATGGAGAAATTCCCAAGGAACATGTTGATGCTGTCATTGAGCACCTAAGCTATGACGTGTGAGTAGCATTCATGCTTATTTCAATAGTAATAAATGCACATCCTGCAAATTTCTAGTAAATGTATGATAGTGGCTGGGAAGTTAAGAGTTAGAAATGAGTGACTTGGAAATACACTAGAGGAGTAAAAGGTTTTTCAATGATCTCTTTTTGGAATGACAGTTTTCTTTGAAAATACTTTTTAAGCCTTGTTAACTAATTGTCCCTTGGAGTTCTTTTGATCTTTTCATCACTGTAAACATGAATCTTTATTCAAAATAGAATAGTTCTATGGCTCAACTATGATCTGGATCATTGACCATTCTAAGATCTACTTCCATTTGCAAGAAGAACTACCTAAATCTTTCCTCCAAGAAAGAAAGGAGTACATAAGGCTCAGTATATAATATTCCCTCAAAAGTTTACCATATCTCTCAACAAATTGAATTGAACCAGATTTATGTTAGCTAATGGTGAGAAATTTTTTTTTTCAGAGACAAACAAGAAGGACAAGTCTCTCCACGCAACTTTATGAGTGACAGTTGTCCTCCTCTTTCACCTAATGAAAACTCATGAAAACAATCATGACATAAAAACTGAAGTACAAACTGTTTTTGTAATATTGGTTCATTTTATTCCAGCCTCAAGCTGTCAAAAATATGCATTTTCAACATATTACAGGCTGTGTTAATCAACATGTACATGTCATAGATACTATCATACACATCCATCTCTGGGAAAATCCTACATATATATATATATATATGAGGCCAGATTAATGTAGTAAACAAGTTGCTTATGGCTAGATCCTTACAGTAATGATAGCAGAATGCTTTCATGGAGCAGTGTTAGTGAAATGTATATACATGTACTATTGTGATCAAGAAGTAAACTTTCACTCAACTTATGCCCTGTTGGCTCTAAATTACTGCATTCAAGGGCTAGCCATACACGAGTATCATTATAAGGAGAAAAATGTGAGATTTTGACTTCTTTTCAAACAGTACATATTTATCTAGTTTGTGACTTGATGGCGCCAACTGGCAGATACCAAGTTACAGTACAAATTACTGATCAGACCTGACCCTTTACTGGCCATCTCATTTTTCAAATACTCATGTAGAATACAAGAGGCCCAAAAAAGGCTTTGTCAGTCCCGTATCCCTCTGCCAAATCAAACTTTTGGATACGCGAAGCGTAGAAAAAAGGTTTTTATGGAACATTGATATGCAAATGAGTCACTCACATATTCTCTCACTCAATTAGGTGTAGACACAGTTGATTTACGCTGTGGTATTCCTTGCTCCAAACTCCCCCGAGCCTGACGCCATCATCATAGAATTATCTCGTGTTACTGGCCGCTCTTTTATAGCGGACAAAAGTAATTCTGTGCTTTTCTGGCTAAAGAAAACTTGTCGAATTCGCTGTCACACATCTTTAATTTAAATCAATGAAAACAAATTTAGAAGTTTGTTATTAGATGCGAGCGGGAGAAAACCTTACAAACAATGATCATCGCGTTACAAATGTAATATTTATCGAGCGACTTTACGTGAGGCGAAACGTGACATAGGAACTGCAAATAATTTAATTTGGCTTGTGCAGGCGAGGAAAGATTTGGATCAAAATTCGATGAACGCAGTCTACTATTTTTTACTATTATTATTGTTATTGTTATTTTTTTTTTTTTTTTTTTGACCGCCTGAGGTTACCATCATTCTGGAAGCGTTAATCTTTACAAAACAAGTTTTGGTACGGTGTCCGGTCAACTCGTCATCAGTGGAAAATTCACTCAGAAGCTGTGTGTGGCGTCTTAATTATGGAACGATAACCATTCAAAGGTCTAAAAGCAAGAAGATATTACGAAAATTATGATCAGTTTTAGTTGCAGCAAAACCAGAATGAATTTCGGCGGGTGATTTTTGCCGATGGTTATGAACTTGTCTAAAACTTACAAGTTATGATGTAGTACTGTTGCAAAGTTAGGCGCGTACAAGTACGGCGAAATTTTTCAGACGGGGCTTTCCGTCCTTTCTTTGTGTCATGCACAAGGAGTGCCGAAGTGACCTTTAACGCGAGTTTCATTCTTATCAACGCAATTCGAAACCAAGTCTAACGGAACTTACATCATAGTAAAGCTTATACCTTCTACATTATTGTTTTTTTTTCTTTTTTGATTTTAATGATGCAAAATTTAAAGTGCATGCAAACAAGGTGAAATCCAATAAATTTGCCACCGATGGCGATTTGACTTTAAATGGTGGTGGCGAGTTTGTTGTGAAGGCTAATTGACCGTAAAAATTTGCTACAAGACTTCGAAGTTCACCGACATGTTTCATTTCTAGATAATACTATGGGGCACCCTATATAATATACTTCTACCCAACTGAAACCACATATATTCAACTTAACACTATTTTCCAACTACTAAAACGATGTTTAAGGCATGGATGTTATTGATAGTGTTCTGCTGTTGACCATTGACGTCATCACTTATGGAAGACGTAGAAATTGATAGCATTCAATTCGACACGAACAAAGGATTGTTATGTGCATACTTTTTACTTTCACTGGAAAAGGTCCATTTCAATTTTTATTAGTTCCTGGGGATCATGTTGGTCTATATTTCAATTTTTTTATACTCTGAGGTAATTGAATTTTTTCAAATCATGACTTGAGGTAACTCACCACTTGGCACATAACCTTCCTATCTCTAGACGGCGAGAAATTTTCGTGCACTTCACTCCCAGAGTTCCGCAAGGCGCACTCACACCAATTTTTTTAATTTCACTTATTTATTTATTTTTTTTTTTCACTTGCGCGACGTACTAGGACCTTATCCCAACTACGAAAACAGAGCATATCCAGCTCTAGGCATCGTACTTTAATCCCATTTCATACCTTTCAGAATGTTTAAGCAACGGGATGTGTTTTAAAAAGCCCGCCTGCAAAGACAATCAACTTTAGACTCGTTGAAAGGTGATCAGCCAATCGACGCTTGACAAATATTCGGAGAAGTCGCCGGATATCCCAAGATGCAACGTACGCCGAATTTTAGTGTTCTCTCAAAATGGCTTCCGTCGAAGCTTTGACCAGTGTAGGTTTCTTATTGTTTTTATTTCGTTTATCCGTCGCTTCAGTACCTGGTGAACGTCACGTCAAATTCCAATATAAGCATAGTTTTAAAGGACCGCATTTAGTGAATAAAGATGGAGCAATTCCTTTTTGGAATCACGGAGGAAGTAAGTTGCCATTGTTTTGATAAGTGACTAGTGAATATTCAATCTACACGTGTACAAAGTCACCTTAGTGCACGTTTTGTAAATTTTTTACTGATTTTATTCTCCAATTTAGGTGCTATCCCCAGCGATGATCAGATTCGATTGACTCCTTCAATGACTAATAAAAAAGGTTAGTTTCCTGCCATATGATTTCTTTTAAACTGAACAAGCAATCCATCAGCCGGATTTTATACTTAAAAAAAGGTCTGTAAGGTAAATACTTCTCCAGTTGTCACAGCTGATTTCAACAACGGCGTATGCACTCCGCGTGTAACCTAACTCAGGCCGAATTTGTTGAAAATGTGGAATGTGAATGTATCAAAACATTTACTTTTCATCCTATAAACAATAGTCAAGAGGACATGAAGGACATCATTGAGGTCGCGTGTAACTTTAAAACTTTTTGTTCCGGAAGTATAATTTAAATTTTAGATCACAACCTTGACACTCTTCTTTGAAAAATATTATTATACTTTGTCTTAGACTGATTTCTTCAGGTTTCTTTGCCCTTGATATTTCTGTGATGTTTTTCTTGTCTTTTGATTCGAATTCAACAAAAATTTTGAAATATATCTAGTTTCAAAGGGTATCTTATGTAAATTAGCAGAATATATAGGAGTTATCAACTATTTGAAGAGATAATAATCAGTTGTTTGAACTTTAAAATGTTTTCTGAATTGTGTTTTTTTATTAGCAACCAGTCAAAATTTATCTGTTCTCTTAGCTTGGGTCGTCTCTCATTGACATAAAATATTTTTTATTAACAAGATCAGATAGAATTGCCTTAGAATTTTCAAATCATTTTTATTGTGTTAACATGTTTGTTCTGATCAGGAGTTTTGTTAAAAAAAAATTAAAAATACTACCCACATCCTCACCGACTTCAAGAAAGTTGGTAAAATCCAACATGAAGATGGTTGGCCTGCTTTCCCTTTGCTGGGCTATTTTCTCAGTGGCAAAGAGAGAAAGTGAGGCCAAAATAGTATAATATGTGATATACCTTTTCAAACAGGTTATGCCTGGACAAAAAGCACCTTTCCTCATGAGTGGTGGGAAATAGAAGTAGCCTTGAAAGTAACTGGAAGAGGGAGGCTTGGTGGAGATGGTGTGGTGAGATACATATCATTGTCAATCAACAGTTGAATAGCTACTGTGATCCATACGATACAGACACTTATGGAGTACATGAAATAATTTTATTGTTTCATTTTATTATTACTTTATTATTTCATGTGTACATGTGAATAACAGTGAGAGGAATAATATTTAAGTCCCTCCAGCCTAGTGTCTATAATTTGTGGAGCATGGAGAGTGATCTTTTCAGTACCACTCCCTATTCTGAACAAGATAAAACTCTGTTAAAGGTGATCCCTCCCTCCATCACCACTCCTCTGTAATTCATCAAGTATTTTAATATCTTGAAAAAGATTTAATGGTAATCAATTCAGTGTGTTTTGCAAATTTGTCACTTTGATCAAATTATTACTAATATGAGGAAGTCAGAACAGTGTAGTCTTTCAGACAGGACTTATTATTAATCTTCTCACTCCTAAGATCTCATTAGTAGTTCTCTTTAAATTGTCTATCATACAACTCTTAGGATGTCGGTTCAGATAACTTGGTCTTGAATCTACTAAGGATAAATTCTCTCACTCATGGGTTAACAATGATGTACTGATCTTTTACCCAGGCCATTTGGTTTACAGAAACTGCAGGCATTGAAGGTCCTGCATTTGGAAATACTAACACATGGAAAGGTCTTGGTGTTTTCCTTGATTCATTTGACAATGATCAGCAGGTATGTTGAGTTACATCTTGTGATTCTTATACAAATGATAATATCATTATAAACATATTATGTAGGTATTGAAATTAATTCATTCTCAGTGGAGAGTTATTTGACAAGGAGGCTATTGATTATTCTCTACTCTATCATTGTACTGGAAAAGGTCTTACTTTTGGTAAAGTCTTTTTGTGTAAGATTCTAATATTTTAAAGTATTCAGGTCTGAAATACAAACTTGCTTTTTTTTGTTACTGGTTCATAGCTATATGTCCTGTGTCCCTTTTCTGTTTTTATTCACTGATGTTTTATTGTTTTTTAGGGAAATAATCCATTCATTTCAGTAATGTTAAATGATGGAAATCAGATTTATGATCATAACAAGTACGTTGTGACTAGTAAATACATTATTTTCATGATTCATGTACCCATAATCTAAAAATAGTTTACTTATTAATATGTTTTTTGTTGATAATGAGCATTGTTAATGTACACATATTAGATCAGTAAACAAAGGGAAATTTGGAGAAACTTTAGGCCTCAACTGAAAATTTTCATTTCATACATACTGAGATTTAGTCTGTGACCTCATTTGTCTCATATTGGTTGAATGATGTATTTTCACAGTTGTTAGCTTCTAATCTTTGTTGGTCAATAAGAAAAGATCTTAGTATGTATAAAACAAAAACATTGTTGTGATGCATGAAAAAAACTCACTTTTTTGCTGTCCTCACTTGTTTGTTTTTCAATACATCACAACTTGTGAATAAAAATTGTTTGTGCTCAGTTTCCATGAAATAATCTCTATTTCTTAATTAACAAATGAATGCATATCTAAAATACTTTGGAGCCTTTTGTCTAAGTTATTTTTGTTTTGTCGTAAATTTGTACAGTTGTTACAGTACAAAGATGGGAATATGAATACTGTGGTGGATCTATGATAAATGAATAGAATTAGATTTGGAATAGATTGACCGCAGATGTAATGACTATGCAAAGTTTCTACTTGTAAAATCCAGCAATCAACCAAATTTCTCTGTTGCTTCCTTTTACACCTGATATCTATTAGGCAGATGAAATCAAATTTTAAAGGACATTGATTTTAGACTAGTTTGATTTGGGTTCTCCTTAATGCTAGGTACTTTACCATATCCCTTAAATTAGTGAAATACTCATTAAACTTGTTTTAACCTTAGAAAATTACATCATTATGCTATATTGTGTCTTCTTTCAATTTAAATTATGTGACTTTTGATTCAATTTGTCCTGATCTGTTAGTTGTCAATGGTTTAAGTATAATGTGACAAAAGGATAGTAAATCTGTAAAATCTAGTCATGTTCAGTTGTAACATCAATTTTCTTTCTTCATTTTGTTGCAGAGATGGACAGGATCTTCAACGAGGTGGCTGCTTACGAGATTTTCGTAATCGACCAAACCCAGTTAGACTTAGAATACGCTATTATGAGAATGTGCTCACGGTTAGTGCAGAAAATTCTTAGATAAGATACTCTTAAAAGCTTGTGTTATTATTAATAATTCAAGGTCCAGTTTTTCAAAGGGCAGATAATGCTATCCAATAGATAAATTGCAATCCAATGGAAAAGTATTAACAAAACATACTGCACTAACCATGGTATGGAGATTAATCTAGCTTACGGCCCTATTCACCCTTCATAATAGACTTTCTATTCATCAACAAATATTTCATTTCACCTGAACTCTTTACCATAGTGGTGTATGTAGCATATTGTCTACAATTGTTCCATTTTGAAGAGTGTAATGTTTGTTCTCCCATTCAGGTGTGGGTACATATGGGAATGACCCCTAAACCTGAAGACTTTGAGCTCTGCACTCGTCTTGAAAACATAAGCCTGGCCAAAAATGGCTTCTTTGGTGTATCTGCAGCTACAGGTGGCTTAGCAGGTCAGTAAAAGCAGTATCAAACATTGCAAAATTTGCGAGGCAGTAGGAAACTGGTGATATTTGTTAAAAAAAAAAAGAACATGATCAGTTGTCAACTCAAAATGTCCAGCCACTTTTATGCACTATTAAATTATGCCGGAGAGTGCGTGATTACTTGCGTGACGTTAATTTTGTCAACAACATTATCGCAGAGTTTCTAATTTGTACATGATTGATGTAACCTCGAATTACCTTTTTCATAGTGCTTAGCAACAATCAATCACAATGTAGAGAATGTAGTATAAGAATTAGGATCTCGTTTCAAGTTGCCAGAGTAGCTCTTTACACGCCTGCTGTAACTGAGTGAATACGTGAGAGCGATTAAACAGTTAAACTCAGTCAAGTCTGTTGATTGAGTCCAGTACATTAGAAGACCGGTTATCCCTAGTAAACGGGGCAAAGTTTACGAAAGTTATACCGTCAGTCATATTGTTTTGTATATATATCATGATCATGGTATTTTTTGTTCTTAGATGACCATGATGTTCTTTCTTTTATTACCCACTCACTCACTCCACCTAAGGACACACAGGTAACTGTTACTTAGAAACTCCTGTGGTGTTCATTTACTTAACTCTAACTTTAAAGTTTTTATGACTTACAAACAAGTGGTGTTTAAAATCTGTGGAAAATTCTTGTTTCTAATCTGAAAGGCCTTAAATGTCTTGTTAGGTCCGCTGAATTGTTGCATGAGTCTCAGTATAGAGTGTAACTTATTATTTTAATAGTTACTGTTGTTAGTAGTAATTCTAAAAGGACATGAGTATGAGAAGATGTAAAACAACATCTTTTATATTTTACTTTTTCTAGGGTGAAACAGGAATGAGTGAAGAAGAGCAAAAGAAGCTTGCAGAGCAGTATGAAGAATACCAAAAGAAACTGGAGCAACAAAGAGAGGAGTAGGGAAATACTTACTATATACATAAAGCTGTTCAGTCCTATTGTAAATGAGTTGAGAAATATTGCCTGCATTCATCTCTTGACCTCTGCTCTACATTTATTTCTACAGGTACAAGACAGCTCACCCTGACAAAGTCAAGAAACCTGAAGCAGAGGTAACAAGTCTTGCTGATATCACCAACAAATTTGATATTGGAGAATTATTTGCCTTTGATGTGAGAAGAACCTAACCATAGAAACTTCATAATGATTTGCTTCTTACTAGTCGCAACAAGTAACAGCTCAGAAAAACTCACTATTCAGTTGTAGTAATCAAACTGAGAAATTTTCAATTGAGTTATGTCTGTCTGTAGCTGGTAAATGATTTTTATGGAGTTTTAGTTGATGCCTAGTTGATTTTTTGTTACTTTTTGTTTATCTCTTTTGTGGCCTAACTGTTAGTTTTGGGTTTTAGTATGAGAGTGCTTATGAAAGAGATGTTCGTTTGGTATATGAAGGACAAAATGCTCTTCATCAAATGATCAGGTACCAGTAAATACTTCTTGCCAATAAAAATCAGTTAGTATACATATTTGTTTGTAATGAAAGGAAAAATGAAAATCCTTTTCAAACAGGGATGATGGTGTTATGATCCATTGAAAAGAGATGATTGTCATCTTTAAGACAAAAGGGTTCCATTCTTGTATTCAGTTTTATGATATGATTACCACTGATGAAGAATACCACACCATGGTATGTTAACTATGGCATGGTTAGAATATCAGCACTTGCATATACTACCTACACAAATCTTAAAATTTCATGTATTTGAATGATTAAACTCTGGACACAAAACTAAACATTTAACACATTTGAAGCTTGTTCTAATTCAATATTTGGTGAATTGCAGATAGTTTGTAAAGCCACAGAAAATGGTTTATCATGATCTATCAAAATGCATAGTTCAACCTTACTAGCATGAAACAAAATGCTTACTAACAATACTTTACAATGTTCTTGGGTTACTTAAAGTTCCTTATATTCTTACAATAACTGGAAATCATATGCATTTTTCATGTTCCTTCCACAGCAACCTTCACTCTAAAGTTGGTGAATTAACAGTACAAGTAAATACACTATACACATTGGTAACAACAGATCATAACCAGATTGGACAAGTGGTTAGACATGATCAAACCATTAATAGACAAGAAGTGAACACACTAATAAATATGCAGCAGCAACTCAGTTCTAAGCTGCAAGAAATCAGGTAAGTGTAGTTCAAATAGCAATTTAGACATTTGTGTGTGAAATTTGAACAATTCTGGCTGACAAAAGTAATTCAAGATTGCTTTGCTTTTGCTCTTTGTTGAGCTTTGATTGGTCTTGTAAAATGTGAGCCACCCTCTCATTCAATCAGTTTCAAGACTTCAACAAAGTGTGAATGGGTTACTCAAACACGTTTTTCCATGTTTCAAGCAGTTTCCTTGTTTTTTTTTTTACTTTGTGCACTCTAGCTCATTGATGCTCACCTTCGCATGTAGTGATTGGTCATATTGATTCCTTGGGTTTTGATCTCATCACACTTAATATCAAAATACCCTCCAATGGCAGCAAGCAAATGATGATCATATTTCGTAATGTAAATTAATCTAGTTTACTAAATAATTTTATATATTTGACAGTGTAGTCTGATTGTCCAGGTGAAGGAAAGTCCTGAGAAGGACTTTTGTCAGTAACTGCCACTGACTTTTTGACAACCTTAGCAGAAGTCATTATCAGAGTCAAGACTCTGAAGATTTTCTTAGGTTTCCCAAAGACTCTCTGTGAGGGTTGTTAATACATAATTATAGTCCTCAACAGAGGCTGAATCACATCTAATAATTCTATTTCAGTTTTCAAAGTTTTCAAAGAGGTTTTAGTGTGCATGACTTAAATTAGGAACAGCAAATTTTCAAATGATTTGTGATCTCTTTGTTTACAGCAACTTAATGAGTCAAGGAGGTAATATGGAGAGAAGAGATGTTGGTGACTCAGCTGGCGTTAATTCTAAACTTAGTGACATGCAGAATGCAATTGAATCACTAACACACTCAGTCAATAGTGTGGCAACTAAACAACAAGTAAGAGTTCCAACTGCTGATTGTTTACACAACCTCACTAAAGTAATTTTTGTTTGGGGAGCATTGTTTGATTTGCCCTTTTCACTGCCCTCTTGATTCAAAAATATGATGTTAATTTCATTGTTTAAAAGTCAGGGTACAACAATCTACCTGACCATGAGGTTCTGTGGAAAAAGCTCCACAACCTTTTTCAATTGTAAATTGCAGAGGTCAGTTGCTCACAAGATTAATTAAGATAATTTCATATTTAGATTCTGAAATTGAACTATCCATGACACTAAGAGCAAACAAGTTAAGGTCTCAGTCTCAGCCAGCAAGCATATTTAAAAAAAGTTTTCTTGAGATTATATCATTTTCCTCAGAGGAAGAAAATTCTGTAGCACTAATACTTATGATGCTGACTCACTCCTGACCAATGTTTCTTTTTCAGATGATGAGTGGTCAAGAGAAAAAAGAATGCCCCCCTCCCTCACCCATGCCACAGTGTATAGGTCCAGGATACTTTGTGGTTTTAATTGTGGCCCAGTTAATTATGCTGATTGGTTACATTGGATACAAAAATCAAAAGGAGGCTGCTGCCAAGAAATTCTTTTAGGAATTTTTGTTAAATTATCTTTGACATATTAGTCTGTATTACAGGCTTGGGTGGGATGTTTGGAATGAAATGAAAATATTACTGTGTGACCTTTGACTGCACTAGCACTAAACTGCAGCACAGTGTCCACGAATTCAACATACTAGGAGGTAAAGTTCCAATTGATAGGAGATTTTTTAACTTTTGTGCCACAGAAAGAATTTAAAAGTTGGCTACCTCATTTTTTTTTTAAATACAAGTTATTGGCATGTTACTGAAGATTATTGGCTCTTTTGTTAGAGCCTTTCCCCAAGAAAAGTAATAATGACATCTAGAAGGCAACAGTGTGAGGTCTGTCAACATAAGTTTTCATTTGTCGTCTGTGTAAAATTACATGACAGAAAACTTTAAAATGTTATTTGTCATTTGTAAAATCTATAAAGTTGTGGTTGTTAAATATGAATTAAAAAACCTTTTAGGAACAAATTTAAAAGCACTTGTCTCAAAAATGATGTACTCAAGCTGAATTGTATTTATCATCTCTGAATTGTCACTTATGGATCTTGAAATTTGTGGGAAGAAAAGCTAGGACCCTTAAATGAACTTTGCTGTTTCTGATGCAATACATAACCCAAGTTAAATTTGAGGTAGAGAGTTTTCTTGAGGCATTTTGGTGTTGTTACTGAATATAATGTATTTGAAATAGATGGAGATTGTCCATAGACTTAATGTCATATTAAAAAAGTAAACTGGTATAATTAAAAAAAAATTAAGGATGTGCCAGGTGTGATGTAAAATACACAGCAATGTTAGTGAACATCTCTCTTGTACATCAAGTTTTAAAGTTTGAACATCGCAAGTGTTGCCATACTTACTACTCTCTGCATTTCCAGTATCAACACATGGTTCTCAAACTTTCATTAATAAAAATTATGTTCCAGGTCTGTTTTCTCTTCAAATGATTTAGTTGGTTATTCATCTCTTCACTTTGTGTCATTCTCTTTCGGACATTCTATCCCCCGACTCTAGAAAGTACTCCCTAGATTCAGCACATCATTTTCAGAGAAATAATGTTTAGTAGTGATAAATTAGTTAAACTATTTCTTTTTCACAGATATATTATTTTAAAATTACAATGTTGTTAAATAGCAACAAGAATTTCTAAATAACGTTATTATGCTATTATGCTACTCATACAAAACTATGCATATCATTTGTGAGTTCTTGAAATTTAAACTTCTTTGTGAAACCAGTACATGTATATTGTAAATGGAATCTTAGTACATGGGTTGCCTTTTTCCTTAAAATGCATTTTCATGAGCTCATCAAAAAACTCTTTAAAAGCCTTCTTTTTAATTTCACTGTTTCCAGCAATAACAGAATAGGAAGCAAAATGTTGATAAGCTTGATTACAAGAACTTACTTCTAAACTGTGCTCAAACCCTATGTACTCTTGTGGAAAACTGAATAAACTCTTTACAAGCATGCCAACAACTTCTTTCCATTCTTCTTGATGTGGAAAAACTAATGAACTTTCCTTGTCTAAAACGTCCAAATGATGGCCAAGTTGTTTGGCCCATGGTATAGAGAGGTCTAACAGTTTCCATAGGGTACCAAAAGCCCCATTTGGAACTAGAACTCGGTGAATCTCCTCCAAAGCTGCACGGTTTGTGAACCAGTGAAAACTTTGAGCAGCAACAACTACATCCACACTGGCATCAGGGAGGGCTGTTAACATTCAAGCATAAGAAAGTAAGTTCATTGTAGTAGTAACAGGTCTGACTATAACCATCCTTTGCGTTCAGTTTCCAAAAAGCTATTTTGCAATTAATTAAAACGGAACAGCCACTGTTTCCCAATGGCATGCATCTGAACGGGTCAGGAGTGAGGGTGGGAGGTTTGTGGGGAGGTGAAAGTAAATCTTTATTCCATTCGTTACTTTAGTTCTGAATTATACATTTTGTTCTCATTTTTCTCATATGCCCTTTTTTCAGTTTGTTTTTTTGGCCTTTGATACTTTCTTCTTCCGTCGTAATATTTCCTAATTCAGGCCTTATTTTCATTACTGCTCAAGTAGTGTTCATTACCGCGAAGATTGCTTTCATATTCAAATACACTAATATAAATTAAATTAACAAAATGATAAAATTTTGCGCTTTAACTCACGTATACATTCGGCAGCACATTGGATGATATCCATTCTAGGTACCATTACTTTAAACTGCTCACACATGCTCTCCAAAGGCTCGCTCGCAATTACCCTGACATTCTTATCTGACAACACTTTCACCATCACCCGAGTGAATTTTCCTGTCCCACTACCTACTTCCAAGATTGTGAAGGGGCGAGCTTCCTTCGAACTGACTGCGCGGTCATTAACTTTTATACCAAGTCTGTGTAAAAAGTACTTGACCGCTTCTTCAGGGTACCCTGATCTAACATTCTCGTAGTTTTCGGCTGATGCAAAAGCTATCCTTGCGAAATCGTAAGCCATAATTACTGAAACATTTCCGTTTACCTTACACAACGTATCTCATAAAGACTTGATTCCAATCTTCTTTACCAAGCCTAGCGTCGCTGTGTTTGTTCTGGGGCAGTTTTCAGGGTTAGGAAGGAAGCGTCAGCAATCATATACCATCCGACGTAGTTTCCTTGGATTTGAACATCAGACGTAACTATGATCTTGTTTTACTTTCAAATATTGCGTCGCATGTTGAATTTTATGAGGAGAATACTCCATACATCATTTTTTTTTGTAGACAACATTAAAGACGGCTCTTCGAAGCTCAATGCAATTTTTGTAGTAGTAAGTGAGTAAGCTATTTCTCGCTAAACATGTGATGTATGGGTTAAGAAAAAGCTGTAAGATTTCAGTCAATCGAGGAACAATCATTCTTACGCCCCAGCTGTTACATGCTCAGCAGTGAGCTACCTACAATTTCAATCATCAAAACAAAACAATTATTAGTTTATACCTTGTCTTACATAAATTTCTGTTCGTATTATTGTGTCCTGCTATCATGAAAATAGTCCCTTCTACATTAATTAGTAGAATCTTTGGTAAAATTTCCGCACAGCCCCATACTATTGTAAAACAAATCTGTTTTCCTAATGGCAATTTATTGTTTTTGTCATTTTTTTCTCTATCTAAGAACTGAATGCATGATGTAGTATGGGGTTGTGCGGAAATTTTACCGAATCTTTTAGGCGTCATTCATGTACGATTTAACGACAGTAACAATCTTAAGAAAAAAATTGAATAAAAAAAAAGGGATTGTAGGGATTTTTTAAAAAGAGAGCTAGTTTGAGAAACAACCTTCTTGTTTGCCCAATCAAATATTTGTACTTAGCTAAATCAACCAATTTCAGCCAACACAAATTATAACACATAGACACAAAAACAGACTCAAATTACATCCATCCATGTTCATAAGAAAACTCAGTCACTGTTTATAATGCAGTTGAAACTTGCTAGCTTTCCTCTCTTTGAAGAAAAGAACAAATCCACAATTAATGTTGTGTAAGAGATTTTGCTAACTGCAGGAATGTTGTTTTGCACTGCACCTGGGAAACTGGGAGAGTGTGACATTGTCTTGTGACCCCAGTAGCCACTCAAAATGTTTCCTCAATTTACTGATTGAGATTTTTAAAATGTTTAAGTAAAAAATTTCAGCTTGCCCACTGACTCAGAGAATGTCAGTTTATCCCAAACAGTCCAGAAAGTCCAAATTGAGGGCTAAAAAATTTATATTTAGTGAGGAAAGTGGAAAGTAAGTGTGTATTAGTAGAAAAGTATGAAATGATATGACACATAATTGTAATAAATAATAAGTACACAAAAATTTTACTAACACTGTAAACTTTTCTTGACCCACAACTTGGTGCAATTTGTCCTAACTGTGCTTACAGTGAGAACTGGCTAACTTGCAGACCTCCTTGTTGCTATCTTAATTTTATTTTATGATGATTCATTTGGGAGGTTACAGTTGTATAATTTGTAAGTGGGTAGAAACAAAGCAATAAGTCACCTCTCAAATAAATCATCACATTTCAATCAGTTGGAAACGAGAATGTCAATCAGTCATCAGAATCTGTCAAGCATTTCAAAATGCACCTGAAATAGTTTGAGAACCCCAGCAAATGATAATAAGTATGTTATAACATATGTGATTATTAAAGTTGCAGGATATCATCATGTCTCATGTGCCAGCCAAGATAGTACTCAAGAGCACAACCACCAAGTCACTAAATGATCGGTGAGCAATGCACCTTGTATCTTGCTGTACATGGCATTATTGTACCTTTGAGCTGGCTTCCTGTTGCAATTTTGTCCTAAGAACTTTAGGAGCTTTGAAAGGGTCATCACTGACCATCAATCACAAGCCATATGGGAAGTGGCAAAAATTTATACCATGCAGTTAATATTGTTAAGGCTTGATGAAAAGGCTTTAAGAAAGTCATGGCCTGGTTGTAATTTGCTTTTTGAGTGAAAAGTGAAATGCATACAAGCACATTGAGTGCATGGTTACATTGAAGCCAGTAATATATACAAGGTACAAATTCCTGCTCTCCATCCATCTTCTGAAGCTTCACTGAAATGGCCAAAACTCAAGTCAGATCACCCCCTCAAGTAACTGTCACTGGAGTGCGGAGCAATCAGTTCCAGGTGGCTCAAGCTAGCATGAAGAATCGTCGCCTTGCTGCCCAGATGGCCAACAGACCAGGTGTCCAAGCAGCCCTTGGAGGAAACACATCTGACCTTAAAAGTCGACTTGGCTCACCAACAAGAGGAAGAGGTGCAAATAGAGGGTTATTAAAAAACCGATTGGGTAGTCCAGCTGTTGGTGGAAGAATTCATAGTGGGGGTCAAGTTGGTTTAGGAGGTGGATTAAGGCGGTCTAGTAATGTTCGTGGTGTGAGCCGAGCAAGAAGAGGTGGTGGTCTAGTTGGCCGTGGTGGTCGTGGTGTTGTGAAAGCCATCACTCGTGGTGGACGTGGTGGGCGTGGTGGTAGAGGAGCAAAAAATGTAACCAGGGGACGTGGACGGGGTCATGGCCGAGGTGACAAGTCTGTGTCAAAGGATAGGTTGGATGAGGAACTTGACAAGTACATGTCTAAAACCAAAAGCCATCTGGATGCAGAATTAGATGCATACATGCAGAATGTAGTTGGAGATGAAAATTAATCTGAAGATAAGACAAAGATTGGTATGGCTGCTCTAAAGTGGATGATAAATTTGTCAACCTGTTAAAACTGCATAGCTACAACAACTGTTATGGGGATCATTTGTTTAACAACTGATGGTAAAGAACTTGTTTTCATGGATTTTGTCATTTACAACTACAGATATTTTGGAAGAGTGGAAACTTTATATCATGTCTTCTATAATCAGTAGACTGAACATTCATTACATCAGTGACGTATTTAAGTTTTCTTTGTTTACTTCAATTTGTAAATATGCATTGTAGCCACTTTTTGTTGTACTCTCATCAACTTCTGTTATAATACATAGTTGATGTCATATTCTATAACAGTAAGCAGTTGAGATATTTTTTACATGTTTTGTCATGCTTACGGTGTTTGATACAATGAGACTGTTAATTTCACTTTGAAACTTGAACAGCTAAGATCTCATAGGCCTTCCTTGTTAATTAAGTTTTCTTTGGTTTCCATTTTAATAACAATACTTAACATTTGAATGAGAAAGAAGTAGAAGTAATACAGCTGAAACAGTTTTTAGAGTTCCTACCGTCCATGATAGGTCATCCTGTTCAGTTCATTATATTGGCATTACTTTTGTTATAGGGCTTTTTTTATTTAGCCCTGTCATGGCAAGTGCATCTTAAGAAGAATTGGCCCAAATTGGCAAGTGCCTGGTTTGTTATCCATTTTGATTGCTTGCATTCTTAGCCACATTAGGTCCATTTTGGTCAATTTTTCCCACACAAACAGTATTAAGTTAAAGATTTCTTGTTTTTAAAGGAAATTCTCCTTGATGCAAACATAATTATCATGATGCAGCTTTTACAATTTATCTCTATGCCTTTTAAATAAAACAATGCAATGTCACTTCACAATTATGAATGTTTTGTACATGGCTCATCCAGTATGAATGGTGTTGGAATAAGCTTTATCCCATTGTTCTTTACATCAATAATAATTGCTCTCTTTGTGTCAGCTACTCAGACTTTTTCACTCTCCTGTCAACATCTAGTTTTGCTCTTCTTGATTGGAGGTTAGTTTTATTACTTCACAAGGTTATTTGTTCCAGTGTTCATAGAATGAATGTGCCCTAATACCCTGAAAGCAAATTTTTCCTTTTTCTAAACAAAGCATCTCAGAGGGCAGAAATCTTAAATCCACTAATTTGATTGGCTAATTGACCACCATCCAGATATTTTTTTTCTTTTCTTTTGAAAGTTTGAAAACAAGATGCACCTGTTTAAAACCTTGAGGAAATAAGTTGGGAAAATTTAAATTTTTAAAAAAATTGATTCAAATGAGAGTAGCCAGCAAAAGTGAATTTTACTATCTAGATAGAACCTCCCATGAAATGAAAGTCAGGCAGCTGGATAAAGTCTAAAAACAGGAAAAAGAAAAAAAAAAAAAAAAAAAATTTACCAGTCTAGGTCAGTCCATATGGGCAAAAATGTTCCTTTGGTCTTGAAACCAGTCTTTCCATGCCATATGGACCCTGCTCACAAAAGAAGAAAGTACACCTATACTTTCATTTGGATGTGAAAGGAAATCTTAAAATATTGGGGATAATCATTTCCTTTCAGTTCATGACTTTTTGCCATGTTTGTAAATGTTAGATAACCCCCAATTAATTTGGTCCAGTTAGAATGGTGTTGGTCTCAGAAATTAATTCCTGGCCAAAACTTAGTTAACAATTTGGACCATTAATTTCCCCCAGAAGTTCAGCCACACCACAATCTCTCCAACTAACCTCACCAGCTTATGTCAAATGTTAGGCTTGGTAGTGAGTAAAACGAAAGATGTGAGAAGTGCAAGACATGAGGAAAAAATAGGGGTCCTTGTGCTTTTCCCATTTCATGGAAGTTGTGTGTCTGAGATCAAAGTCTAAGTTTACGGAAGGTAAGTCGAATGAGTGGGTCATGGTCCTTAAAGTTTCTTCTCTAATTGCTACTTTTAGTGGTTCCAAGACAGTTTCCATTGACTGCCCATCAGTAATTTTATCAATGTTTAAATCCTCTCTGCTAAGGAGAAGCAGTCCTTGCCAGCCGCTTTTTGTTTATTTTTTTTTCTTTTTTGCGAGCTAGTGAAGCGTCCTAGAAATTATTCACTGTCTCCTCTTTGTCTACTTGCTGATAAGAACATGAAAGCGAGGCACATGACAAATAATTTTCATGCGATTACTTGACAACAGTGTTGCTTGAGGATGGGGGAATAAGCTTTGCTTTGTGATCTTTGTTTGTACCTATGGCCGAATGTAACATGGAATGGTAAGGGTAAAGTTCTGCATCTAGAGATTCTCAAGTTACAATTAGGAGAGCGAACTTTAAACAGACATTAGATGAGGCAGGGAATATTGCGCAACAAAGAAACCAAATATATGAATTAAAATAAGTTTTTCCACTTTAATGTGACAAAGGTAACCTACAATTGCCATCTGTGTCTTTTTCTATTGGAACACGCTAAGCACTGCCTGTTTGGTACAGTAACATGAGCAAGGAGCTTATCAATACAACCATAACGTGCAAAATTAATTAAATTTACCAATGAGAACTTATGACAAGTCTTGTCAGTGGAAATAAACATTATAAATAAATAATTACAATAATTATAATAACTCTTACTGCAAAATTAGCTTCCTTGTGTCCTGCAAACAATAAAAATTGACTTGCTTTTTTTAGAACTAAATTTAAATAAATGTGTCATGCACCCTCTAAATAGTTTTTTTCCAGTATTTTGGTTTTTGAGTTAAAAACAATTTTATCATTCCATCACTAGCAATGATTAACTGTTTAGGCTCTTCCTCAGTGTTACCTAAATAAATTAGAGATAATGAAAAGTTATTTTTTCTGTCTTATGTGGTCAGCTCTTAACATGTCACAACTAAACACTTTTCAAACTATGGTTAAATGATGGATACATTTAGGTTGAGAAAGTAATTAGTTGCATTCAATTACCTGAAAAAAACACTAGAACACTGTGTTACACCAAAAATATATACAAAACTGTAATACAAAAATACTCTGTAACATGAGTATTAAAAAGACACATCAACAATGTTTCTGATGTACATGTCTTCCTGTGTAAATAACAATAAGGATTTTTTTTCCAAACATCACTCTGAATTACTAGTAGATTTGAAAAGTTAAAAAAGAGTCTTGCTCCTACAAAACTGTACAAGGCCCAGCCTTGAGACAAAAAGTTCTTCTCTAGAGAAAACAGAGTCCAGCGTAATTTAAGTTTTCCGTTTTATCAAACTATTAATGCAATAAATCCTTGCACAGAGAACATTAACATCTAATGGTTATAAAAAAATCCTTAAACACGCTAAGATACACAAAAATAAACAACTAAAATAATTCAAAACAAACATATCTAATTAAGAGAAATTCAAAATCAAGTAGTTTGGTCAATCCAAGGTAGGGTTGGTCATTAGAAAAAGTCCAACACTTGTGTACACTGAAGAACTACACATTCAATGTCAAGGTTTTGTGAAGAGTGAAAACAAAAAGAACTTGACACACCATGGGAAAATAATCCCAGTCACCTTAACAATAAATTCTGATGATAAGATTATTACTAGAGGAGCAATCAAGAATTTAAAATATTTAGGGAGTTTCTCATTCTAATGACCACTCAGCCATGGATGCTTAAACTTGCAAATCTTGTGAACTTGCTGTAAGTATTAAGCAGAAAATGCTAAAATTGAAAGGTGACAATGAAAGCAAACAAAACACGATTTTCCCCTGTACTATAATAAGAAATATCAAATTGAAACCTGTGTTGAGAAATGTTTGCACAATCTCCAGCTCAACAAATTACTAGCACTTAACCAGCTTGTGATGTAAACACAGAACAGAAACAATTTCACTGCATGTTTTCATCTAAAAGTGAAACCTAAGTAAATGATTAATAAACTGAACCATCTGAAAACAATCTACACCTGTAAGGTTAACAACAAATAACCAAATTTAAGACACAATGATGACAGCATCCTTATATGTCCTGAATAGCAAATTTTACACTCAGGTCTGTGGGGTAGGATGTTATACAGCCTGCCTTTCACAACCTGCATCAGGATTAGCTACAAGGACTTCAAATTACTGAGAAGTACCACTTTTGCTTGTGCGGGTCAGTGGTCTAAAAATTAAAAAAGATTAGAGAATTATAAGCTGACGACTTCCTTACTATGTGTTTGGTGTGACTTTAGGTACACAACGATGTAAAGAGACTTTTTTCTCAATTAACATCTATGGTGTTCCTTTCACCAACTTATGAGGAGTCCACAACAAACTCCAGCTGGTTTGATTTGAGCAGATTTTTAGAGCACTATCCACAAATTCAAGTTTATGCACCATTTAAGGCAGTCATTTTCTTAACTATAATACACCATATCACCTGTGCTGACGATATCCTTCAATTGAATGATGCCACAACCAACATGAATGACAGTAATACTTGAAACAAGATTCTTCACGGCAGAAGAATGGACCAGTAGTTGTGTGACAAATGTCACACATTGAATCCTCTAAATATGGATCAACCTGCACCTGATTAACCACAAATAAACAATTAAAGTTTAAATCAGTAATAATAACGATGACTGACTAATGAGAGTTGATAAATACAACCCATAAATCGAATATGATAGACAAAATTTATTATAGCAACATATTTGTTGATCATTTTTACAAAGTTAACATAGAGAAAGGGGGTAACACTTTTCATTAAAACTGAGTACCTTTTTCACAAATTTTGGTGTCTCTATTTCAACAAATCCTGACCGCACAGCTTCCAGAAAGCTCTTCTGATTGTTGAAGGTAATGCGACCAGAACCTGGGATGTCAAAAAATTTCAATTCAGCTAGTAAAGATGAACTTAACTGCATGCACCTAATGATAAATTTTGTTTGACCTAGCCAATTCATGGAGCTTTGCAATTTCCTGCCATTGTGATAAATAAGGGCATTTTTCCTGCCAAGGTTCCTTCTAATCAGTAACTTCTTTTAGAGGCAGTCTCTAACTTTCTTGTCCAGTAAGCAAAAGAGGAATGCAATTTCAAAAAATCATAGCAAATTGCTCACCTGACTTACATTCTGGCAAACTTCACAGAAGTAGGTGTTACAGAGACAGAACTGAGTTATTTTATGAATACAGCTTACCTATAGGATAGCGATGTTTATCAGTATCAATACCAGCATAGACAACTCCACCAAACAGTTCATTCATTATATAAGCCAGGCCCTCTGCAATGACAGAGTCACAAAAATCTTTACAATAAAATGGTTTTTTCCTAAAATTCAAAATTCAGATATACTGATTTAAAATGTCTTTTCTACAATGGGAAAAAAAAGACTATAGATAAAAGCCACTTCTTCTATATTTATGATGGTTCAAGTGCATGTGATAAGATGGAATGTTTACAAGAAGAAGTTTTGGCTTAGATCAAGATGGTTTAATCTTAATATGGTTCTGCAACAAACCAAAAAGTGATGGTTGACATTGTCATCAGCAATGTACAGTTGATTAATGTCACACTTGACAGCAGCCCTCACCTGCATTAAGCATACCATGCAGTCCCCCTACAAACACCGTCCAACTGGTGTCCAATCGTTGATGAGGGCCACGCACATAGTTGGTATCAGACAGAACCCAGGGAATCACCTGCACCTAAAAAGCACATTTACAGTCAAACAGTTCTTTTACTGTTTCTAAGAAGTTGGTTTAACCAGACAAATGAACTAATAAGTCCTTATAATAACTAAACAGTGCACTAAAACTTTTTAAGTGTACCATAACATAGCGCACATGTCAGATGATTACCAGATATTATGCCTGTTTACCACTGACAGAAACTTGATTGTATTGTCTTGAAGTTATGAGGTGGGAAATTAAAAACCCTTAGTAGTTTGCTGGAATGGCAAGGGGGTGTGGGTGTGGGTGTGTGCGTGTGTGTGTGTGTGTGTGTGAAGATGACTCACTTTAAATCCCTCTGTGGAATGAATATATTGTTATTACCTCTTTGCACCTCATACGTCGACTGGATATCTTGAAGTACCAGTCTCCACCATTACAGAAGTCATGAGTACAAGATGCTAACAAAGCTTTCACTGACTTCTCAGAATCAAAGATTAAATACACATATCCTAAGAAATAAAATCAGGTAAAAATCAACTGGAACTAGAGAGATTCTATAAACTTCCCCTCTTGTCAATCCTGGTAGAAACATCAAACTTATGTTTCTACATTTCATTAAAATATCACTCCTAAAATACAATTTATTCTTTCTATATTTTTCATTTCTCATTAGTAATCTGACTATTATACTGCATTAAAATACAGCAATTAATGTGCACCTTCTCAATTCGAAGAAATAAGATAAAAGGTTGTCATGCATTGGATTGGTCACTTCTGATTGTCAATAGTCTGACGAAAAAGATCTCTATGGTCAATCTTCTTAATATTGTAACTCCCAGAGTTTAAGTATCCAATATACTGGTCACATTTCCTACTTTGACTGTCACAGCACATAGGTACCTTTAGGTGGATGGTGAAGATGCCGGCCATCAGCCTTCCCTGGCCATTCCACCTTCACTGAGCCAAATGGTTTGAAGGACATCACAAGAGATGCTACAAAATAGAGAAAACTTATGTTTGTTATTAATCACTTGGAAGGAAAATATTCACATACAGATGTAAAACCTAAATAATCAGTCAAATTATGCTTCAATAGAAAATCATCATAATAAGAACAGAATTAAATTTAATGTGTGATTGAGCAAGTTTAGGTTGAATGATGTGTCACTTGTAAAGAAATTAAATAACAACAACTGCCCCTCAGTTACCACACATCCATGCAGCCACACCTTAGCCCGTCAAGGTACTCACACATCATTGGTAAAAGTTTTGCTAGTGCTTTAAAATTTTTCACATCCTAATACAGCTCAAGTTTCAGACAGTTGGCCATAATGTAGCTCAGAGTGAAAAGTGAGAAAAAATAAACTAATTTCACCTGGTAGACAAATTGTTCAGTAAAGTTTGAATATAGCTTTGCATAACTGTTACATGTCATTAGATCTGTTCACTTGATAACTTGACAAACACAAAGTAATAGAACCTTCAGTGATATCCCAAGGAACACCTCCCAAGAATACTTTTGTTGAGTAGCTTGGATTCTTATAATTTCGGCGAGGTAACTGGCCTGACCACTTCTTCATATTTCCTTTATTGAAGTCTGCACCTTGTTAAGAGATCAACACAGAATAACATTAGGCCAGAGAAACAGTAGGCTGCATTTCTGATAATATTATGTTTGCAAGGTGCTCTCAGGTGGCACCCCTCCTGTCTAACAGCCACCTTCCCTCCGAATAAATAAGGATTTATTAAGAATTTTCAGCTTATTCTTTTGCCCAACCAATCTATGTATTTTTGGATCTCCAGAGAAAGTTGATTGTGATCAGGGGAATAACTTTTAAATGGCCATTGATTGCCACTGACCTGAGTTGCTATTACATGGAATAGATTTAGATGCTTTACCTGATAATAGCTGAGGAAGTCCTTGGTGTTGAAAGTAGTCTAAACTTGATGGATCATTCCACATTCCAAACAATGGATTGATGCCAGTCCACCTCGGATCAGTGAACAGGCTGCTCATCGTGGGTGCCACCATCTCAGATTGTTGCTGCAACATTCCAGGCGGTAACCCAATCTGCCTTGGCTGACAACGAGGGAAAACAGAACTGCGGTATGAAGGCCTCATAGGACTAATACTGGCTTCAGAGTCCACAGGAGACAGAGGAGAGAATGGAAAGGCTCCATATGGAGAAAAGGCACTCATGGGAGAAGGTGAAAGGCTATCTGGTGGGGTATGTAATCCAAAATGAGTGCTACCAGCTACAAAGTTGCCCTGAAATTTGGAAAATTGTCCCTATTGACACCATTGTAAATACAGATAGCAATTCTTAACAAAGAACTGGTAGGCCTCACCTAAACTTGCAGTGCTAAAGACATCTGGCTAAAGCTATTGAGCCAATAATAAATTTACTCCAGGCATAAGTTATCTAAAGGGACTTCCTGTCCATGCTTATATTTTCTTTTCTCTTTTAAGATATTGTTTGAATAGCATTGTGCCTGTTTTAATTCAATCCATGTTTAGTAGAAAAATCTCTGCAATTTTCACCATGAAAGATTATGTCATGTAACAGATTTTCCTTACCAAAAAAAAAAACAAAACAAAACAAAAGCAGCTTAGTCAAAAATTTATTTCGAATTTATTTCTCAGTCTCGCTAAATTCTAAAATCTATACTACAAGTCTATTGTATCTGCCTGTAAAATGGTTAGGCATAACTATTGACCAAAATCTGAGAAAAACAAAGATATTATCATGAAATTGTATCACTTCAAATCGTTGACACAGATTATCTGGCTCAATTTGGCTTACTTGAAAAAATTAATTTTGATGGATAGAAGGACAAAAGCGACTATAATTTACAAAACGGCACAAAAAGCATACACTTCATTGCCAAAATTAGAAACTAATACAGACAGGAAAGAAGACACAAGGTCAAAGAGATCAACGCGCAGCCACAGCTTTCAGTCAGAAGAAAATAAATATGTTTTAAACGGTTACCATGAAGAGTTCACTTGTTCTCAGATCGTCCATATGTAACGGGCTGGGAGATCTAGAGTCTGGAGGTGTTGGCTGAAAACCTGGGTAACTAACGAACGGTCCACAGGTTGTAGCTTGAGATGCTGGTTGAGGCGAAAACAAACTTCTACCCGCTGAGTCTGTCAAAACAATGCAGCAAAGCTTTTCTGCGTTATGTTTAGCGTCTGAATTTGATCAAATGTGTTCCACATGAAATCAAAAGAACTCGAACAGATTTCAGGAAGTTCACTTACTAGAATCCAACAAAGCATTGATTCGAGTCAAGATGGAAGTTTTATCCTCGGGTGCATTCTGTAGAGGGTGAAATTAAGATGCCATCGAGATCAGAGAATAACTGGCGTAAAAAGACGGCCGACTGAAGCAGTTAAAAGACAGACAGCGATTTTTCCGCTAAGGAATTGTTTGTCATCTACCTCGCAGCAAATTTAACATATACAAAACTAGGACAAGTTTGGACATTGAATTCAGTCAGGGTTCAATTTCGAACAGAAAACAATTTAAGGAACGATGTAGTATTTACTACATTAAGCTAAGGTTCGTTCCTTTAACGCAATTTTAGTGCTTAAGTTGGAAAAACAAGTTCAATCAACAACGCTCTAGCCGGAAAGAGTTCCTTCCGCACCTGGGCTTAGTCTGATGACAACTGCTGACACAAGCTATTTTCGACTGATAGTCGCACATTTCGGCTAACATCAACAAAAATTCAAACAACAACCTAGCAAAACAAGCATTCGGATATTTGAACTTACCTCCTTACTCATGACTGACGGTGAAAGCGCTGTTTCCTTGCAAGACTGCCCTGTGTCGTCCCTCATTTTCGAAGTATTTGTATGATTTCGCGTTTAGACGCTCCATATGCACGTGGAATCTCTGGATTCTCGTGCAAGTCACCTTATTGGTCAGTCAATTATTTTTATTGTTTTTTGACCAATTGGATCATCGCAAAAATGACAAGGGCAACCTTTCTCCAATTATAACTTCCGTTTTAATTTTCTAAACTACAATTTTTTTCGTACACTTTTTGTCGCGAAAAAACGAGCTTTCTACACGATCACTTCTAATTACCTAAACCTCGACAACTACCTCGACGTAAATAAAACATCTGGCAAAGCTGTTAAAGCGCATTTTTACTTCTAAATTAAACGCAAAAATACCCCACTCCCAAAAAATGTTTACCTCTCGTGAGCTAATTAGGATTTTTATTATGTTTTTCTCCGGACTATCTTTTTCTTTTGGGTGGGATATATCGCTTTGGTATCTCAATTCTCCGATTAAGTGTCCCGGTTTTTCTTTTCCGACTGTTCGAGTGGCCTGAAGTTTGTTCGTTGACCCTGGCAATGGATGCATGAAAAGCTCCCGATGCCATATCCAGCCTTAGCGTGACTGTCAAATGTCATAATCTAAACTGTATTCAGAGAATCTATTATTTCACCATGTCATATTTCATTATCATAGAATGATAATTATAACAAGAATTTTCGTCAAATTTCAATTCCAAGTATTGTTTGTGTATGAACACAGCTTGTGATGCTCCATGGAAAAACATCGACGGAACACCACATACTCAAGTGCGCATCTGGGTAACTCTTTAAAAATAAGTTTTATTTTTTTCCACCCACACTTTCCGATTAACTGATATCTCAATCATATCAGGGACTACAGTTTTATCCGTATCCCATCATACAGCTAAAAGGTTCATCCACCTCAAACTAATCGAAGAGTAACATTTTAAAAAACATGAAAGGATTTGACGATGCGGTCATGATGACAATGACCAGGTCTTAGCGCGTTAATTTGCGCTACAACGTTTGCCTTAACGAAATGACGCGATGCCAGAGACAGCTTATCTATAATTTGTGCCCTTCATTCACAATCGCTGTCATGAATCCGCTTTTCTCGAGGAGATTACAATAAAGAACGTTCTCTGACACACAGGTGACGGGCACGCAAAAGTCGCACTTAACTATTCCTTTTTTTTCACTTGCGATAACTTGGTTACGAGGAAATGTATGATCTCATATTTTTGATGACATGACAAAACAAATTGCCATCTTCCTCATTCTATATTCAGCCCTACAAATGTTTGTGTAACGATGTAAGGTATTAGCACATAAAAGCAAGGGCACAGCCTTGTGCTTTGCAGTCTCCATTGCGAAAAGATTATTATAATTCAGTTCCCACTGAAATTATTGGAGGGATTGCTGTACATATGCGTTGTAGACAAAACGCCAAGTCAGCACAGGTGGAAATTCACAAAGTTCGTGTGCGTGTGTATGTGGTTATTTTTTATTTTTCATTTATTTTTTTTTCAGTTTTTACGAACCGAGACGAATACGGACCGAAATCTATATCGATGTTAACGAAAAAGTTGCGTTCAAGTAACAAAGTGGATAAATCGGTTACAAAAACTTTTAAGTTTTAGCAAGCTCAAAGCGGGCTTTGACCATCCTGTGCGCTCGACAAGCTAATCAGAATACTTGATTAGCTTCATCTCTCTCGCTCGACGGGCCAATCATGACAGGATTAGCTTCATCCTTCTCACTCGACTGGTGAATTAGAACACTGGATCAACTTGCGGGGCCATACGTTTCGAGCGTTAGCGCTTCGTCTATCGCTCTGACAAAGGGCTAACGCTCGAAATGTCAGCTTTTAAACTCTTTACGGTGGCCAATTTACGTTACCAACTCAGTTGACAATACTTAATTATTCCGTTATACTCTCCCACCGACGCAGCACTACGGTTTCTCTAGAAACGTACCTCCTTTATCTATAGGGAAAGGGACCATTAAGAGACGCGTCTTTCACCCAAGTGCAAGCCCCAGCGGAGCGAGGAAAGCAGCGCGATCACGGCTCACGAAAGTGTCACTTATTTTCAGTAAACATTAAAATTTTTTAAAACCATTATTATCTTCTGTTATACTATATGACGCTAAAAAGAAAAATGTGATCACAGGTTGCAGTTCACTGGAAATAAAAAGCACCCTCCCCCATAAGGGATACGTAAACTGGCAAATAATTATAAAACAATGTCAAATCGTTGCGTCGTCGGCCCACGGATTCCAACTACTCTCGAAATGTTGTCTTTCTTTTGAATCTTCTGAAGTATAGTACAATTTAGTTCCGTTTAGTAGGGCTGAACTTTGGTAGATCATATCTCAATCGTCGTTGACTTTCTTCTCTACTCTGATGGTAACGCATTTATTATGCTCTTTTTCCTTCTTCACACCTTTTTCCTTCTTATAATCTATTTTTCCCAATCTTTAGATTTAAATTGTTTCATTTTTTAGGCAAGAAAAAAACCCGGGTTTTCAGAGATTTGTCTGTAGTACTTAATGCATATATTATACACACCGAATGTCATGTTCACTCGTATCGTTTTCAGAAAAGACGAAGTACCGGTACATGTAATTGTATTTAGTAGTTTTCACTTAATATCATTTTGTGTTCTCTTCCAACACCAACTCTGGGTGAAAGAAAGTTAAGTTGAAAGTTACAAGTGACTGCAATCCTTACGATCTCAGCGACCAATGAGAAGCAAACACAACAACAACAACATTTATTTAAACACGATAAAAAAATTACAGCGGAGCTAATGTGGTCGTGTATTTAAAAGTTAAAAGTAGTTTACAAGTGAATAAAACGCTTAAAATCTAATCAAAATTTAAAAGGATCTAACCTATTTTAAAAAATAGATAACATGTCTGTAAACTAATCTCTTCGCATCAAGTTCTGCGTTTAAGAAAATTTTTAAATTAGCTTTTGCTTGCGATTGCACGCGTATGGTTGTCAAGAGAATTCCATAGTGATACGGCTTTGTAACAAGTGGACTTGCGAATAATTTCTGTATTTGGTTTTATTGGTTTTATTTTGGTTTTATCTATTCGCATGAAGTTCTGCGTTTAAGAAAACTCTTAAATTAGCTTTTGCTTGCGATTGCACGCGTATGGTTGTCAAGAGAATTCCATAGTGATACGGCTTTGTAACAAGTGGACTTGCGAAGAATTTTGGTAACAAGAATGTCAATTTCCTTCGCAAGTTATAGTTGTACTCATATTTCGTAAACAGCTTCATAATAGGAACGGGAAAGAAGTTATAAAAACAGTCGTGTGCTAACATAAGTAATCTATATTCGTATAAATCTTAAATAGAGGGCCACTTGCTTTGGGCTAAGACCTGATCGCTGGGAGTGTACCGATCTAGGCCATAGATGATCTTTGAGGCACGTAGATGTATTCTCTCCAGCTCATCAAAGAGCGATTTGCCGCAGGAACCCCATACAACCAAGCCATAGATAACAGATGGTAAAAATACTTTGAAATAAAAATCAGCTCTCGCTGTAGTTGGTAAGAAATACAAAGACCTGAGAAGATTCATTTTTTGTGAAAAGGACTTAATTAACTCTTTTACATGAACGTTCCAATTAAGATCACTGTCAATTTAGATGCCTAAACACCTAGTTGATTTTACTTGAGTAACAACACTGTTGTCAAGTAGACGTCCACTCTGTATCATTCAACTTGTAGGGTGCTAACCGTGTAAGTATTGTTACATTGGTATTGAACTGATAAGAGTATGAAATAAAAAATTACAAAGCTGCTAAATTGCCCAAAATATAGATATTTCAAAAATGGCCTTTTGAGATGTTACAGTTTTTGACATTCATACAAGGAAAGTGGCTATTGGGCTGAAAGCTGACCTATTATTCTATAGATTTAGATTTTAAAATAGGAATTTTAGCTCTTAAAGTTACCACAACTTTCAAGAAAACAGGTCCCTGTGGTGTTATTGCACCAGCAAACTTGGACATGACCCAGGCCTGAGAATGCTCAGTGAGTAACACAGCCAGATAAATTTGAAATAAGCAAATGGTATACCTAGACTTTAAGTTACACATTCCAGGGATGCAACTACCCTGATCTGCTGTCTGCAGACAGAAACCTGTGTCTATCAGGTTATACACGAGTCAGTGATAACCCTCCTGCCAAACAGGCAATTAGTTATTCCTTCTGATGTTTGATCTTTTGGCGGCCAGTTCCTGAGCCAATGCTGATGCATATAGTTTATCAATATACACCAATGTCTGAGATCTTACTGCCTTTCCTTTTGTTCCTTGCTGTTGCAAGCTTCATTTCTTGCTATCCACTGGGGATATTCTTGTTTAACCATTTTCCAATAACTTTCCTGCAGAGTAACAAAACCATTAGTAAAAATGCTATCTGGTGTTTCAGGCTTAGAACTTTCTTGGAACCCACCTGGAGACTGATAAACTGAGCATTACTAGAACACATGGTTGCCTTTTTTCCCAATCCACTCTGAAGTGCTTCCAATTCCTTGTGAGTAAGGTAAAAAACACAGTTAATACAAAGAAACTAATTACTCATAAGTTTCACACATCAGGATGTCTAATTTCAAAGCCAGAAGGCATGTATAATAACTTACATAATAATTTACATGAACAAATTATGCTCATCTGATTCAACACAAGTGCAAATTACAAACAGCACACACTGCCAAAATTTCATCCATGAATTTATGTAATGCATTTTACTTGTAAATTATTAACTAGTAAAAACATGATTTCATGTGCAATTTGGTGTAAATATGCACTTGTCAAACTTTCAAAAACTTCAAATTCCAATCACCCTATAGGCTTGTACAATTTTGTTGCCTTTTAAAATTTACTTGTGCTTACTAAGACCAAATTGCACACAAAATCATGTTGTTACCTATAGTAATTCAAATTCAAGAATGGTTGAAGAATAAATCTCTCTAGTTGGTTGCAGGGAATCTATCCTTCTGCCTTGTTTAAAGCCAGGAGCCCATTAAGTAATGGGCTCCTGCTGAAACTAATTCTACAATGAAAACTGCTGTTTATTCAAGTCCTTACCTCAACTGTAATTAATAATTGCATAAGCATTAATAAAATTAGAAAACAATTGATAGGTTTATCCACTTTTCCAAATTAAGCATGAGATAAAATATTATCTTTCTTTGTAACTATTGTGCAACCATTATTTGAAGTAGAAGAAATGTTTTATTTCAATCTATGAATTATTATTATCATTGTTGTCATCAGTATTATCATTTTACCTACTAACTGAACATTACCTGCACTAACTGCTCATTTCTTGCCTTAGTTCTCTGAAAGTCATGTGTAGTCAACTGAAGTTTCTTCTGCTGTGAACTCATACGTGACTCATTTTCTGCAAGCAACATCTCACGTTTGGCCAAACTGAAAAACAGTGCATTCAATATTTATATGCACTGGTACCTCGGCAATACAATTGCTATTTAGTTATGAAGATGTATCACATTAAAAATCCTATATTCCTTCATCTAAGTACAGCCCTAAGGAAAGCAGCAAATAGCTCGATGCCACTGACTGTGAACAAATTATAATAATTTTGTGAGGTTAGCTACAACCCTAGATAGCCAAATAGTAATGGCAATTGATAGTCTGTGAAGGCATTAGTTCATAATTGTATGTATAGTTCTGAGGATAGAAAAGACAGACTAATATCAGATTTCCAATGATAATTCACAGTTTCCTTCCTTCCTATTTTTCGGATTAAAGCTAATATTTTGTGTGAAAACTTCACCCTAAGAACTGAAGGATTTCTGTAACTAAAGAAATAGTCTGATATCAGGTAAATGGCAGTTATAGTCATTACTTCTTTAATTTATAGCACTAAAAAATCAGTGGAACAGTTCCGACCACCAAAAATTGCTTTTTTTTCCAGATGGAGACAGTCTTATTACAATAACGGGTCTCTGCTATAGGACACAAGACCAATTAGCACACACGATCTGAAATGACCAGCATTTTTAAATAGCGTGCGTCGTTCAAAAGACCTTGACACCAGTTGCCGCCGAGTGAGGCATCACGTTAGACAACAATGAATAAAAATTAACTCTTACATTTCTTCGTGTTTATGGCTCAGATGAGCTTCTCGTGCAAGCCATTTCGCGAGGTTGCTTTCCTCTTCCATCACACGACACTCATCATCAACGAAGAGAGAGTCTGGGAGAGATTTATGATGTAATGATTAACCCAGTCCCCTCTCCCTCTTATAAGAGGAAAAGATGGCAGCCTCTAGCGGCGGGTTTGTTTTGCTACTGATGTTTTGTACATTTACAAGCCAGGTATGTATTGATGACCTAGCTGAAATCGAGGAATTATTTGATGCTGAATCCCTCTGATGCAGGGAATTGAATATTCTTCCTTTTTGATCAGGGAGCTGGACAAAATGTCGGTCAGTTGGGCGTTCTTCACATTGAGGGAAACGAAGATTCACAGGACTTCTGCATCGCCTTTAATGAGGAGTGGGTTTCTCTTCCTACTCATCTGGATAGCACGGTAAATACTGATTTTTTTCAATAATTCTATTCTCTTGAAAAAATTCTGCTTTTTCTTAAAACATGAATCTGCTCATCTTTGGGATTTTTTCAAGACTTGTTAAGTTGCGAGGTAACGAAAGTAACAAAGGATTATTTATTACATTCGAGTTATTTTGTGTTTGTTTGTTTTGATGGCCGTTTACTCCGGTTGAAACCATGAAGCCTCGGGAGAACTGTTTTCGTTCCTTTTTATTGCGCTGTTGACAGATGGGGGTACTCTTGTCTTCTGCAATTGTCTGATGCTTCATGTTGTGAAATCCGGAATCGCCTTCAATACAAGTTTCATTAAATATTTAACTCGTGGTATAGGAGCTTCTAGTGATTTTTCAAGCAGGTGTTGCTGTCTCCCTTATTTCAAGCATTTGTCAGTGCAACAGACTTCTTAGATTATTTGAGCGGACAACAAAATCACAACTTGATTTTTTTTCCTTAAACTTGTGAATTACATAATTATAAAAGATAATGCGCGAGTTAAAGTAAACCCCAACCCTCTCTTCACCCCTGAAATTGTGTAGCCTTCTTTGGATTAAATACCTTATTGGCAGCTCTTCAAGTAAAAGATAAGTGGAGTATTTGCAAATTTTTTAAACTTCTGCCTAAGTTGGGTTTTCTCTGACTGTTGTATAATAAGAGTGAGAATAATGATGATGATAATGTTGCTATTATTATCAGTAGTAGTAGTCATAGTGTTATTATTATTATTATTATTATTATTATTATTAACAATAATAATCTAATTACTGATAATGGTGATGGTCATGAATGATAATAACTATAAATTTGGGAGTTCTTTTTCCATACAATCCACTAACACAATGTTGATCTTGTTCATATTGTTTATTAAGGACTTGGCTGTCATTTCTTATGAGACTCATTTTTATTATGCCTTAAATCTAATCTATAAAGAGCCAGCATTTGAGTGTTGCAAAATTGTTTTTGCTATTATTGTAACTGTTAACTACCTACATATATGTTTTTCAGCCGAAGTATCCTTTGGTAGAAGCCAAGCCTTCAACTCTTTGCAAGGAACCACAAAATCTCTCAGAGATAAAAGATGCTGCTGTAGCAATACAAAGGGGAAACTGCACATTGTTTCTAAAAGCTCTGTATTCACAAAATGCTGGAGCAAAAGAAGTAGTCATTGTCAGTAATGATAGTTTGGTAAGTGAATTCAGCCAGGCACAGTCATGCGCATGTTTGTGAGGCTCTCATTGCAAGTATGTGAGCATGTAAAGTTCATCAGTGATGACCAAAAAACATTAAGTTCTTCTTGACATAAAAAGTTCAGATGTCCTTGAATGAATTACATATTAAAATTGTAAGGTTTCTAGCATCCGTACTAGAATTAACTTCAATCATGAGTCAGATGTATTACTTGTTTTGGTCTAAGGTCTTCTAAAAAGGTTAGATTATGTTTAGGAATAAACAACTTAATAAAAGTAAACTTAAGTACCAATGTGATTCTAATTTACTCTATATTTATGATCATTCAGTTCACCCCAGTTGCCAATTCATCAGAAGAGTATGCTCAAGTAACAATTCCTATGGCTGTGATTAGTCATGATGATTGGATCAAATACAAAGATAAGGTTGGTCAATATGTTGTTCACTCTTCTCTTCAGCAAATTATCAGAGTTTAAAAATTTGCAATGTTGTGGTTGTGGACAGGCTTTCTCCATTCCATTTAAATTTATTTTCACAATAAAAATCACAGGCTTAACCCTTTTTTCCCAAGATCTGACATTCATTCTCCTGCCTAACTGCTACTTATTTCCTTTTATATTAGTTACAAGAATTTGGGTTTACATGAAGGGAAAAAACATCCTCTGCCTGATAAGTTTGAGTATTCTTATTACCTATTTGCCAGATAATGTACAGATATTAAAGGGAGAAGTTTCATGTTACCATCACTTCGGGGGATCAAGGGGTTAATTAAACTCCTAAGTCAAAAGACAGTAAAAAACATGACTCCTAATTTCAAGAGCTCACTAATAGTCCAATTTTACAATGTCAATTTAGTGAGTGAAAAGAATGATAAATTAAAATACATGTACATGTATATCAAGATAGCCTCTAAGCAATATGTTGTAAATTTTTATGTAGGATTTTGGAGGTGATGTCAAAGTGCAGATGTATGCTCCACCCACTGATTTAGTGTCTAATATTGACGGCAATTTGGCAATATTGTGGCTACTTGCTGTAGGTACTGTGGCTATTGGAGCTTATTGGGCTGGTATTACAAACAAGAAAATCATGTAAGTTGGTAAATATCCGTTTAAAAAAAATCATAATTAATATTGATGCCCACTTAATTGTTTAAGTTATCGGGTATTTTCAATAGTTATATTTTACTGAAGAGTTGGTGAAGTATCTGGATGGTCATTTTTACCAGGTGCTACTAGTAACCTTGTATCCAGTATTAGATCAGTGAATTAGCACATGATCTCCACATCATTTAGTGTGTGGGTGATAAAAGGATGAAAAAAATTATGTAATATTTGCAAGTAATTTGAATCAATTCTGTTCTGTCAAGGGGAAGCATGTTAAGAGGCAATACTAACACCAGTGGAGATGATAGCCAAGCTAACAGAGAGCATGGGTCTGCTGGAGAGGACTCTTTTGAAGTGACTCCTCTGTCGGTTGTTGTATTTGTTCTTCTGGTTTGTGGCACTTTACTGTTGCTATACTTCTTCTATAAGTATCTGGTGTATGTTGTGATTGTTGGCTTTGCTCTGGCTTCCTGTTATGGATTGTACGAGTGTCTTCATCCTCTTGTTTTATGGCTTCCTCTTGGTAAGTAATAACAGCATTGTGGTGATGTACACTGTAATTCATATGCAGGGGTGGGTTGGATACCTTTCCCCTCCTCTTAGCTTTGTAAAAAAAGCAAAAGGAAATCTCTGTAAGTTAATGGTTAGCTAATAGAGTCATGTATTTTAGTCTCTTTTGATCTCATTAATCTTGCAGATACATTGTATGGAATGTAAAGCTCACTTTTTGATTTTGTAAATATTTGATTTTCACTATGGCCCGTCAGAATGTTTTACTAAATATCACCGGGAGGTTTAAGGTTATATAGAGCCAATGATAGGTCTTTGTCAGTAGTTGTTGAATTAAAGGAAAATATAAGTGACTTAGTGGCAGTCACTTGTAGCTTTCTGTCTGACTGATTGAGCTGGTAACACAAGATTCCAAAGCCAATCTCACAGGACAGTCAAGGTTTTTTTTTAAAGAACATGTAACTATCAGTTGAAAATAGTCCAGACCAATAATCGGATAAGATGCTGTAGTTATTGTTTAAAGCATCAAAATAGTTTTATTAGATATAGATGATATAAAAGCTTTTCTTTGATTTTCTTTTTCAATTTAGGAGATTGTACAGTCCCAGCCAACCAGATTCCACTTTTGAAAAAAGAGCTGCAAATAAGAACTGTCCTGTTAATACCATTCTGTTTGGCCATTGCAATCTGGTGGGGTATTGAAAGGAATAAGAGGTATCTATTTCCTTGAAAATATCTTCTAAGTCAATATGGTAAATTCAACCCTACATGTACCTCCATGTAAATATAAAAAAATGGCAAATAATGGTAGATTTACTGCGCAGTTATAGTACAGGTCCAGTTAGTTTTGAATTGAAACTAACATTTACTAAAGCAAAAAAAAAAAAAAAAACGCTTATTCTCTGCAATGTATTTTGTCTTTCTCTAGCTATGCCTGGATACTCCAAGACATATTGGGTATATCATTCTGTATAAGTCTGATGAGAGTCATCAGATTGCCAAGCCTGAAGGTTTGCACACTGCTCTTGGTCCTTCTTCTAATTTATGATGCATTCTTTGTTTATATCACACCACTCTTCTCTGCTGGCAAGAGTATCATGGTTGAAGTTGCAACAGGTAAATGTTTCTGTTACTCAGTTTGGAATTTATCTACAAGTGGTTGGGTGGGATGATCCCTCTTTCACATAAAAGAAACAAGGGTGCTTATGGGATAAAGGATATGAAATGAAGAACTAAGAACAATCTTGTCATCAAACAAAACTCCTTTCAAAATGGCTCAGGCCTTTAATGCAGTATAACAGCACTTTATTCATTTATTTTTTTACTTTCTCATATTTTGGTGCTTGCACTTATCTCTTCAACCTTTGAATTCCCAAGATCTGATTGTTGATTCTCCCCTCCAGTTGCTAAAAATTTCCTTTTATATCAGGTACAAAATTTTGGTGTTGAATCAAGACAAAAACTTCTACCTGATAAGTATTTTCATTGCCTGTTTGCTGGATGTAAAGATATTATAGGGAGAAGTTACATGTTGATCACTTCCAGTTTATCATTAAATCCACTCACTTGGCACTTGACCTCTCACATATGTTTCTCTTTCTTTGCTAAGGTGGTGACAGTAAAGAATCATTACCAATGGTAATTAAGGTGCCTCGACTCAGAATGTCAGTGTTATCTGTGTGTCTGAGACCATATTCAATCCTGGGATTTGGAGATATCCTAGTTCCTGGTAAGCTCAATTTTTACCAATAATGAGAATATATTTTCCTTGTTGTCAGGTTTTTTTTAAGATTTTTTTTTTAAACACTTGCATGTAGGAACCAGCACACTATATCAATTCTATGTTAAGTATGTGAAATGGCTTTTAACATCATATCTACAAAGGAATCCATAATGTCTCCATTCTATAGTCAAGCACAAGAATGTAATTATCAATTTGTATTTTGTGGTTAAGTTTTGTCCATGTTCATCTTCTTTTTCACATGGTTGTTTCTAGTAACTAGTTTGAAACAAACAAGAAAATTTTGAACAAAGGACACAAACTTTCAGTTTCATTCCTGGATCCAAGAGGTACAACATTGTATTAAATCAAGTGGCATTTAGCAAGTTGGTAGTTTCAGGTCCAAATTTGAAAATCACCTCTTGTGGCTATAAAGCCAAAAGGAGTATGAACAAAAGGACTGTTTTTGTTGTTGTTGTTGTTGTTTTGCAACTAAGTCAAGATTACTAAATGATGTTAAATTTTATTTTTAGCCCTCTACATCAGTTTCTGTCACACATTTGATATCATGACAAACACTCCATGCAGGATTTATTATGTTGCAACTACTGTAGGTGAGTACTTAATCAGTAAATCGAACTGACTTGAATAATTTCAATTTATTAATAATTCAATTTTTACTCCTGACCAGCTTTAGTGAACATGTATTGATCACTCAGTATAATTGTTGTTTTACAATATATGATGGTTTTAAATGTTTGAATGATTTTAATTAATGATTAGTGGCTGATTTCAAGTTAAAAAATGGTCTGAATGGGAGCTCTTTATAGTTATATAATAAATTATATAAAAATATTGTTCAGTATCTTGTTTGTATTTATCTATTTAAAATACATATTTTTTTGTGGTTCCAGCTTATGCTGTAGGTTTACTCATCACATTTGTTATGTTGTTTGTGATGGAGCAAGGACAGCCAGCCTTGGTGTATTTGGTCCCATGTATTCTGATAACTGGTGTTTTTATTGGCTGGAGACGCGGTGACCTAAAGAAACTTTGGAGTGGACAAATGGTACTTTACCCCCCCCCCCCTTGCCTGTGTATGAATCTTCTGCTGTCTCTTTTGGTCACATCTTATTTTTTTTTAATAGTCTTTGGCATTTTTCTTAACAAGGAGAAATTCTATACTTGATTTTACCAGGTTTTACTCAAAAGCTGAGCAGTTGTTGTTTATAAAGTTTAACTTAAGTGTTTTATAACAGGTTAATACATTTTCCTTTGTTTTGTTTTGAAATGCTTTTCCATGGTCCATAGACAAAGAAAATTAGTCAAATCAAACTAGTTTAAAATCAATTTAACCTGAAACTATTTTCATTGACCACATGTAGAAATAGTTACAATGAACAATCCTAAAGCAAAGTTTGCATAATGATGGTAGTACTTGAACCTTTTCAGAGGTTTTAATTCAAACAAATTTAAGATATTAACTAATCCAAGTTGTTTTAACTGTTTTCCTTCTTCATCATAACACTCTGTGAGGCAGCCAGTCTGGTATTATATTCATGTTATTTTCATAAAGAGAGGTTTCAGAAAACATTTCAAACCACTGTAGGGCATTTTAATTTTTCTGGAAGTATGTTTTGTGCATTGGGTGTTTGTATATTCTGTACCAGAAATTTTTGTGGCCTAGAATGACTAGGATTTGTTAGGATTTAATTTCTTTTAGTGTTCTTGTTTTTCTTTGATTTTTTAACTGTGTTCATTTTATTGATATTAGCAATTTTCCCCATCTATTTGCAATGTATTTTGTAAATGTACTTGTTTATTTCTTTGCTTGTTTGTTTGGTTTCTTTGTATGTTTATTTATTTCCATTTGTTTTCTCAGGTTTCTGAAGATGTTGGTCAAAATGATGATAGTGAGGATGAAGAATTTAATCAGGAAAGTTTAACTAAAAGGCTTATAGATAATGAAAACTAGAAGCAGTCAAATGTCAATCATTCAATTTGTTATTGCTATCAATTCATAGGTAAATCAGTGAGAAAAATATAATTTATTTATATTTTTAGGTAGTTAAAGTTATTTTGCTAGAACTGGTTGGTATATTAATAGCAGGATTAATTTTGTATTAAACAAGATATCATAATAGTGGCAATTCCTTTATGGGCATATGTTTCATTGTACGTTGTGTATGAATCATGTGTTAGGTTTGACCTACTACTGAAAAACAATTTTTGATTTAAGAGTGAATTTGTTATCATGGTGACTTGCATGGAAAAGTAAGTCACATAGTGAGTTAGTGTTCTTTTGGTACAACAATGAGATCAACTGAAAAAATTGTAGCCATTGGTGATCATGAGAGATTCAATCAGCTTTAACTTAAAGCACTATTTTGATATCAGGGAGTTGAAATGTCATTTGATAACTTTAATTAATATGATATTACTAAAGAACACTGTAATGGTCCCAGAAACAAGCTAAATTGGAATTTATTTTTGTACGTTACTTGGATATGTTGTCGTCAAACTGATTTCACAAAAACATTTAAATACACAAGTGGCTTTCATCACTGGCAGGAATTGAATTTTGCCTGCTACTTAAACCACTCTTGGCTATTATAGGATGCTAATAAGTTTGCTGTAATTTTCCTAAGTTCTATATATGTAGTTATTGGTAACATTGTCATATAAAGGACTTCAAACTTCCTTCCCAGTCCTCATCTAGTAACCCACAGTGTATAGCACGCCAGTAAAGGATTATTGAAGGAGTTACTGGAAAGAGGCTGGATCAACAAGATAATTTTTCATGCAGCCTACCTAAATAAAGCGGATATAGGCATGGTGGTGTAATTAAAAATGGAGTTAGGTTTGGTACATTCTGAGGAATAATGCTTGTGAAATTCTGCTGAAAGAGATGAATTATTTTTATCATTAGTGGTAGAATTGCAAAAAATTAAGTTGGTAAGCGAAAAAGCTACTGCACATGGATGTGAATACTTACTTCCTATAGCAGTGGCCTGCATTTAATACCTGTCCTTTTGTCAGTTTTTGTTCCATTCTTTGGTTTTTCTCTAACTCCCCCCATTTCCCTCCTGTGCAAAAGTAATTTCTAAGTTCTTTAACTAAATTTCAACATGTACATAGACTTTATGACTTATGAATATCAATATTATTATGAACTGCTAGCAGGTATCCCTAAGCAAAAGAATGATGAGAATCAATATATATATGTTATTCACCAGCCAAGGTTGGTCCATATTGGGAAAAACTGTCCCCAAGGTCTTAGATACTGCCCGAGGCCTACAGCCTCAGGCAGTACACAAGACAGAGGGCACAGTTTTTCCAGTTATTTTTTTTCTTAATCCTAACAAATGGTTGCAAAAAGAACCTGAATGATAAAGGGCTGTAATTATGGCAAGATTCTCCATAAACAGAAAAATTTATGAGGGAGTAGATGGTAGAGAAAACAAGGGTGAAGCAAATGAAAGAGAGAGGTTTCATCAAAACATATTTATTTGCGCAAGGATATTAAAAGGTGATTTTAAAGGCTTCCAAGAAACCTTTAAAACATTTTTCAGATACTGCCCGCTGTGAGCAGGCCGGATGGGGAGAATACTGCTCACTCTTGGAACCAATCAGATTGCAGGATTTGTGGAATACTGCCTACTCACGAACTGAGAAAAAAATAAACGGTGTTCATCCTTTTCTAAAACTGAAGCAGGGATTTGTAAACCATGTAATTTTATATTGGAAAGACTTTCAGTGCCTATAGTGTCTTTCCTCTCACCCCTCTGAGAGCAGATAAGAACATCACACCAAAGTTTGCTTTAGATAAGAAGTATGGAAGTTAAAAACTCATGCACAACACTCTTTATCTTGTGCCAGTCTCTTCTTGTTCTAGTTTCAGCTTGCCCAAAGCAGTGCAAACCATCTTAAATTGTATGTAATTCAAAACTGCTCTATTTTTCCCAGCATACAAACAAAATTACACATGTTTAAACAAGTATTGTGGACTTTACTTTCTTTATATTTTCTTACAAGATATAGAAGGCTACTCTTGATGTCCTGCTGAATATTGGAATGAAATCCCAAAGTATCTTACAACCTTTCTTCTAATGTCCATGCAAAGCTGTGCGAGTAGACACCCATACATAAAAAAAGATCCATGGGCAAAACAACCCTTACTGCACTTTCCTTGAACTTCACATTTTGCCTAAAAAAGAGAGTAGGAAAAAATTGTCTCACAAAAGGTGGGTAAAGAGCAGATTTTTGGGTACCAGGCAAAAATGTTTTTAAGATGCTGACAAAAAGTTCATTCTTGTTGCAAGAATGGGTTTGCTATGGGTTCCATGCCATCAACAGGACAAATTAAAACCACAGCTGTCCCTCTGCACACAGCCAGGCCCAATTGCCTTGTCTCATCAGTGAGTTTGAATGGGTCATCAGGATCTGTAAAAATGACAAAATCTTGTGAGCAAACATTTTAAAATTTTCCCTCGGTAAGGACCATGACAAGCTCTGTGTATGTAAATTTGTAGAGAATAGACGATAAATGCCCTTCAAGGAATGTGCGAAGTTGACTTGTTACCTCGAAGATTGGTAGTACCACAACTGGGCACTAAATCGGAAATAAATTATCTTTGTAATCTATTACCTCTTAAACATTCCGTTGTATTATCCAACACTACATTCAGTAAGGCATCAAAACCTTTCAAAACACCTGTAGCTGAAGACAGAAGTAAATATACCATTAAGTTGTGGGTAACGTTCAGCAACGCAATGCGTCGCTCAAATTCTGATCACTTTCTTAACATATGGACGAAATTACTGATGAATACTGAAAATGCGAATAAAAAGCCACTGCTTCTGAATAAAAGGAGATTTATCACTATACACACTATACAAGCGACAGGTTACTCTATCTAGTATCTTTAATAGTCATACCGCGTGTCGGCGAACACGAAAGTACATCGATTTTTAAATAACTTTGTCTTACCTTCTCTTCCGCCTTGAAATTTCACTCGAACTCTTTTATCAAGAAATTTGGACAACTCAAATATGCTCTCCTTTTTCTTTCTTTCAGTCTAGAAAAATGTGATGAACAGTTATACACAAAAACATACACTGATCGCTCTTTGACAGGATTTACAAGAACACCTACCGCCATCTTGGTTATTTCCGATAAGATTGATGGGATTGGGAAAACTCTCTTCCAGACCCCCGCTAAACTTTGGTGACTGCAGGTGATCTCAATTGTTAGTTCTACTCTTGATACTTCGAAACATAAACCTTCTTAAAATATATTAAAGTTCACACGGCAACCAGGTGGACAATCAGACATAGTTTGATGCTACTCTGGTTTGCAGATTTAATGAATGTAACTGAAGAAGACATAGTTTGACGCTACTCTGGTTTGCTGATTTAATGAATGTAACCGAAGAAGTTACGATTCATAGACCCAACGTTTCGACACTACTGTCTAGTGCCTTCATCAGGGGTGATCTAAACACTGCAACAAGAGGTCCTTTTATATGATCACTAATTAGCGGCCTTTTTTCTGACGAGGTGTAAATAGGCGTCAGGAAGCAAACCGCCATCGTCACGATTTAAAGGAGCGTGGGCGGAGTTAATATGCCAAGCCTCCAAACAAAGGCGCTGATGGTAACGCCGATTAGTGGTGATAATTTTAGAATTATCCCACCCAATTGTATGGTTGGTTAGGCATTTATGCTCCGATAAAGCTGAATTTTCCTTTTTGCAAAGAAAAACCGCTTTTTGGTGCTCTTTTAACCGTGTACCAAACTGACGTTTGGTCTGTCCGATGTATTCGTTGTCACAGTCATTGCAAGGAATAGAATAAATGGCGTCGGTGCGTTGTTCTTTCGTGACAGGATCCTTAGGTTTGGCGAAAATATGCCCCAAAGTCTGAAAAGGTTTTTGAGCAACTTTAACGTTGTGGCTATTCAAAATTCTCTTGATGGGTTCCGTAACACCATGTATGTAAGGAATAACAGCAAAACCAGTCACTAGTTCCCTTTCATCAAGAGCGTTACTATTTGTAACTGGTTTTTGGCAGTTACGGAGAAAAATTTTTGTATAGCCATTTGCCTTTAGGACATTGGCAACATATTTCCTCTCCTCAGCCTTCGAATCGAATGAAGATGGTAGATAGTCAGCCCTCCTAAGTAAAGTTTTGGCTACAGACTTTTTATAGCAAATAGGGTGGTGAGAATCGAAAGCGAGGTATTTGTCGGTGTGGGTAGGTTTACGGTATACACTTTTCTCTAAATTACCCTGAACCCCTCTGGACACATTTAAATCAAGAAAAGGCAAATGTCTATCCTTTTCATGCTCAAGGGTGAATTGGATCGACGGCTCTACTGAATTCAAATGCGACAAGAAGCGCTCCGCTTCATTTCCGGATACCGCAGAACTAACATCATCGACATATCGTTTCCAGAAAAAGGGTTTAACCGGTGAAGTGGCTAAGGCCCTTTGTTCCACGTCTTCCATTACCATGTTAGCAATGACAACAGAGACGGGCGAACCCATCGCTGTACCAAAAACTTGTTGATAGTAGGTGCCGTTATATGTAAATTGCGTGGTTTTGAGGCAAAAAGACAGCAGATGAATAATATCCTCCACAGGCAAAGAAGTTCTTTGTCCCAGGGAAGCATCTTCTCCGAGTCTTTCCTCCGCAACCTTAACGGCAAGATCAACTGGGATTTTGGTGAAGAGCGAAACAACGTCGAAAGATACTAATTCTTCACAAGCGTTAAGAGTTTTATCTCTTATGAAATCCGCAAATTCGCAGGAATTTTTGACAGTCTTGACAGTTTTTTGATCAGTAATCAGTATTCCCAACAACAGGCGACAAAATTCTCGCAAGATAACCAGAAATTGCATAAGTCGGAGAATTAACAAAAGAGACAATGGGTCTCAAAGGAATTCCCTGTTTATGAATTTTTTTTAAAATTTCGCCCCAACTCCAACTTTAGGTAAACTGACTTGAAAAAGTGATTATTCGTGAAAGAAAGAGGACTGCGAACTAACGAGCGGTATGAGAAACGTGCGAAAAAGTGTAACTGACGAAGAAAAATGCTAACAAACTTAACAAAAAGCACTAACGAGGAGGTATGAAAAAAGATAAAGAACAAAATAAATAATTAAATACGAATTACACGAAAAATAACCAGCATGCGCTTAGAGCGCAAAAAGTCTCAATGTAATTGATAAGCACATAACTCACGCTCTTGTGATCATGAACTGCCCCTTTCGGATTTTGCTGAAATCTACCTTCAAATAGCGAAGGGGGTTTACTGCTGTCTCGGAGTATTAAAATTAGATTAACTAAAGTACATCCTTATTCGTTATGAGTTTATCTTCGCTTTGTTAAACAGTTGAGGTAAGAACCTCATTGATTGAATTATCGAATAATTGACACTTAGGATATTAAAAGGACATGATTCTTTGCAGTCGCCAGTGAAGAAGATCGCTGACTTTAATGGCTTTTTGACCTTTCAGTGTGGCATTGACTTTTTAATTACTGTCAGGCTTTTCAAGAAAGAGTGTCCAAAGTAAATCTATGAGAGAAAACAACATAAAGGAAAAAGTTGTCTTAGCAGTTTTGATTGACTGTCAAAGACCAAATTGAACTTTTATCTGACTCTTATAGGGAAACATAATTTTGGTTTTGTTACTTGTGAGAGGCGAGTATAAATCTAATCTAATATATTGAAAAGATGAACTTTAGAGATGAACGCATAGATTTTTCTTCTTTACAACACTACCCAGCTTTCCTTCTGCATATTTTTCACAATAGATCTGTCTGAGCCACTAAACAAAGATCCTGAATGCGCCAAAAACGAGAACTACGAAATGCCAAGAAAAACCGAAGCTAGCCTGAGCTGATGAAGCCGAAAGATTCTCGCAGCCTAAGAATATTGTGTTCATAGGCAGCTGAAAACAGCTCCAAAGCCTTTACTGCTTAATTTCAATTTGCAAGCTCATGAGAAAAACCTAAGATCTTTCAATAAATTTGCCTTCTTTTAAGATGTACATCAGGTTGGTAATTTCCTGTGGGGCTTTGTCCATCTATGAAAATTGTCACCTGAGTTCATTAGTTACGGAACTTTCTTCAATGATAAGTCAACTGAAAGTAAAAACAATAATTTTTATGTTTATTTGGTAGACTGCAATTTATCCGGCCCACATTCAGAATTTTATGACAAACATCACACTAGTTTATTGAAAACGCCTGAAGGACCTTCTATTGACATCCAACTGAAATCCTGATTGATTCTAAAACAGTTACATTTGACAAGCACCTTCTGATATCTAAATCTTTAACATTAATTTAAATGTTTAAAGTTTATTTTGTTCAGCAATATGAACCTTGAGAATAGAATCTCACCTTGTATAAAGTGAGTCATCTTTTTTTCTTTTAAGATAAATTTCGAGCTAATATAAGGCTGGGAAATATATTTCTGCTCGATTGTGGTTATGGTAAAACATCTAGCTATGCCTTATCAATGTATCAGTGAGCCAGTATTTTCCAGCGGTGGGTAAATCTCCCTTGTGGGGATCTTAGAATGGCCCTGTTCTTAATAAAGTGTGATGGAGCTGGGCGGGAGAGGATTCAAATATGGTAGAAGAAATATTTTGGCGATGTTGTTATCATATTCCCGCTCTCGACCACTAATCTTATGAAGAAAGCTACTTTTTACTTTTTCTCTTGAACGGAATTCGAAGCTGACGAACCGCGGCCTGCGCTGCTTGCTGGCTCAAAAGTGAGTCTATCGAAGCAGGTCCCGTGAACCAGGAAATCATGACGTGTTTCTGTTCGCGCAAGCCAAGTGCTGCTATATCGAGCTATTTTCCCCAGTTGTTGTGTGTTTCCCCAAAAAGTCCAGTAGAGAACCAGGAAATCGTGACGTGTTTCAGTTCGCGCAAGCCAAGTGGTGCTATGTAGAGCTGTTTTCCCCAGTTGCTGTGTGTTTCCCCAAAAAATCCAGTAGTGGTGCGGAAAACGTAAAACTTATAAGTCCACAGGCTTAGCTTCCTTCCTTCTCCGACAGAGAGCATCTTCCTCGCACGCTCTTTTTATTTCTTTGACGTCAGTTTTTTCCGGCGGAAATAATTACTATTAAAAGGAGGAGGCCGTAAAGATAACTTTCTCTTGAAGAACTGATCGTAATTTATCCCTTTGTAGGTATTTTAAGTTTCATATTTACTTCCTCATATGGGAAAAGACTGCTTTCATCTCATCTTAGACATCTTAGCGTGCAGAGCAAGTGTAATTTTGGCGAGCGAAAGCTTAGTAATTTCTTGAAGAGTATTATTGCTGCCATCTTTGATTTTAATGGCTGCGGATGGCTGGAGAGAGAGAAATAAATTTGTACCAAGGGGGCGGTCGACGGTCACAAATAAGAAGACGGTTGGGTGTGGGGGAGTTAAGATTTCCTTCCCCCACCCTCCTACCCCTACCGTCTACTCTAACTCCAAATCAAACATGGCCGGTCGGCGTTGGACGCATGCACTGCAGGCTAAGCTCATCTCAAGTGAGCCATGCCTGTAATACTGGATACCAGGACAGGGGTGATCGTTTTACAAGTCTTGTATGGACTGTTCTTCATCATGGGAATATCAAAGCCGAAATTTTACAGAAAACTAAGAACTAATGTAGCATCTTACTTTAGCAGATCTGTTAATACTGATAATTTTTACTCCTACAGTATCCAGGACGCGTGTCATATGTACTTCTTAATAGACCACCCTCTCCGTAGAGTCTCTGTGGCTCAGCGGTAGAGCATCGGAGCGCGGAATCCGAAGGTTTGATTCCTCATGAGGACATGACTTCTCGTCATGAGAATTTTTTCTTTGTCCCACGCTCGTGAAAAGACGAAAAACATCTTTCTCTGTATAGTGTTGACAATTTTTTTCCTTGCATAGGATGTACTGTTAAATGACGAAAAGATAGTCAATGTGAATCATGGAATTCCTGTAAATATAAAATCAAGGATGTCCGTGACATCCCCTGATAGTCCGCGTCACTTAACCAGGTTCTGAAAAGATATTACACTGCCGTGATGCTTTCTTAAGCAAGACACAGGTTGGATGCTTCTCTGCGCTTGGTGACAGTTGCTAGTTGCCTTGCGTTTTTTTTTGTTTTTATTTTCACCTTCCAACTGAGATTGGTCCATTGCTGCAGGTAGTAGGATATAAAAATACCAGAAATCTCCCAGTGACCCGCCAACGATGAAAAGTTTAACGAGCGAGGTCTACAAAGGAAGGGTGGGGGGAGGGTGAAGGTGAGTGGGATGAGAACAGGAGGAGAGGAAATTAGCACAAGTTGGATTTAGGGGGATAAAACAGTACCTGGAAAAAAACATGGGGATAACTGCTCGAGAAAAAGAAACACAACATCAAAAGCGCAGCGTTGTTGGACAAGAGACGAGTAAGTTTAATTTAGCAATTCTTTTCTTCTGCACTACCATAAGTTAATTCCTGTGACCTGCCAGCAGTCAGCTAGTAAACCCTCGATAAATACATTTTAAAATAGGCCGTTGTCAACAGTAAGAATCACATTTAAACGGCAAGAATCACATTTCAGGCAATGTCCAGTGTGGTTCCAGCTGATCCGCTTTCATGCTGAAAGCTCATTTCTGTTTTCGAACCCTGCACAATATTCCAAGTAATACGTGTGTTTGTATTAGGTAACAACTGACAAATGATTTTAACCACATAACAGACCCTTTGTCATCTTTCTTTCCAAGGAAGACTTTGAAAACATGATTTTGATGGATTATGAATTGAGCTTAAATGAAGATATGCGTTAGCAAAGTCTCTGGCAGTAATGACAGTCTTGGTTTCAAACTGTAGCTCTGTTACTCCAACCCAGGCGTCCTAGGTGAATATAAATATAACGTATTATGAAAAAATTCAGAATCCGTATTCCTCCAGTTCTAGTTCTTATTTCAGTTGAATTAAAAAAAAACTCCTTCACAGACCGACACAAAAAGCTAAAAGATCACTTGATTACACAGATGTTTCAGGCTTAGGGCTGACCCACCAGCTTCACAGAAAGGTTAACTTCTCAGGCAAACCAAGATGTTGCATTCATTCGATTTTACACGACCAGCGAGCATAAAAAATAACCGAGAGTGAGAAAAAAACCTAGGGGCACTAGGGAAAAGAACAATTTGTATATAAGCAAGGACAAATTTTTATAATAGCTCTACTTCAAAACACCTGTGCAGCAATGTTGACAAGAGCACCTTTTATCTAAAAATATAATTTATTATCCGTTTTTAAAAATGGAAAGTCGAAATCCGACTGCTGACAATCTTGTTCGTAGTTATTAAATTTTGTTTTTACAGCTTAAATTGCTGAAATTCAACGGGCGATTAAACCTTAAAGAGAAGCCGAGAGCTTTTACCTCAAACTGCGAAGGAGGTATTGGTTACAGTTTTAGCACAACCGAATACATTGAAGCATCAATACATTGAAGTATTACGTAGTTTTAAGAACAGAATAATAATACTGATTGTGTACATACCCGACATCTGATGAAAAGGGTATCACGGTCTCTATCGTATTTCACTTCCCCTGGAATTGTAGACTCACCATCTTCAGGTGTTACTGGAAAAAGTAACATGGTAAGAATCAGTGAACGTGCTAATAACGTGGTAATAATCAGGAAAACGATTTAACAATCAGTGAACGAATATACTCCGGTCACTTTATCAATGAACGAATATACTCTGGTCACTTAATCAATGAACGAATATACTCAGGTCACTTAATCAATGAACGAATATACTCAGGTCAATCCTCGCCAACTGAATTGTTAACGATGAGAATAAGCCTCTCAGATTCGTAATATGTTTAATTACCAATATCCTTACATTGAAGTCAAATTTTCATGACGTTTTAATATTTTTGTCAATTCAAAAACCTCCCCTTACGTCCACACCCAAGAGGAGTGGTAGTTAAAGCCAAACCAACTTACGCTGAAGACATTCTTTAGACATTTTGATCAGCTTAACCTTTTTGCCTCTCCAGCTTGTCTGAACTCCAACCTAATACGTAAAAAGACGCAAAAAAAGAATGAAAACGAAAAAAAAAAGGTTACATTTTCCCACTGAATTATCAATTATTTAATTTTCCTTAGATAAGAACGAAACAGGATAGGCAGTTTTTTTTACTTCTTGGACGATACAGCTACCACCGCACATAGGAATGACATCAAATGACACCCGAACAAAACCACCTTTGGTGATTTTACCGATGGATCAGACTGACCAATCCCGACCAATGTACTTGAGTCCTCCACCCACAAATATCAAAGCACAACTGACCGATAACGTTTCACGCATCACACTTAAAACACTTTATTGATAAACAACTTCCCTTTAAACCCTCATCGTGACTTTCGCTCAGGTTGTCAACACGAGGCAAAAAATTCTGAGAGAAATCAAAGCTATGATCATTCGTGTTCCTGTTTTAAAATTTTTAGTATTGAATTCTCAAACATGAAAATCAAACCAAAACTGCATTCAGGCATTAAGCTGCCGTGGATAAATAAACGCAAACAGGAATCATTTCTTACTCGGGACGAGAGAGCATTCCATCGCCTCCTGATGTAAGACCAAGTGTGATGTGTCCAGTCAATGTAACCATCCTCTTTAGTCAGACGATGGGCTGTGACAGCGGTAACAATTATTCAACTAATTAAAAATCACAGAGGATGCAATATGCAAAATTCCTTGGAAAAAGTCGAACCTGTATTCAGCGATCACCTATGGGGAATGGCGGGGTGACCGTGTAATAGAGGTTGACCGCTTAATACAGGTTCCACAGAATAAGGGTAGTAGAAAGAAAGATTGAAAACGCCATACAGTGCTGCTAAATACAGATTGGACTTTATTTGTTACATTTCAAAATCGTCCGAACTTACCCCAGCTAGCTTTCATCTTTCTCAACTGCATGGGATTTTTTCGTAAAGACTCCAAATTCTCCAAAGCATGCATCAACTGGGAATACAAAGTAGTACTGTCAGTAGTACGAGAATATTGAACTAAAAAACCTTTTATCATGTTGACCGAAACTAACATGGCGGTTAAGCGTGCAAGTCCCAATCCACCAAATACTACATCCGTCAAAGGAACCTTTGTTTACATGAAGGTCCAATGGCCAAATAATAATTCAAACAACAACAATAACAATAATAATAATAATAGTAATAGTAATAATGATAAATAATTCAAAAGCAGGCACGTTTTGTTGAAATCTATCCTGTTCTAGTCTGAGGATTTGGGTGCCAAACAAAAATGGAGGGTAAAGAGGAAGCAGAGAGAGAATTTCAGAATTCTCCCAGACCAAGATGATACTTGAGGAAAGAGAAGGATAAAGCTCTGGTGACTGGGTATGGGTTTGGAGGTGAGAGAACCAAGCCTGGTAAAAAGTACAAAATGATTATCAATGCTACCTATCCTTTTATTTTAATACCATTTTATGACCTTTATACCTACCATTTGTGTGCCAAGTGTTGCAAGTTGATCAGAAAGGTCATCATACATAATATCTTCTGGAATCTTTAAAATAATTGAAATCTTTACTTTAGCATTTTTAATTTAAATCGAAAATAGAAAAATCAACAAATAAAGTAAAAAATTTCCAAACCTTGAATGTTTGTTGAAGTATGCACTGCCCTGCATCAAATCTAAAATTCACAAGTGACATTAAAATAATTAGAATAGAATAATTGGAATGCAAGGGTCACTAACTGTGTTGGGATACAATATCAATGGAAAAGAGACTCCCCAGCTACCAGTCAACCCAAATTCAAGATGTTTGGATGAGCTATCAAGCCTCTGTAGTGGGGCTTCTTTTAGAGGTGACAGTAGCATCCTCTATCATGCCAACTATTTATCAAAACTTCAATTCCAGTCTTTTAGAGGTGACAGTAGCATCCTCTATCATGCCAACTATTTATCAAAACTTCAATTCCAGTCTGCACAACCATGTTATTACATGTGCGCCTAATGACTGATCTGGTTCTCCTGGTATTGCATAGCTATCCCTCTTTTTGGCCAACAGACTCACATGTTGCGAAAATTTGACTCTGGAAAGATTTTTCTGAGGGTTGCTTTCAATCACTCAATGTTTCTTGAGTAGTGTAATTAAATTAAAGTTCAGTATTAACCAGCTTTGCTCATTTGCAACGACAGCAGTTTTGCATGTTATATAGATTAATAGTTAATAAGCTGAATCCTCCATGCATTTTAGATTGGTTCTCGTCTATGATCTACTGGAGGACAGACATAGGGATGACATTAACAATATTTTGCTTTTTTTATCATATAAAACAAATAGATTCCATGTTGCCATTGGTCTGTACTGTAATAAATCACAAATTACTTCAAAATGTGGCGAGAACATAGGTGACACAGGGCACAATTTTTTTTGTTCTTGCCACATTTTGACCTTATCTGTGATCTATTACTGAACATATGCATGGAAACATAGAATCTGTTCGTGAATCATTTTTGGTATTCAAACTGACCTGTCTCTAGATACTTCAACAATGGATATCCCTGTCTCCTTTGCTCCATTTAATATTGCATGTGACATTGGGGCAGCACCCTTCCACTGTGGCAGGAGAGATGGGTGAATGTTTATAGCACCACTAAGATGAAAATGAATTACACAATAAACACATTTTGCATTTGAGCAGACATAATATGCATGTATCATTCTGCTTGGTTGTACATTTTCCAATTTTAACCATCCACAAGTCAATGTTTTTCTCTAGGTCTAAGTGTATCTTCCTACAAGCTAAAGCATAGTCTGAACAGGTTGAGCTGAAGATCAATATGTGATTTCCTTTAATCAACTTATTTTTACCATTGACTCAAAATTAGGGACTTAAGCTAAGATTTGATCAGTCAAGAAGGACAACTGTATTGTTAATTCAAGCTTTCAATTTCAAGATCTGAGAGCACATTGTCAAGGCTAATTATCAGAGATTTGTTACATCATCTAACCTTAAAAAATAATGCTGTTATATCATGATGAACTCTCCAAAATCAGTAGTTTTGATTCTTAATTCTCAACTTACTTCTGTTTGTTTGCAACTGTGTTAAAATTAAAAAGAGACTGTACAGTAGACTAATTTCCCAGAGATTAGATGTTAAAACACTTTAAACAATGAAATAAACACCAGATTTGTTTAAAATGGATGGAAAAAGTACTGATTAAGCAATACAGTGATTGAATCTTGTAGGGTTTGAATAAATGTCACTGCGCTGACTCTTACATAATACACTATTGACAAATCTTAAATGCAATCTGCTTTCGTTACCATGGAAACATGTCCAGAATGCGGTTAGGTATTAAGTAGCCAAAGGATGCAACAACTGCAATGTCATATGGACCAGGTGGCCTGCCATGGGACAACAATCAAAATCAGCCACACTAATAATGAAATAATTACAATTTTGATAATAGCAGAAAGCCATTGTGTTCCTACCCTTGATTAAGCTCCCAGCCATCCTTGTTCTTCCAATAATAAATAGGAATATTATGTTTGCTGCTAAATTCTCTTGTAGAATCATCTTCATTCAAAGGTTTCTGAAGCAAAAACAGAGTAAAGTTGTAATTCAGTAGCTGGCATAGAACCTCACTATATTGCCAGCTTTTACACTGAAGATTTGATATAGTTTTAATTTACACAATGTATTGATCTTATCTAACAGTTTGAAGATTTGATATCATAAAATAAAAGACTTAATGATGTAAACAAACACAGTACAATTATAATTTCATACAGAACTAAATTTTATACAAAACTTGAATAATACATAATTATATATATATATATTTTAAGAGGAAAAAAGGACGCAACTACATTTTCCCGACAAGCCTGTTTCGTGAATCGCTTCACTCTTCAGGGGTTTTATGAAAGAATATTCATGTGACTATCGTGTATATACTACGAAAATTTACATAATACGCAGTAAACTTAAAAACTTTAAAGTTCAGCGGTTGCGTAGCAATGCTTTGTTTCTGTGTTGGCATGAAGATACAAGTTCACATGGAACGACAACAACACCTCTGAAACATACATTGGACTCACAGAAACCAACTTCAAAACAAGACACAGAAATCACACCGCATCATTCCGTC